TTCCCTCAATCCCTTACTCTAGTCTATATTCAGTAATACATGTTGGCTCACCTGGCTCGGTTATCCGCACGCATGACAGACCATTTGTTCCAACAATATACACCAAGTCCTCGTTCCCCTTCAAACCTAGAAAACTACTGAACCGAACACAATACACTCAATCCCTCAATCATATTCATGCGACAGCGCTATCAGACCCCGAAAAGATAGTCATGCTTGGAGATACCCTCTCCAATCTACTCCACTATAATCATTTTCACCGACCTCAACCATCCAGGTCCAACGAAATATCACGTTACCAATCCAGAACAACATTTGCTTTCTTTCGACATAATTTCGTTGCTGTCGATAATTTGCATGTCGATAATTTGCAATTCTTCGTTAAGTATTCTGTTCCTGCCTATCTTCATTAGCACTTCGTTAAGGTACTGTACTTAATGGTTGTCGCTACGCATACTTAAGCATAAAACTTGTACGTCGTGAAAGTACTTATGCGTAGCGTACTCGTACCAAGCAAATGCAGGAGGAAGACGAGTACGAGTAGTTCTATTTATTTCGCGCGGCTTCACACCGCAGCATACTCTACGCTACCGTCCCGTAGCTTAAGTAGTACAGGTACGGTTCGGTAATTCTTTCAATTTTCAGGATTGGAATGCTCAGCAACTGAGCATTTATCAAAATTATTGTTGGGCTTTATTCATCTTTCACATCGTAGAGGCATTTTCATCAGTCTTTTCTTCTATTTTATTTTAGCGAAAGTGGTTGCGAAAAGTCCAAAAACATCGACACCAAGAATTAGGACGTACGGTTTGATTCGGTTACAACTACAATATTCCTTCGGTTCATTTCCACCAGCTTGTATCGATCCTTTGATCCTTTGTTTTAGTTGACCAAAGATGAGTGACACAATCCCAACACAACTAATGTCAATGTACAGTGACAGCATCGTCAACATTGTCAATGAAGAACCAGACGTTGCAGATAAAATGCTTTCCAAGGAATTACTCCGGATGTCGTTGAAAGAGCGCAACGCCATAGAAGAAGAAGTTCATGGCGTTGGAACCACTGCCATAGAGGAAACACCAGATCGCGTACAAGAATCATTGCGATTGCTTGCTTTTGAACTAGACGAAAAAATACCACCGCATCGAAAGATAGCTTACACGAAGAGCCAAACCATTCCCGACACATATGTCAACACGAAGAGTTTTCGATTGAGATTTCTCAGGAGCACGCATTTCGATAGTACCCGGGCTGCACAAAAAATTGCCAAGTTCTTGGACGTCGCGACACACTTGTTCGGGAACGACCTCTTGAAACGACCGGTACGCATTACCGACTTTTCGTGTAACGACCTGCGGGATTTGCAGAAGGGAAGACTGCAACTTCTACCTTTTTTGGATCGCAGCGGGAGAAGGATTTTCGTGTTCTTTCCCGACGAGGTATGGGAAGCATTCGAGGCCGAAACAAAGGTACGGTAGTTCAGGCTCAACGGAATGTCTCAGTCTGATGCGACTTACTGGTTAGAGTATATGACTCACGCAATTTTTTGATTGATCCTGCAGGCAAGAATATCTCTTTATTTATCGTGGACCGCGGGAAACGACGTTGAAATCCAGAGACAAGGTTTAGTGTTTGTAGTTTGGATCGCGGAAGAATTCAAAATAACAGACGGTGGATCGGTACTGGTTAGAGACAAAGATTATCATACAGTTAGAGCATCCGCTCTCCACATCTGTTGTCCAGACACTCCATTCCATCGATTTCGAAGAGCAGTCATCGCTATGAGAGTCGGTGAGTTCGTTAGAACTCAATCGAGGGTGCACCTTGGTACGTCACTGCGTTCTTCTTCTGTTATGAAATGGGTGCTTTCAAACGAACTCTTCCGTTCCATGCGTTTCGACCTGGTTCCTCTCACAGTCTATCGTTGACAGGCACCTCCGTGGAGCTCCTATACAGGCTTCAAAGCTATGGGATACAGAGCGAGCAAATTCCGATCACTTGCACTGGTGTGGTAAAGACGAGCAACAACGACAAATGGGTACGCGTTCGGCGCGCTATAGAGGCTTCCGAGTACGACCAAGTCAAGGATTCTGCTATCGGCGTCATTTATGAATTCCCAAAGTTCAATGACGTGGTGTTTCGCACGGGTACCTCGAGCAGGTCCCACGCAGCAAACGCGAGATTCCGGACCATGGTGCAGTCGAAACTCGAAGAAAATGCGAGGGGATACAAGAACGACGAATCGGTGCTCAAACGAAAGGACATTATCAAATTGATCATCGACGAAATCAAGGCCCAGGGCGGTCGATTTTTGGTGTGGAACGACATTGGTGGGTGGAACCAACTGGTGGACGAGAAAATAATCTTTGCCAAGATAACTCATCTGATGAAAGAAATACAAAGAGCTGCCCCGAAGCCGGACCGAACGACGAAGATGACACCGAGTCTTCAGAGTGACACGGCAACCTTTTCAAATGCGAAGCATGAGCATAGATCCTGCACCTCACCAATTTGCGGCACTGGCGCCAAGGATTCGAGGCTGTTTTAGCGGCAAACACATTGAAAGCAAAGCCACAGTTGTTCTTCTCGGGCTTTTGCCTGTTTCAAGGGTTGGCATATGGAATCTGAATCACTTCGGTCAATACTAGAAAATATATCAGAAAATGAGAATAACTTTAGTTTCTAAACTGCAGGTAGGTATTTATTATTTGTATCTTCTTTGACAATTCAAAGATCCTTTGGTGTTGGCTGCTCCAAAACCCGACGATTTTCTAGGCCGACTCCGTCGCGAAAAACAGCGTCTTTTCCTTTTCGGGTGCCTTTTCTTCTGCCGGCGCGGCGTTCTTTTGAGCCTCTATCGACATGGCCTTGAGTCCCTTCGGTCCATCGGCCCGGGCAATGACCTCGTCCGCCACCATCAAACCGGATCGGGTCGCACCCTCCATCGAGTCCAGGTAATCCTGGTAGGTATAGGATCCGGCCAGGAAAAAGTTGGGAATGGGAGTTGCCTGCTTCGGACGGAACTTGTCCTGGCCGGTCTTCTCGCGGTACAAACTCTGGCCGAGCTTCACGACGCTGGACCAGGTGCAGTTGAGCTTTCTGGAGGACGGGAAGACCTCGTTCAGCTGGGCGATGCAGTCGGCGACCAGCTCGTTGTTCGATCGGGTAAAGGCGCGCTCGTCAAAGACGGCCTGGATCAGGGATCCCTCTCCCTCCTTGTAGTACTCGCCGGGACTGGTCACGGCGAGATCGGCAAAGCACGAGAATTCCGTGTCGACGCTGTACAGCAGGTTGTCGATGCCGCCCCCGCGGCCGTCGCTCTGGTCGCCGGAGACGTCCATCATTCGCTTTTCGTCGTTGAGTTCCGTCACCCAGCCGTCGAACCGGACCTGGACGGTGGCGATCGGGACCGTGTCGAGGTTGTAGATCTTGTCAAACTCGTCGTACTTGCGGAAGCTATCGGGAAGGACCTTCTTGATTCCGGGGACGTCGCAGGCGGCAATGACGGCGTCGAACTCGTGGTAGGTCGCCGTGGAGCCGATCTTGAGGCCCTTCACGCGCGTGGGGAGGCCCGTGTCGGGATCGACGTCGTGGACGATCTCGCGGCAGGGCGATCGGAGGTTGATCTTTACCCCGCGCTCCTCGAGGTAGTTGATGATGGGGTCGTGGAGGCCGGTCTGGGGACTCCCGTCGAGCATGCGCAGGACGGAGGCCTCGGTTCGGATGGCAAAGAGCATGAAAATCGTCAGCATCGCACGGGCGCTGATGGTGTCGCAGTCCAGGAATCCCAGGGCGTAGGCAATGGCATCCCACATGCGGTCGAGGCTTCCCCTCTTTCCGCCGAGCTGGGTGAACCATTCCGTAAAGGTAATGTCGTCCAGTTCTCGGACCATGTCCATGCCACCGTCAAAGTCCACGAGGGCGCGGACGATCGGGGAAGTTCCCAGCCGGACCGCGTTGTGGAATTTGTCCTCGATGCCCAGCTGCTCCGTCTTGGCAAAGGCCTGGAGGCCGCTGACGGGGGCACCGATGGGGAATCGAAAGTCGAGGGATCCCAGTTCTCCTCCCTTGTTGACAAAGGTGTGCGTGTGCTCCTTGATGCGGAGGTTCTTGTCGAAGGCACCGGTGCGCTTCATGATTCCGAACAGGTTGTAGTAGCAGCCGAAAAACACGTGGAGTCCCATCTCGATGTGGTTTCCGTCCTTGTCCTGCCACGAACTGACCTTTCCCCCGACAAAGGGCCGGAGCTCGAACATCTCGACCTGGTGGCCGGCGTCGGCCAGGTCCATGGCGGCGATCATACCGGCCAGTCCGGCACCGACGATTCCGATCTTGAGGGACTCTTCGTTCTTCTTGCCGGGTCCGTTCTGGGCACGGGCCATGAGGTTTTCGTTCAGGAAGGAGTCGTTTCCGATCTGGGTTTTGGCTCCCTCCGACGTGAACGTCGCCGCATCGTATAGAGGAACGGGGCTTCGTCCGGCGGTGCTTCTCGGCACGAAGGCAGAGCTCGGCGAGGCCGCCAGGGCCGCCGCGGCAGCCAGGTAGGCGATGCTCTTGCTCGAAAACATGGTGGTTGTTGCGTTCGGTTTCTCGGTTCGAAGGAAAAAAGAAAGCGGATTGCTGGGTGTGGCTATGAACGGTGTTTCGATAGCTCTGTTGGTGCTGGTGTCTCTGGTCGGTGTGATCCAACGGAACGTCGTCGTCGTCAATGTCGTCTTCGTCGTCTCTTCTACAGATGCCGGAGCTGCACCGGTCGAGGAACAAAGAACGCACCGTAATTTTGATGCGCGATTGTTGGATCGTGCACTCGCTGCATCGTCGATTCATTCATTCATTTACACGTTTTACGGTTTCTTCGTGGTGGAGCGAGTTGAAGCCGAAGAAGACGCAGATACGTCATCATACCGTAGCACCCTGTCCCACCACAGCGCATGCACTGAATCAATTTTCTCTCGTGTCTTCCACGTTGAACGTAGGTACGATACGAGAATCCAGTACAGTACGTTCCTATGATACGATACATACGGAACGCCACGAGTACAGAGCGGAAAAAAATGAAGAAATCACAGTATGGATTCGAGACTGAAGAATTGATATGAGTCATGAACATCATTTTTGAGCATTTGTTTCCTCTTACAGAACGAAATTACAGTACAGATGGTGCGTAACTTACAGGTAAGATCGTGTCTTTACACAATTCATACTCTCATTGGCTAGCGGTACATAAGTACAATTCAAAACCTCAGAACACGATACTCGTACAGTCTTGAAATACGGAACGAAGCAAGATTCACGGATTCTCATCTACAACCAAGGACAGTATCTACAGCAATACCGAAGCGAGCAAGCGTTGTGGATTCCTCTTTCATCTCTGAATACAGCCAAATCGAAGCAGCCAGGTACACAGTCACTTCTCAAAATACGGATCCCCTCTTGAACACAGATCACCAACCGAATACAAGCCCCCCTGACGAATACGGACCCCCAGCATACACTACTGGTACCGTTTACTCCTCTCGAACACCGAGAAGATCCATTCCGAATTCAAATCGACAGAAAGACTCCATCTGCAGGGTCAACAACACAATCGACAAGACACAACAGGACCATCCAGCCATTGCTACCATCGCAAGAAAAAATGCCCGATATCCCCGAGGGAGTTCCCCATGAAGACAGAGAAGAGTTTTTCGACCTTGCCATGAAATCACGACCATCGGAAGTGGACATCAACCAATGGTTTGCTTTTGTTTGGATAGCTATCCAGATTGGTGCCGTGGATTATGACAATGGGCGCAGTCAATTGTTTCACATAAGTAGTACCGTAGAAGTAATCAACATGACTTCTTCGGATATCAAATCAATGAGGACGGCATGATTCGAAAACTATCATTTGAAGGTGTTGATATCCCCGTGGACATCGTTCGTCTTAAGAATCTAGAGACCCTCCATGTGCGCGAACCCAGTACCCTTCCAACCCAACAACTGTCCAAACTGAAAAAATTGCGATGTCTGAAGTTTTCTGGAGATTTATCGGAATGGTCCACCGCATCCACCCAAGACTTTCGGATTGGCAGTGTGACTCGTCTATTCGTACGCTCAAAAGCATCCACATCGTTCCTTGAATGGGTGCGTCAAGCACTACCGAACCTAGAACGCATTCGTGCTTGTAGGGTAAAGCCTGATGTCATGGATCAGTGGCTACATCTCTTAAAAACAAGCGCGATCTCAGACACGCTTCAAAGTCTAAAAATCTATTCGCAATGGGATTTCAACGACAGCTGGTTGAGGGAGTTCTTCCTCGAAGTACTGCCGCGATTTCAACAGCTAACAGATCTTTATTTGCCCTTTGGTTGCAATAACCTCCGTAGTCTGAATGCTGAGCTCTATAGCTTCTGTGGTCCGAATGCCACGCGCAACGAACGAGAGAATTTCCAGTTCTCGACATCGCTCAAAAACATAGTTGAAGTTTTACCTATTCTTCTCGGATCCGTTCCCCGCGACGAGGATGTTGAAGAGGTCGTCAAATTTCTCCAAAACATCGATACCGTAACCAGCTACTCTTCCGAGCGAGATGACTTTCTCCATCCCAAAATCAAAGCCCAGCTATCTTTGAATCGTGCGGGGCGCCACTGGATCAAAAGCTGGAAATTGCCCAAATGTGAGACGGATGGGCCCACCGCCCTCGCTCTGTTACCACACATTCTAGCCAGGTCGTCGGGGGCTAGGTCACAGGGGGAAGCGATGGCAAAATCCCGCGTTGAATTTTTACGCCAACAGATGGCAGGGGATTTCAGTGGTCTTTTCTATGCGGTGCGTGAATTGTTGCCACCGCTTTCTCATGTGTGGGACACTCGGAAGGAATCGCAGCAGACGAAGAAGCGATCCATCAGTGACAATGCCTCTGTCGGTGGCTATGTCAGGCGATCCAAAAGGTTGCGATCCAAAAGGCTCGGGGCGGAGTTTATCCTATAAAGTGTACGTAGCATGCGTATTCTGTAGAGCAAACGCTACAAACTGTTTACGTTACTCGGAAAATACTATAGTTTCCCAACGGTTCCCACGTAACCATCGACAGTGATGGGGATACTGCCTCCTTATGGTAGTGTTGTTACTTTGATTCCTCAGAGCGAAACCTGAGAAATCCATCTACTATACCACTATGTCATCTTAACGTATTACTTCAATTCTTTCAATCGTTCTTGCATGCAATATTTGAGTACATAAATGAAATATTTACTAGTATAAGGTAACCAATCTTTTCTATTTCAGGTGCCTATCACGTCGTAACATCCTAGGAATAAATGTACAGCCACAAGTTTTCTGCCCCATTTCAGACACACGTTCGTGAGAACCGGAAACACTGCTGCAGATGGCTTTGGTCAAATTAGAATTCTGCGGTTAAATTAGCTCCTCCATCAACAACCTCTCTGGACAACATTTTGATCGTCGCCGTCTCTCATGGGCAAATTACCAACTCGCCATCTGTTTCTTAGAGCCGTCAATCGTTGCTATCATCTTCCTTCTGGACGGGGGAAGGCGTTCCTTCTTCGTTCTTAATTGCGGGGTTCGATTCTTCCTTGACCTTTTCTTCCTTGATCGACAAGGACGAGGACTTCGCGGCAGCCGCTGCTCTCTTTTCTCTTCCGTAAACCTTCTCCAAGTTGGCAGCCAAAATCTGGGGGTCAATATGGATCTCCCTGGGACGATCCTTGGGGTCCACAAAGGCCTTGTCGGAGAGTATGAGTGCTTTGCTTCCGCGACCCGAGTTCTTTGCATCGACAACCACGTATCCAAGCTCCTTGAGCTGTCTCAGACCATAGCTAAACGGAGCTCCCCGATCGCTGATGCCGATGGTAGCGGCGAGTTCCTTGCGGGTCAACGGGCCGTGTTTCAGCAACAAGTCAAAAATCTGCACGGTGCGATTGTTCATGCAAATCTTTCGAATCCGAGCATGTTGTTCTTCCGATGTCTCTGCTTCGGTCTCAATCATGTTTTTAATGGCCTTCATTTCGGGAGTTCCAGCTCGGTCCTCTCCCTTCTCGGTCAGTTCGTAATTACCAGTAAAGATTCCGTTGCCACCGCCGTCACTATTGGATGTCGCTGGTTTGGACACGGACGCTGGTTGAATGAATCCCTCTTCGATCAACGATCTCCACTCTTTCCTCCATGGCGTGTTCCGGTCATTCATCTTCCGCGCTTTCATAATCGATGTATAGGAAGTGCAAGACTTGTTCCGTTTCACTTGCATTTGCACCATCGTGGAAAGGAGGAGGTCGGCGATAGAATGAGCTTTATCGCCCACTGTTTTCTTCGCTTTCTTGGGGGAGACTGTTAGTTCAGCTCTACTACTTCGTTTTGGTCTCTTCATGGTGGATACAACTTAAGGCTGTTGCCTGATTTGAAAGAGAGACGAGAGAAATAGAGCACGAAGAACAATGGATAAGAAACTAAAGGCATACGAGGGACTTTGAATCTTGCAAGTAATAGAAATTGATGATTGCACTCACAAGGTCGAAAACATACTTTTCAAATCAGCACAAGCAAACAGCTGTTTCGTTCACATCTTGATCCAAGCCGCTATGTTGTTGTTTTTCATATTCCACTGTGGCAGTATTCGTCACGTTATGGTTTCACCAACCTTGCGTGCAGGAGGCGTTGTTTTGGGTATTAAAGCTTTCATCGGAGTTGCTGAAATTTTGATTCCCAATCATCCACGTTAACCATTTTGAGTTTCTTGAAGGATACTCTTTAGCGTGGACCGCCAATGTCGTTGCAACGGCAAAATTGACAATTATTGTCTGCTTCATTGCCTCAATCTCTCCGTGGTAAAAAGCGGGCCATACTGTATACCTGGAATTTATACACTTCCTCATCTCTAGAAAATCCGGGGTTTCATATGCAATCTCCCATCGGGCAAGCCAATACGCCATTTTTCACAAAACGAAGAAGTATGATGCATCGCATACTCAAAAACATTGTGAAGCCATAATACTGGCAACTAAAGTGACATTCTATTTTTTTCCCGTTTCTCAACGGTCCTTTGCTGTTGGAGTGTACGAAAATCAATTTGGTATCCTCTCTCGTTCCTTACTGAGGAGACAAGATTGTAGAATTCCCTTGACCTCCATACCAAACTCCAGGCCTTAGCTGTATGATGGTCGTTTCGAAGAATTCTTCCACTTCTATCACCGAAATAGGTTTGTAAAGGACTGTTGACATGCCACTAGCCTTGCAGTCTGTTGCTACTCGTACGCTCGTATCGGCTGTGAGACCAACCACGACAGGAACTCTACCAGTAGGACAGGTTTTACCCAACATGATAGTTTCGCACAATTCTGTTCCGGATATTCCGGGCATTTGAAGGTCAGTTATGACTAGGTCAAAGGGTCCATTCTCGGAGATTTCGCGTAACGCGTTTTCACCAGAGTCGACAGAGACGATGTCCGCAACTCCAACCTGGTTCACCATTCGACCGATCACCTTGCGATTGATAAGCACGTCATCGACCATCAGAACCCTCAACTGGGTCGTTCTAATGGATGTTCGTTCAAATTGATGAAATTGTTTTGTTACGGATATGGGCGCCATAACTTTTGTTTCGATACTACTACTAGCAGCAAGTGGTAAGAAAAAGGAAAATGTTGCGCCGTTTCCCGTGCTATTGTTTGTGGCCCAAATTTCACCATCCATTCGCTGCACGAACAGCTGACATAGGTTCAAACCCAATCCTGTTCCGGATGGCTGACCAACCTTGTTGCTGCCACCAAGAACCCGGGTCGGTTTACTATCGAGACGTGCAAATCGCCTAAAAAGTCTATCAGCTTGATGCGGAGCAATCCCAGGTCCAGAATCAGATATGGAGAAGCAAAGGACCGGGGTGTTCGAAGCGAGTGGCTCTTTGATATCGATCTTATTGTTTAAATTTTCTCGTGAGCATGCGAGGGCATTTTCCATCTTCAATTCCACATCTGACATGACAGTTGGCTGGATGCTGATGAGAATCTCGCTTTCTTCCGATGTATACTTGATCGCGTTGGAAACTAGGTTTATCAGGACCTGCTGCAGTCGCAGGGGATTTGACACGACGTGATAACCTTGACTTTTGGTCTCTCCGTAGTCAGTCACTACAGCCACTCCGGATATCGAAGCAAGTGGTTGGCAAAAGTCAATCGTGTCCTGGATGGCGGATGCGGCGACGACTGAAGACAAAGGAAATTCATCCATCACTGTTCAACGAAGAAAAACAGTAACACGTTTGATTCGTGAATACAAAGTATGTTTTAGAGATTTTGCTTGTTTTTTGCAAACGATGTTTGCAGCGTGCAAACTATAAAACCAAAGAAGCAGGACACCTAAGAGTAAACTTACTATCAGAATTCACCTTTTTCACATCCAGGAGGTTATTGATTAGATTGAGCAGCAGTCCCGACGATGCCATAATGAGTTTCAATGACTCCACCGTGACTGCATCGGCATTTTGTTTCTGATGGAGAAGCATACCCGTGACCCCCATAATTCCCTGCATGGGAGTTCTTAGCTCATGCTGACGAAACGAATGTATCGAGGAAAAGCAAAAAGAAGAATGAGATGAATAACGTGTAAAGTACAATGATATTAAGGTCTTGGAGAAAAAAATTGAAGATCATGCGACGAATAACAAAACAAAAAAATCAACTGAGATCGGTTACATTTCAGTATTTATGACTTACCGTCAGTGTTACCATCGAATCAGCCATAGCCTTTGCCAACATTGCTTCTTCCTGAGCGGTCTTCTCTGCAATTTCTCGCGCTCTCTCTGCCGTAATGTTTTTCAGAACGACCAAAAATCGGCTACTATCGTTCGTATGATTATTACTACTGCTTTCCATGGTTGGAGACAAATAGTAATTATACGGAGACACTTCGAGACCATATATCATACCGTTCATACATATTTCATCTTCTCGTCGGTTTTTGGAAAATGCGTTGGCTAGTTTCTTCTCGTCCATAATTGTGTCGAGAGCTAAAACTTCGATGATCGGTTTGCCCAACAAGGATGTTCTATCTTGTAGAGATGCCGAGGGGCGTTCCATCTTATCTTCCTGGTTCTTTGCTATTCTACCTACGACCGGCGAAGTGATTTCTTCACATGCTGCGTTGAGCCATATGATACGAAGATCTGAATCTGTGATTGCAATGGCAGTCTCGCTCGCTCGCAGCGCCAATTCGACCATGTGCAACTTGTCACTTTTCTCCTGAATGATTCTGGTACGGTTTTTCACTTTGACTTCCAGTTCCTCGTTTAGATCGATTTCGTTCTGGAAGGCTCCTGTTGAAGCCACGCCTACACAGGCCACGAAACTGGCCTTGACCAAGGTGCGAAACATGTCTTGGGCGCCCACGCCATCAAAAGTCATCGATAGCATTTCACAGGTAACGTGGTACATGTAGATGGCAGCCAACACCCAGCGGGCTCCCAGTACCGACAATGCATTCCAATTGACGTGTTCGAAAAGAGCAGTCCGATCAAGTTTCGTGGCCGAAAGAAAGACAATCGCCAAAACCATTGGTCCACCCAATCCTAAAATGATGTCTTCCTTGAAGGTCGAAAATGGACTCATGATGGAAACGTATGTTCCAACAGCGAACATGATAACCATCCTAACGATGTGGTTTCGAAAGGTCAAAGAACCGTTACATAGATTTCCAAATAGGGTTCCCTGATACATGTTTGTAATGATACACTCCCCAGCATACGGCCATTGATTTAGGTTGAGATAAGCGCAAACCCATAGCGCAAACAAATAAGCCAAGAAACTTATTTTGTTCGAATGTTTAGTGTAGGACATCCAATTCAAGATGCATACCATGAGGCACAGAAACACAGTGAACAACGCCCTACCACAGTGCCCTGGATCGCTCTCATTGTCCTGACATGCCATCGTTTTTTCTACGTCGTAGGCAGACACTGGTACAATTGCTGTGAATGCTACGGCGCGTACCAAATCGCCATAGAATGGCTTTTGTTGTCTGTTGCTCGAATCGTTGTTTGCTTTGGTCGAGGTACTTGCTGAATCGATTTGATTGTTTCTCGTGGCAACAGAATCAAGCATCGTGTCTCTGCCATCTTCCTTGGATTCTTCGACTTTTACGCTGCTGCTACGACCACCCCGTTCCAAAAACTTCGGCGATGGTCCATCATTGTCTGTACCGTAAGTCGGATTGTATTTTGGACTTTTCATGTCGTTATTCGGGTCTCCTTAACTTGTATTCCTACTGTATCGCTCTTAAAAAATAACTATCGAACCTTGCATTTTTTCTGATATCTGTTATATTTCGTCGTGCGGACTCTTCGCATCATCACAGAGTAAGGAAAAACAAGTGATGTGTACATGTAAATGGTTCTGAATCATTCTTGCGTACTGTGCCGAACGGTCGATGAGCATTCCAGAATTAATCTTGTTTCACGCAATAGTTGTGGGAACTTTTAATCGCAGAGATGCGTAGGCAATAGAGGCCGAACGGTATTGACTCGTCACCTTGAAAGCTGTTTGTTAAGTACAGAGCACTTCTATGAAAGACAGAGTTGTGTTTCTTTTAGTAATCAAGAGCTTTTCAATCCTTTACGGCATATTTTTTGATGTGCTACTAAAGGTACCGGAGATTTAGCTCGGTCGGCGAAGAAAAAAATTTGAGTAGTATTGATTACTGTTTGTTTTTATGAAGTCTATTCAATGGTACATACTTCTACGGACGAAGAACTCGTACTCTTAATGCCATCTACAACAAAATGTCATTCGGTACTGATAGAAGAATACCATATCTGTAGTTGCGCGTGTTTGAAGCGTGAAGGCACGTGCAGACGTCAATCACTTAGTATTATTATGCGGTAGGTACGAGTAATTTTTATTCTGGGTTAGTTAGTCCCGTTATTCTAAACGTATGGTACGGTATTGTACGGTTTAGTAACCACGGTAGAAAATTTGGAAATCATAAAAGAAAAAAAAAGATAAAATAGTTCCAATTAATACTAGTACTACTACTATGAATACTATTGATAACAGGAGTTATACTAGTTGAAAGGTACTACAACAGCATGATTATTTAATTATTATCTTCTTTTTGCTAGTAATAACAACTTAGTATGGATGTTCCAAAATGTGCTGATTAGAATTTACAGTATTAATTCTAAGCATGAATTCTAAGCATGAATTGTGGACATTTACAATAGTTCCTTCTATGGATCTGAGTGATCGGTGACTTCATCGTCGCATATACAATTATTCGCCGTTACTCTTTTGCTTCTTTTCTCGAGAACTGGTTGGACTCTGAATAGCATCTTCAAAAACGTAACTTTGATCGTCCGGAGAATCTATCATTGAGCTTTTTCCTGTTTGGGGTATTGGAGAAAGAGCTCTATTTTCAATATCGTTCAATGTTTCAACCACAGTGGGAACATTTGTTTCTTCTGGCCCGGATGTACCAAATTCTATCGAACTTGTTTCGCCATTGGAACAGGACTCCTTGTCTTCCTCCGACGCACCACTGAGGCAACCTCCACTACTCGGTTGGATTCTTTCTTCTAAATACTTTCCAGATGAAGCTGTACTCATGGTGCAAACCGGTTGAATTTGCGCCGCTGCATACTGCTGATCCGATGGAAGAGGCTTCCAAGTTAGATCGCCATTGATGTACATAAAACCGGGACCATCTTCTATGTCAATCATGCGATTCTTTCGTTTCTCAATCAAACTTCTGTTCAAGTTGTTATGGTCTTGCCATTTTCGACGGGCATAGTACGAGGCAAGACCAAAGATGAGCAAGGCGACTGCTGCTCCAACGACATAAAGAACGACGGCTGTAGACATCGACCTAGACATTCCTGGTTGGTTGGGATCAGTTCCACAACCCAGAAGCTTCAGGCAAGTGGAACATATAATGCAATTGCTTGGGCAGAGAGCGGCATCATCACACGTCAAGAGTCCGTCGTCCATTAGTTCCTCGGCAAAAGTGCAATTGCATCCACTCAAAGAAATGTCTCCGGCAGTCATGTTACAAGATAGAGAGAGGTCCCAAAGCCATAAATTTTCATATGTGTTACACTTAGCATAAAAAAGAAAGCGGCGTTTAGCAGCCAGGATGTCACTTTTTAATCCACAACTTCTTGACGACTTTTGACTTACCTTTTCAATATCGAAATCATCAATTGGATCGTAGTCGGAATTGCCATCATATATATCTTCGTTGGAGATAATCTGCTCGTCATCATAGCCTGAGTTATCTCCTTGACCATTCCCACCACCATGGCCTCTGTAATCTTCATATGCCCAGTATTCATTTCCATTTCCACCATCATCGAAACCGTAGCTTCCTCCATTGGATCCTCCGCTTGAGCTGCTGATCGAACCTCCACCGGATCCACTATTTGAATCACTGCCACTAGAATCTCCGCTATGCAACCAGGAACAATTTGGTGCTTGGCCCGGAAAAATCCATACCAGTTCTGAGTCCGAATAACCAAGGCATCCTTTGTACGAAGAGTGATGACCACCACTTTTGACAGGAAGATGAAGATGTCGAGCAGCGATATGGTATTCTTGTCGCAGAGGAGGGACGGAGGCATTATGTGCAAGCTCCACAGTGTTGGCAGCGGTGGTAGCGGTCAACGTAACCATGATAAGCGTTTTCAAGTGAAGCATTTCGAAGCAAATATGGATTTTTTTCATATGAAGTATTTCTTTTATGATGCCTTCCTAGTTCGACCGCAACTCCCAACTTTTCTCCAGATTGCGTTTGCCCATGCTTTTCAAACGCGGTATTGGATGGAATATTTCCTGAAAACTTATATGAGTAGCAAATATTGTGGGTTGGAATGTTGCGGTGCGCCCATGCGAGTTGCGGGAGTGTCGCACCTCTGTTGAAATCTACGGTCACACTTCAAATCACACAATGTGGGAACAGAATGCTCGAACACTTAACGCATTCGCCAGACTCTTCAAGTTAAAATTTTCACCAAATGAAAAAATCAACCAACTGATGGACCCACATGTTCAACGTCCCGCTTCAAAAAAATGTTTGCCTTCAAACCAAACCACTTGCGCTAGAGAAATGACGTCGTACCTGCGCAGCGTAATACAGTATTCTCCGGAACAAAAGTTTTGACTTGTTTCTTCTTTTAACCAACAATTGTCTTGTAACCTATTAAAATTTGACATGATTTGAATTGCAACTCATTGTCTACGAGTATACAATGTACGGTACTGCTCACAATGTATGTCACATGTATCCATCGCTCGGACTTGATTCTTGACAGATTTGTGAGCGTGGTGCTATCGAATCAATCATTTTGGGTCAAGCATCTTCGAGTCCTCTCTTACTGTCGAGCTAATGATTCATTCGAGCTATCTTTCAGAGGAAGAGGTTGGAAATCGTTACTAGCTTGAGGTTACTTTAAGATTTAGCTATGATTCATGTGTAGAAACATTTCGTCCGAAGATATATTTTGCTGAGCTTCGAAAATGGCAGAGTCGCCTTCCATAACCAGATGATCACATATCTACCGCTTCTTGCCTTTTTTGGCCTTTTTCCGTCGGTTTGATCGTTTGCTAGTTCTCTTTGGGGGGGCAGCACCCTGTGGAGAGACGTGGTTGAAAGTTCGGGGGGTGATGGCTTCCTTGTTTTCACTTACTTGCTTTGAAACCACTGGTGTGCGCTTCGCTCGTTCTTTTCGCAGTGCTTCTAATCGCGACGCCAGCTCGGCACCTTCTGTCCCTGAAGCTTTTCCTCCGGCAGATCCTATGCCCAAGAGACCGTCAACGAATGCTTCTCCTTCGAACTGTGTTGGTATTGTCAGAAGGAAAAGAATAGAGAAAAACGTGCAAGCAACAGAAAATGAAGACAGCACGCAAAGAAACGATCCAAACGATCCAAACCAGTGTTAGTTACCGAGAAAGCGGAACGGCGACCAAGCATATTCTGCTCTTGGACTTACATCGCGCAAATCGTCGATTCCTTCACCGACACCAATAAGTTTGACGGGCAAATCCAGTTCCTTGCTGATCGCTACGACACTGCCACCCCTCGCAGTGCCGTCTAGTTTTGTCAGGACCAACCCAGAAAGGCCTATTTCCTTGTTCCAAACCCGTGCCGAATCGAGCGCCATTCGCCCCTGTGCCGCGTCCAATACCAGGAGCGCCTCGTGGGGGACGTCCTCATTCTTCTCGTCCCCGCTTCCCAGGGCTTCCTGGATGGCACCCTTCATTCGCACCAGCTCCTCGTTGAGTTCCCAGTTGTTGCTGAGGCGCCCTGCCGTATCGATCATGACGGTATCGTAGCCCTCCGCCAGGGCCTTTTCGCAGGCCGCCTTGGCGATCGTCGTGGGGCTGGACGTGCCGTCCGGCGTCGGCCCTAGCAGATCGACCTCGGCCCGATCGGCCCACATCTGTAGCTGGTCCACGGCACCCGCGCGGAACGTATCGCACGCAGCCAGCAATACCTTCTGGTCGCCCTCGATCTTCAATCGGTTCGCAAGTTTTCCGATGGTTGTTGTTTTTCCCATGCCGTTGGCCCCCATGATGAAGAGGACGGTCGGGATCTTGGATTCCTTCGAGGCAAACCGTATCGCTGACGCCCCGGGAATCGAGTTGGGGGAGGGGGGTTCGGATTCTTCGCTGGCGTCGTCGCCATCGCCGGCGGTTTCTTCCACGGCAGCCACCGCTCCATCCGGTGTCTCGAAATCCAGAGTTTCGATGAGGACACCCCGCATGACACTCATCAAATCCTCCCGGGAGAGAAGCCTTGGGTCCTTGCCTTCCTCGCTGTTGTTCTCTGACAACGATTTGACCTCGGCGACGATATCCTCGGAGGTGGCTACTCCCAAATCGGCCTGCAACAAAACGTCCTGTAAGTCCTCGAGGAGCTCATCGATGGTGCTCGCGCTAGAGGCACCCCCGAACAGACCGTCGAGGTTGTTTAGGAACCGGTTCCGGGACAGAGCCAGGCCGGCCGCAAATGCCTCGTTGGTGGCGGCCGTATAGGAGGCGGCATCGGCCAGACCCTGGCCGAGGTTTCCCTTGGCGGCGGCGTCCGTCAGTTTCGAGAGCTGTTCGATTCCCTCGGAGGATCGTTGTTTGAAAAAGTCAAACACCATGGACAACTCGGTGGTAGTTGGCGATGCCCATTCTGTCGTTCTCGTCGGCACCGGCCTGTGTTGTTGAGAATTCTTCGGCACCGGGGCAAAGGCGTCTGCCGTTTTGGTTGCCGGGAGGGTGGCTAGCGACGTTACCACCAAGAGAGTCCGCAGCGCGCGGGGAATTGTCGATTGAAAACGGGGTTCATTGTAATCGGGCCGAGTCATGGTTGGGTTTGTCTTTGACATTGTGTTAGTGTGTGTTGTCGCTTGTGGTTTTGATTCTGTGCGGTTCGATAGCAATCCCGAGCAAGCTTTGATGTAATACATGTGTGGTATCAGTGCCCGGAGGTAAGAGTACAAGTACTTTAGTACATGAGTAATCGTAGTCGGATTGGGTAATTAGCAGGATCATAATTCAATCAACAACACCGACAGATTGGTTCTTGAAGGTGTCTCGTTTAGCCTTGGTCAGATGTTTCTTACTATTTGAGACTGGTGAGGTGTTTGGTACGTCAGTGTGATGATTCTCGTTGATTGACATATGGTATGACTCACTCGACTCAATCTGGTGTGAATCAAATGTTTGACGACCATCTTTTAGATCAATGAAAGTGAAACTTGACTGATTCGAGTACGAAGAGGGTAGGGAGCATTTCTTGATTTTTCAAATCTGCTGCTCCTGTCCCGAATGACAAAACACAACCAGACGGCCGGGCAATTTTAAATTTCAAATGTGAGCATACTACCAGACATGCGCGGTAACAAACTGAGTTTTCTTGTGAAGATGAGAAGTAAATTTTCGATTGTCTGCGAACACGATTATTACTAGGTTAGTTCTCGTACTTCTTGATAGTAAACAAAACAAACCATACTGAAAACAAAGCGCTCTGCAGCACCACTATTGGAAGCAGTTAAGAATGCATGAAGGGACTGCAGCAGCGATACACATACGAGTACGATAAGAACGGCGAATGTTCACGAAAAACGGATACACAATTAACAGATCACAAATCAAACATACTCACAACGTACGGTGGAAAACTTGACAAACGATAGCAATCATGAGCCCGGAAAGGACAAACCATGGATACAGGCAAGACCGTGGCCCCAGCGCTTATACAATAATAAAAGATCTCATTGGCATCGGGATTTTTGTCTCACTGCTGGTAATGAATTATCTGAACATCAGCATTCTCAGCGTCCTGGATGGGCTGGATATATCCCGCAACGATTACCTGGATGAACCACGGATGCGCCAGAGGCGACCAAACGTCGATCGGGCGCAGCGGCGGGAGGCTTCGCTACTGAACCCGCCGAGGGAGGAGGGAGCCGTCCTTGCGAACCAAAAACGTCCGACGAAGCGCGATCGGAAACCGCCCCGGGCCCACCGCAAGATCGACATCCGCAAGAGCAGCCAGAGCAACGAGCTCCTCGTCCAAGAAGACGACATTATCTACAAAGGGAAAATGTCGTCCTTCGACTCGGCACCCATCGTCGACGAAAAACACAAGCTCTTGTTTTTCAGCACTCCCAAGGTGGCCTGCACCACCTTCAAGTTTCTCTTCCGACGCATCATGGGCGTCGAGGACTGGGACTTCCAGGACGGTATATCAGGAAAGAACCTTCCGCACAACCCCAAACACAATAACCTGAAGTACTTGTGGGACTATGACCGAGAGACCGCCACGAAAATGATGACGGATCCAGAGTGGACAAGGGCGATCTTCGTGAGGGATCCCAAGATGCGCTTCCTCAGCGCCTTCCTCGACAAGGCCGTCGCGAACTACGGCAGTTTTGTCACGCAGCACTGCTGCCCGGCCGCCGAGGAATGCCGAACTTCCGAGCTCAATATGGATATGGCAAAAGCGACCGAACAATGCCAAGTGGATGCATGGGATTCGCGCAAGCTCGTCGTCAAACCCAGGTGGCTCGAGGATCAACCTTGTTGCACATTGTTTAAGGAATGCAACGAAAAAACAATGAACATCGAAGGGTTCATGGATACAATCAAAACATGCCCAAACGATCACTGGGGTAAGCTGATTTGAAAGTTTTCTGATGGAATCAACTAGTGTATTATGCGTTCGTTCACCACACTCACTAAATGGCGATCTAACCCCCAAATTATCTCCTCCGGTCCTTGACTTTTACAAACTTATAGAGCCGCAAAACAACCGAATGGAACCCAAGTATTGGAAATACATCAATTTCGTTGGGCGCATGGAATCCATCAACGAAGACACGGAGAAACTACTCAAGCGCGTCGGCGCTTGGGATGAGTACGGTAAGATGGGCTGGGGACCGCATCACAATGCCTCCATGACCAGAACGTCTGGGAGTTATCAGTCGCACAAAACGGGTTCCTCCTCGAAGATCTACCAATGGTTTACCCCCGAAAAAGAACGCATGGTCGAAAAGTTTTACGCCGACGACTACGAAAACCAGGTCTTCGATTTCAAGGCAACGAACCTGACGGAACCAACCCTTGATGGCAAAATCCTTAAGCAGAACGACGACATCTACAGCCGCAATGACTGGGATGGTGCACCAATAGTGGTTTCGAAGTACAAACTTATTTTCTTTACGCAACCCAAAGTCGCTGCAACCAGGTGGAAACAGGCGTTTCGGCGAATGGAAGGTTACAATGACTGGAAGGAGATTGGCGGACCCAATGAACTTCCTCACCAGCCGCAGAAGAACGGATTGAAATACCTGTACGATTTTCCGTTGAAAGAAGTAAGTTCTGATTTTGTTGGTAACTGGTTCCGATCGGTTCTTTGAATAAGGAAGCCAAGGCAATATTTGCCTTGTGCGATTTCTAATATTTTTTCAATTCCGTGTGCATCCTTTAATACCTCAACAAAAATACAGGCGGAAGAGATGATGACGAGTAAAGATTGGACGAAAGCAATTTTCGTGCGTTCTCCGAAAGACCGATTTTTGTCCGTTTACTCTCACTTGCGAGACAATTGGAAGCAGATCGATGATCGATGTTGCCCCAACCAGCGAGGTTGTTCCTCCACCCTCAACAACATGATTCAGTTCATCGAACTTATGAAGGTTTGCCACTCTACACACTGGATACCGTATTCGGAGCGCCTGGACTCAAAATGGTGGGAGCACATCAATTTTGTAGGCAAGCTAGAAAACGTCGATGTCGATTCTGAGAACCTTCTGAAATCAATAGGCGCATGGGAAGCCGTTGGCAAAAGTGGATGGGGGGAAAATGGCAACGAACCCATATTTATCAAAAATATCAATTCATTTGAGAGTGTGCACAATGCACTTGCCAAGTATACCCCGCAAGCAGACAAACTGTTGAACGATTACTATGAAGATGATTATAAAAACAAGCACCTCAACTTCAAAAGTAGAAAGGTGCATGTCATGACCCAATAATGCCGTCTGACGCTGAGGTATAAGCACGACAAAGCGCCAACTACAAATGTTAGGTCAATTGATGTGAACTCAACCGGAACATTAAAACGTTAATTGAAGATTAAAAATTCTACTCTCAAATAGATATTTCTCTATGTTTTTGGAATTGATTTCAAATACGTCGGATTCTGTGAACGAAACGGAGTAAAACATAGTACTTTGGATATCTAGTAGAGGTAGCCTCAAGGCGCTGGAGAAACTGATGCAAGAACAAGCGAGTTTTCTCTGTTTGTTGGCACTCGGTACTCGTCCAAAAACCGTTAAAGCAATTCTTCCCAATCAATCGCATCAATCTTCGAGTAGTATTTCCCGTCGACTCCTTCTTCTCGCCTGATCTGAAAGTATTTCTCGGGCATGCTTACGTTTGATTGTGTTGACAACTCGTTTTTCATCATCAAGACAAAGTCTTCGTCGTGAGTAATCAGAACCAACTGAAAATTACTTTGCTGCGATCTGGATGCGATAATCTGAGCGAGGGCGACGGCGAGCCCCTTTTTGTTGTTGTAATCCAGATTCACCGTGGGCTCATCCAGTGAAATGCACCCGAATTTCACACAAAATGTTTCCGCGAGCGCCAAACGAATGACGATGCTTGCAAGAACACGCTGTCCAGCACTGCACCTACCTCTCATATCCATTTGACTTCCTCCACCTTTCGACATGACAACTCGGTAGTTGTATGAGCGAGTGGTTCGACCAGCAGAGTCATTTCCAGAAATAATTTCAATGTTGGTAATATCCTCACCCTTATACGTAAGGTTCCAAAGATCCCTAATAATTGCGTTGATTTCTGTAATCTTGATGCCGTGGTAGCGTTGCAAAGCTTTGTCAAGATTCGAGTGATATTTTTCAATGTCCTTGACGGCCATTTCTGTAGTATCTTGTCTGATCGAAGCTTTCCTGAAATCTTCTTCGACATCTCTATACTCATTTTGCGACAACTTTCTTTTCAATCCACGAATTGTGTCATTAATCTCCGCGCGTCTACCTTCCAATCGTGCGTTGCTTTCAATCAATTGCTCGTTCCGATTTTGAAGACTTTCATGATCTTCTTGCAATCTTTGGCGGTCACCTACGCTTGACTTTTCTTTTTCTATCCTGCCAATTTCTTTTTCTAATGCTTTGATTTTTACCGTGGACCGGATCAAATTGATGTTCTCTTCAAGGTTTTTGCGCTGACGTTCCTGGTCATCAACCATTCGTTCCATGCGATTCAGATCAGGAGTCATTTTCTCGATCTCTTCATCTTTTTCTTTGGCTTTTCGAATCAACTCGTTTCTCTGAGCTTCCATTCGATCGACATCGTCCTTAGAATTTGACTTTTCGTATTCATTGATTGCATCAACAATGTTTTGTAATCCTGCAATGTCATTATTGAATAAAGCCAGGGTGCTGCTTATTCGCCTTTCTTCCTCTGCGGCCAGATTTCGAGCTCGAGTCCGGTCACTTTCTTTCTTTTCGATACGTTGTTTCAATGGCTTGATCTGGTCGGAGAGCTGCGTGAAGCGAAGATACATCCAGACAAGTGGACAAAAGAAGCAATTTCAGTCTGCATTATATGCACTGTGAATCGCGTAAAAATTCTAATTTTTAAAAGAACAGAACTGTTCGACGTACCTTCTCCTGTTCGGCTCTTTTCTTCAAGTACTCTGTCTGAAACACAGCTAAGGTTTCTTCATCTTTGATTTGCTCTTGGTATTTCTCTTCCATTCTTTTGAATAGATGCTCGAGACGAGTTGCATTAGTGGATGCTTGTTGTACGCGGTCATTGAGAGAAGCTAGCTCAGTGTTAAGTTTTGTGATCTTATCTACTCGTATATGAGTACATAAGTAAGAGAAGCGGTGGAAAACCGAACGATGAGAGTGTGCGACTTCTTCCGGACTTAGTAATTGCCATTTGATTTCCATCTCAAAAATAGGACTAAACACGTACCAGCATACTCGTCTTTCCTTTGAAGCGAGTCGGATAGTTCTCCCTCAACTTGTTTCAGGTCGCGTCCTTCTCTATCGGAATTCATCAGACGGAAATTCGACTCCTTTTCATTGACTTGAATGCGGTCCATAGCGATGCGCGAAGAATCTCCCACCCAGCGTTTCGAAGCGTCGGAGAGTTCACGGAGTTCTTTCAAATCTAACTCGACGTTCTGAATGTCTGATTTTATTTTGTCTCGCTCCCCCTTGCGGTCTATGAGAATCCTATCCAAGTCAGAAACGTTCTTTTGAAGCTCGACCAGGTCTTTTTGCAGGCGCTGATGCTCCGTAATATCACCAACCGCTCCCTTGACAAGGCGTTGCCATTCTTGATACTTGGCCTATTTTTAGAGTTTTGTTGTTGACCGAGAAGGCATGGGAAAAACTCGATGAGGAACGCAAATACTAGCGTATGCAAATCGATTTATTTCTTGTCGGTTGACTTACCTTGGCAGTCTTAGTCCAGTCGTCAACCTGGAGTAATGGGGATCCGTCGGACCATAATTTTTTCATGGCGTCCTGAAACCTCTTGAATTCGGCCTCGTCTGGCATACTGCGTTCACAGCAAGGGCAAACAAAGTCATCACCAGCCCCGACCTTGGCGGGTTTTGACTTTCGAAAAGAGGAATGAAGTCGAAGAAAAATGAGAACGAAGGTAGCAAGTCTTTCCTAGTAGCATCACTAGGATTTTCAATCTCAAACTTACCAGGTAGAATATTTGCTGAAGCACTTGCTTAACCATCTTTGGTGGAATATTCTCCGTGGATCTGTCCTCGATCTCGTCCAAGCGTTTCGTCACGTAGGACAGAAGCTCATCAGGGCGGCCATCCGTGATCGCAACCGGGGTCGGGATTTTTTGTTCGTGCTGCTCAAAGAAACGAAGATCTTCGACTACCTTTTTCGTCCCATCGATGCTTGGTTGTAGTGCTCCAAGGCGCTTCTGTTTCTGGCGGATGGATTGGACGGAGTGGTTGTGCAGAGCAGATTTCTCCGACACAATTGCCTCGAGCCGATGGATCGCGTCTTGTTGTCTCCCGAGCTCTAGTTCTCTGTCCTCCTTCTTGCTATTGATTTCGTTGTTGACCTTTTCCATAATCCTCTTGAGCTCCTCGCCATTCCCGTCTGTGTCATTTCCCGGAAGTTCACGGGGCGGAGGCGTGATCCTTTGGGACTGGCAAAGAAAAGAGTACTCCGAAACGTTGATCTTGAGCTCTTCCAGGTCAGTCTTGCACTTTGCCTTCATTTGTTCGATGGCGCTTTGCGCCTTGAATGTACTACGGAGGTCTTCCTGTACGGCCCTGTCGATTTCGATTTTCTTTTTGAGATCCTCGATCTTGTTGTTGAGACTACCGATTTCGATAGGAATTTCCTTTTGCCGTGAGTTATTGTTGGCCTCGTCTCTGGCTCTGGCTGCTTTTTCAGCGTTCGCTCTCGCCTCATCAATATTGGTTTTGCGAGTTTTTGGAACTGCCGGGGCGAGGGAAATCATTAAGAAAAGAATGAATAAATGTGGAGGTTGAAGAAGGAAACAGATAAGGAGTATGGATGAGCATGGATGGAAATGGATTCCGAGGCATAATGGAAGCAATGAGAGCTTTTCTTCGATGCTCACCCTGCCTTGCTTTTCGTGTTCGCTCAGCTATATCGTTGTTCAGCTTGAGCTGTGCCGTGCGCAGCTCGTCCGCTCGAAGCTCTACGGAGCTTAGTTTCCCCTTGAGGTCGGACAGTTCGTTGTTGAAGGCATCTTCTTGCTCCCGAGCCTTGCTCTTTTCGGCAGCCACCTGGTCCTCCAGCTCGTCTTTTTTCTTCCGAACAACCCGGAAGTACTCGTCCAGGTCCTTTTTGGGGATGTCGAGAATGGCGGGTGGTGCCGCCATATCCCGGCCGTCGGCCGAGTCGTCGTCGTCGCCCTGTGTGTGGTGCCGAGAATGGTAGGACCCGCTTGAGTCTTGGGTGGAACCAGCGGCCAGTTGTGAATTCTGGGTGATCTGCGAGACCACGTCTTCCAGGCCGTAAGTGGTACCGATCGCGCACATTTTGTCGTAGCGCTTCTTTCGGTTCTCGGTATCGGCTTCCTTCGAGGCCTGGAGGCGGCCCACCTCGGATTGCAGTTCCGATTGCTGGTGCCGGATGGCCTCGAGCTCGCGCTTGAGGGTCCTCTGCCGGGATTCTAGTTCCCGCTTCCGGTCCTGGTGTGCTTCCTTTTTCCCGTCGAAGGCCCGGAGCTGGTCCCTGAGTTCATCCTCGCTGAACCGATCGGTGAGGTCCTCCTCAAGCAATCCCCGCCGGGTGAGCGCCGTCTCTTTTGCGTTGACGTATTCCTGCTCCTTGATATCGAATCGATCCTCGATTTCGTTGATCTTATCGAGGAGCTCATCGACCATCTTTTGTTCTTCCTTGTTTTCGCGGATGGCGTGGCGGCCGCTTTCCAGCTGGTCCTCAAGCTCCTCCATCTGTTCGTTGTGCTTTCGAATCTCCGCCCGGAATCCCTGGGCGGCGTGCCGGTGCGATCGGAGTTCCGCTACCACCGCCTTGTGGTCCTTGGCCTTGAGGATGTACTCCTTCTTTGCCTTGACAAAGACGTCGAGGGCCTTGGTGTAACGCGTCGAGTCAAAGATGTCGTCGAATTTTTTCTTGAGGACGGCACCCTCTTGCAGCGGCCAGGAGGCGTCTTCCTGGTGACAGAAGACGACGTTCTCGAGGATCGCCTTCGAAACACCCAGCATCAGCGGGACCTGCCGATCGAGCTCCGTGCACTTGTGGCTCATCGAAACCCTCTGGCCGTGCTGGTCGGTGGCCCGGATCGTCCCGTCGAGCTGCTTGAAGTTGAGCTTCGTCTTGGACTGCTTGACCTCCATGGACCGGACGATGACCATGGTGTGCCCCGCCGCGTTGTTGAAGCGCAGCTTGATGTTCGACTTGACGACCGAGGATCCGATGCTCCGGGGATCGTGGACAAAGGCCTGGCCCGCAGTTTTCCCCGGGGGGAGTGCCCCGCAGACCGCGAACTTGAGGGACTCGATGATGGTGGTTTTCCCGCAGCCGTTGGCCCCCACGATGACGGTGAGGGGCATGTAGAACTCCAGGACCTGCTCGGCGTCTTCCGGAGAGAAGGATCGGACCCCACKGACCGAAAGCTTGTTGATGGACGCCATTGCTGTTGAAAGTTATTGATTCCGCTTGTATGGGGGTTTGCCCTCGAGTCCCGGTGTTCTACTTTTGGCCTGCTTCTGTTGGATCCTGTTTTTTTGCGATCTGCACTGTTCTGCGTCTATGGAATTGTTGCGTTAGTTCAATAGATAACTGGGTCAATACTCCTCTCTGACCTTAATTGGATCGGAAGCTTCCTCAAACTCTGAACTTGGCCCTGGGTTCCACCAGTCTTGACATTGTTCGACGATGGTATTGGCTGCAAGTTTGGAATCAAGTTTTGTCGAAATGGATTTTCATTACTAATGTTTGTGCCGTACTACGAGTGCCGTACGTACGGGTCGGACGGTGATGCGTACGTACCGTACCCCCGCATCGTAGCTCCTACTCGTACCGGTGCCTGGTACTCGTACTCATATGTATGCATTCAGGGTTCCTTTCTCGATCTTCAGCGCGCAATTTGTCATTTGTGACAGCTCGAAGACATTTTTAATCGAAGATGTCAAGAGTTTCAGTTTCAAATACATTTAGAGCTAGGGATAAATTTTCTCGACTCCCAAAAACTGAGAAAGATCCAAAATCCAAGACTACGAAAAAAATTCAAAAATCATCCACAGATCACACCGTACCGTGCTTATCTCGTACTGTACGGTATGTACGTACCTACCTGTAGTCTAGGAAGCCTGACAGAAGAAAGAGTCATGCCGAATGCAGCATCGTCATGGAATGCTACCTGAGAATCACTGAAGAAAACCGAAACCCATAAATTAGTTACGGCAAAAGGACATCAATAGCCAACGCACCAAAAACATCCAAAAAGATGGATGCTCGCGTCGAGGAATTCTACCGCGAGATCTACATCGACCTCAGGGTCGACGACAACGAAGCCGCTCGGCTGTCGGCCTACTTTGCCGAGCTGAACCCGCCCCCCGACAAGCTGCTGTGGCTGCGATCGACCGCCTTTCGGTTGGGGAGCGAGTTTTTGACGGGGGGCGACAAGGACAAGAACGTCTCCCTGTTGAAGTGCATCAACTACGTCGTTCACGCCATCGAGAGCATTTGCATGGAACCGGCCCTCCCCGAGGGGAACTCCGGGTACGACGGGGAGGTCACGGAGGACTACTACCGCGAGGTTTTTTCGGACCTTGCCGTGAATCGAGAGGAGAGCGAGGAACTGAGCGCCTTTTTCAGGAACAACATTCCTCCTTCCGACTCGCTGGTGGCCATGAGGGCCGCGGCGTTTAAGGCCGCGATCGATTTCCTGAGCGAGGACGGGGACAGAGAATCGGATGTTTCCTTGCTTCGATGCATCAATGCCGTGGTGCACAACTTTGAATTCGCATGCTACAAGTAAGTGCGGTAAGGGTAACAATCGACGATGGAAGGTACTTCGTAATTTCTATATTTTTTGGGGCGGTCTTTTCGATTCCAGTGTTTCACGCACATTCTGTTCTTACCACCACGATTTTTTCGCGTTCCAGGCCCAGGCAGTACACCCTGAAGAAGAAATTCGATTTGACCGTCGGTCTCAGCGAAGCCGTTCAGGAAATGTGGAACCTGGATGACAATCGGCTGACACCGAACAGGGACTACGTTATCGACGTCCAGGAGGGAAAGAAGCCCTACCGGAAGGAGGACGCGGCCGAGGACCCCTTGTTTGCCCGCGTGGACCGCAGCGCCCTGAACCGACCCACCTACCGGGCCTTTGTCGCCCTGCTGGACAACTACCGACGCGCCACGGGGGGCAGAGAAACCATCGGCTCCCGCGAGGAGCGGGAGATCGACGCCTTCCTGGAGGCCATCCTCCAGACGGCCCCCTTGCAGTACTGCTACGCCTACCTGCGCGAGCAAAAGGGGGACGATATCCCCCCGAGCCTGTCCGAATTCGGGGAACTCCTGCGGGACATCTGGTTCGACCTGTACCGGCGGCAGAGCGCGAACGACTCGAGCGGCTTCGAGCACGTCTTTGTCGGAGAGGTGAAGAACGGGAAGGTCAGCGGGATGCACAACTGGATCCAGTTGTACCTCCTGGAAAAGGAGGGCGACCTCGACTACCGCGGGTACATCAAGCCAAGGAGCCAGTCGGACGCGGAGACCAACTCGGACGACCACCTGCTGACGCTGCAGTTCCGCTGGGACGGGGTCGAGAAGTCCGTCGGAACGTGCCTGATCGGGACCAGCCCCGAATTCGAAGTGGCCCTCTACACCACCTGCTTTTTGCTGGGGGACGAGAACAACGAGGTGACCCTCGATACAGGAACCGGGGACATCTTTGACCTGAACGTTCGGTGCTACAAGCACGATGGAGACAAGATCGGAACCGCCTTTCCGGAGGTCAACGCCCACTGGGAGGAATGAGCAACGGGCACGGCTGACGGCGAAACAGCAGGGAGCAACATGTCTCGAGTTGCCACGCCGAACACGAGCATGCAAGAAATTAGAAATCCGCAACAAAACTTGCAATGAACTATTTGTGGATCTTTAGAGTAGTGTCCAATACCGATGGGTTGTTTATAACATTACATTTTCCCTCTATTTAGTATTATTTCGCGAGTTATTTGTTGTAGAGTTAATGCCATAGCAGAAGAGATCGATGGTACCCCCGATCGGAGAGATCTAGCCGGTCTATGAATCGGCACCGCCGCTCGAAATTCTAGGGATCGATGCTGCGGTGGGGGGCTTTCCAAGGATCCAGTCGCATACCTCGTCTGCGAGTGCCGAAAAGTTTTCCTCGTCCCCAAAGGAGGCCCCCTGGAACCCACCGATGGCTTCCTTGGCCATGTTGATGTTCTCCGGCGTAAAGTTGTCTCCCAGGCCCCCCATCGCTTCCCCGGCTAGGTCGTCTACCTTGAACTGAAAGTAGACGGGGGTCAGGTGGCCCCCCGGGAGGTTGGAGACACCGACGCCCGACTCGCACGCATCTCGGAATTCCTGCGACGAGTCGAGGGTGTCGTCACCAAAGACAAAGAGCCGGGTTTTCGCCTTCATGGATTCGCTGTACCGCAGCTGGATGAGGCGCTGGGTGTCCTGGGGACTCGGAGAGAAATCCACCCCGATCGCACCGACCGCCATCTCGGCGAAATCGAAGATGCTGTTGATCATTTCGGGATTCACGCCGCCCATGCCGCTCGCGCTGGGCATGCCACCTCCCCCCCTTAGTTCCTGGGCAAAGGACCTGGCCATGGTGATGGTTTTCGCAAAGGAAAAATTGTTAAAGGCCATGAAGCCGATTCCGTCAAAGGAGCTCTCGAGCCCCGTTGCCGCCATGTAGATGGTTTGTAGCTTGCACCCCAGGCTGTGGGCCAGGGAATACGTTGGCAATGGCTTGGCGTCCTCGTCGTCGTTCAGAACCAAGAGGGCCCTGCGGATGCGTTCCCCCGTTTCCTTGGCAAGGGAAAAATGATCGAGGCCCACCTCGTAGGGCGCCGTGATGCAGACCGCGTTGAGCTTGTCGGACACCTTGGTCAGTAGTTCGTTGTACACGACCTGCGGGAACTGCCCCAGGCCGGCACCACCGGTGAACACGACGACGCAGGACGGAATCGAGCTCGAGGGGGGCTCCAGCATCCACACAAAGTCCTCTCCCCGTGGTTTGCTGCCAAGGGTTTCGCTCTCGTCGCCGCCGTCCTCCGGATCTTCGGGAGGCAGAAAAAGCTTCGACCAGCGCGGCTTTCCCCGCCCCGATTGCTGCTGCATCTGCCATTGTTGGTCCAGTGTCACCAGGGCGGAGGTGAGCTCTCCAAAATCACCACCGCTCGGGCCATTGGTCGACGCCAGCGCTGTTCCGTCGACGGGGCATCGTCGTGGTCGGTTCTGGAGTCCCGGACCGGTCCGCGAGAAGGCCGATACTACTGCAACGTCCGGTTTCGGCGTCAAGCAGGCGAACAAGAAGACGTTGTAGAATCCTAGTGCTATTGTTGTTATCCTTCCCATTCTGTTATTGCTTATTCCTCGTCTTGTATTTCTTGTTGATTCGTGTCGGTGTCTTAGTCTTCCTAATTATCCCACTGGGCACAGGGAAGAAGTACAGGTACGATTTATTCTCTGACCAAAACTGACTGGATCATCGAAAAAAAAGGAAGGATTTCAGGATTTCAACAAGAAAAATTTTAAAAAATCGAAACGTGTCGATTTTCAGGGGAAAAAAAAAGAAGATTTGATTATGTCCATGTGAGCCCTAAAACACAGCAAAATGCAAGCAATCACGAGTAGATAGTGAGTGAGGGCAAATAAAGCTCAACCACTCACTCTTTATTGTAAACACGTAGTTATACGACACTAAAGAGCATACGTAGATTTCGCAGGTTATGAGCAACAAAGAACATACCTCAACCTCATCAACCGCACACTAATAATAACACCATCATCCAAATGGATAACACAAGCCAACACAGCTGAATTGGGAGTCATACCCCCCACAGCGCCAACATGAGACCGATATCGTGCTCTCACAACAAGAAACCGACACCGGACCCTCAAAATCCAAGAAAAAGGGAATTTTCCCCGACCATACACACACGTCGTAGCAATCCTACGACGTGACAACAAGTGACACATAAGATGTCACCACAACACATACTCACTCGAAGTGATACCATGACACAATACTCACCTCAACAGTCAACACCAATGATGGCAATCCAACAGCGATCATACAAACATCGAAGTGAAAACTAAAAGATTCCACCTAAATTGACAGTTACCACGACGAATCCAACAGCGATCATACAAACACCGAAGTAACCTGCTGACAACAGGCAGCTATCGCCACAACAACACATAAATTGAAATTCGCAACACCATTCACTGAACATGCCAAAACCCCATCAAAAGAAGACTACTCCCACCGGTAGTCGCCGCACATCAGGCCGAACTACAAGCACCAGAAACCCCAGGAACCCTCACACATCGTCGCCAATGGGGAAATACCTAGTCGCCAGAACGCCTACACGACCATCAAACCCCCACCACCACACTCGCCTCAATCTCCGCGAATACCATGGCAACATTCAACGTGAACTCCGGGCTATTGAACTGGTATTCCCTAAGGAATCTGACAACACTATCTATAACACGGACCTGTTCCCATTTAAACCACGAACACCCCCAACTCCAACAGCATACTCTGCACACTTGAGTGTTATCCACACTACCACAATCAAAGATACAGACAAAATTACAGCACTGGGTGAAAATCTAACTCAACTCATCCACAGAAATCACTTCTCCATTCCCCCTCCAACAGACACACCGTCACATTCACTACTCCGTTATCAATACAGTGAAGCGTTTATTCACTACATGGATGCCAAGCTTCCTCTGGACCAATCCACCCCGCCGGCATCCATCACTGGACGCCGCAAATCACGACCACCTCCACACCTTCGGGTAACAAACACTACACCACGGATGGAGGAGAACATTGCCAACAAGGACGACGATTCCCTCAACTCCATCGATATGGCACCGGCAGATCTACAACAAAGATTTGCCAATGAACGCAGTACAGCCATGGACAAGACAGCAATGGACAGTCAGGAGGAGGGAAGTCAAAGGAATCAGGATGAGGAGAACGGAGACAACATTCAGGACAAGGATGATATGTCAAACCGCATCCAACTGTACGAACAACAGTATGAGACCATCGACACGGAATTACAATCCCTCCGCAACAGTTTAGAAAACATTGAACACCCCACGGATGACACCCAACACCCACCAGAAGCAACACTAGAGCCTAACACACTCGCAACGATAACTGCTCAACTCAAAGCGAACGATCTAAAATGGACTAAACATCTCACAAACATCAACTCCCAAATCCACAACATACAGCAAGGATATGAGACCACGATACAGAAGAAATCAACGGACTTAACTCACGCACAGCAGCAACTCACCTCCGCTAATGACAGACTGGACACTGCTCTAAACACAATCGCAACCCTCCAGCAACAGGTCGATCTCCATCGACAACACCTTGATGATGCAATGAAAGTCAATGCAGAACTCCAGACGGACATATCGCAACTTGCCAACACAACATGGGCCCTGGACCAAAGAACATCCAGAGCCTCGACAGTCTTAACATCCATTAAGAATGAGACTATTCATCTCAAACAGCTTAAGGATGAAGCAAGCACCATTACATCAACCACTATGGCAACGGCTGACCTAAGAGAGAAAATAAATGAGGTAGTTGAACAAGGCCGCACAGACCTTAAGACCATGAGCGACCGCATTGAACACAAAGTTATCGATACGGTCAAGAAACAAACAAACCTATTAGAAATGAAAATACAGGAGATCATTAATCAACAACTGGACCAAAATCACTCCCTCGTTCAGGGTCTGAAGGAGACCATTATTGAACAAGCAAAACAGGATCTTAACTCCCAAGCAACGGACACACTCAAGGACATACACACCGACTTGGAGCAATCGAAACACGATCTGCAATTGCTTCACAAAACACACGTGGACAAACTAAATGCACACAGGACGGCAGCAACACTGGCTCTCAATCACACAGCAACTGAAGCACAGGAAAACATTGCACTCACCAAAACCATAGCAGAAACGGACATCAAACGCTCCATTCAGCAACACTTGACGACTGACACCTCAGTGGGTGAAACAATCACCACACAGGTGAACAACACCATCCAATCTTACATCAAGGCTGAGGACTTTCATGGCACCATTGACGACACCGTTCACTCCTATGTAACGAGCTCCACAGTACTCAAAGACCTCATCAAATATCAAATCAATAACTGTATTCAACCAAAAGGACCACAACAACCATCCTTCCGAAGCACTCACAACCCCCGAAGGACCCAACGCAATCAACAAGACTCACCACCGGACCCGGATGATTCCGATCACGACTCCGACCCCAACAACGACCCCATACACTCGGATAGCTCGAGTGAAAAACCCCCAAGAGATCGATTTGGCAATGCTGACAAAGTCAAATCTTTCTCCAGAAGACACAATTACCAGAAACGCATGCAGGAAGAGGAAATAAAACACCAACAAAACCACCGAATAAGTAAAGCATTTCATGCTATGGACTTCAAAGACTTTGACCACAACTTAATCCCGACCACAAACAGATATCTCACATCTTCGGAATTTACAGCACTGTATAATGAATTTCATAATATGATGAGTTTGGAGAGCCTTCCCCTGGTCTCACTAGACCAATTACCAGAACATGAAACTTGCATTCCCCCTACCCACAATGAGACCGACGACAACATACGCAAAATCAGCATATACATCTATGGTCACCTCTCGAGACTTATACCAATAGGACACACACTCCTTCGTGGCCTCATTGCCCCATATACCCTTGATAGCTATGGATATGAAGCCCTCTACGCTATGGCTCGACACTCCCTGGATTATCTCAAACCAACACAAAATGGATGGGGACCAGAATGGACAGCTAACGATGACCCAGGAACCTACGTAGGAAAATTACAAAATCACGTGAGAAATAGTATGCTATGCCACAAACATATATACACGGATCTGGAACAAAGCCATGAACTGGTGTACCAAACAATGCGACACTGTAATTACTCTGCAGGATGTTGCCTACTCTCACTCCTCTATGCGCATCGCTGTCTCACTCCAAACGCAAACAATAAACCAATCCCTGACCACCTTTGACTCACCTCCATGATGCAATTTATCATTGAGAACCCCAATGTGGAACGGATAAAACACTCCCAGTTTCAGCCAGTACCAACAGTTACGAAACTCAATAACACTAGGAAACCATTTGAATACAGAAACAAAGTGCAATGCAAGTGTTGCCACACATACGGTCACGATGTGAACGAGCAAATATGTCGCTTTGGAGCACAGCTGTACTTTACACAGAAATACGCAACAGACAATCCGGATGCTTTTCAAAACAACGCAGTCAAATACGACAAAATGCACACGAAAGCAATCGTCAATCACTTCGAAAATAACCTGAATGGCCGAACTCTCACAAAAACTGAACATGAAGATGAAAGAGAAGCGCTGGCACATTTCTTCACAATTGTTCCTCCCCAGGAATAGGGTGCATGCCGGGTTCTTAGCGGGGCTCGGCCTCCTATCTATCCACAAACCAAACAATCGGAACAAACCAGTCCGGGTATGGCAACACACGAACAGCGAACACTATACGGACCGATGACAACCTACCCAACCCCACGGACAGAACCGCACGACAACGATATATTTACACACACACTACCCCCCACAACGCAACCAATACCGCCACTACATGTCTTACTCACCCACCATAAGTGCCATGGTGATCCGCCTCAGGAACCAGCACGACCAACTCGTTATAATGACACTACTGATCCCCCTGGAGCTGTAACGCACACGACAATGGGACAAGCAAAAACCGCAATGATACCGAAATCCACTGTACACTCAGTACTAGGTTTCACTCAACCATCCCTCACGACACCAGATACTGGTACAGAACCTACACGACCGTACGGTACACCACCCACGGCCTACAAATACACACTACACACAGCCATCTCTAACTACACATGTGCCCAATGCGCCATATACAAAAATACCGACATGAATAATACAAATGATGAACAATGCGGGACCACAACACCGGCGTTAACAAACCCATCCTCAACTGACACACCAGATATCCTAATAACAGAAACCCACGACAACGATCTAACCCCATTCAACCTTTACAATAACTCACTGGCTTCTGAATATAACACCAACTGCCCAGCAATACGAATGATCCCTTCTACATACAGGAAAAACATGCGCTCAAACATAAGGATAGAGAACACTCAATACAAAACCATACAGAAAGTCTCAATCCCACATCCCGACACTAAACCAGACTTAAGCACACCAGTATACCGACCGCTCCAGGCGGACACGGGCGCAAACACTTCAGCCACAAATCAACGTGACCTCTTATATGAATACACTCCATTCCTAACCCCCATGGAAGTGGGAGTCTTCTCAACAGATGGGACTCCGGATAATATACTATTCGCGTATGGAGAAGGATATATGCGAATAATATCAGATCAAGGAACAGTTATGCGTTGGCCTACACTATACACGCCCAAATCTACTGGAACCGTCATATCCCCAGATCACTACCAGCGTGTACACGACTTCCACGCCTTTATACAGGAAGGATATGCAAACAGCAAAGGAATCATACGCTTCACTAACAAGCTTAACCACACTATTGAATCCATTCAAACTATTCGATCTAACAATGGTCTTTGGTTCACGTCTAACAAACTCCTCCTCCACAACCAACACGAGAAAGAGCACATCGAGAGAGAGCTCCACCAATACCACGCGCAATCGACGAACCAGAACACCAGGCAAGTACACCACGTGAACAGCGCTCACCAACCTGAAAAGACAATATGGTCGACCGGTCTGTCCAAAGCATTAAAGAACCTAGAACTTTGGCACCAGCGTTATGGACATGTATCCCCTTCAACCCTAGTCAAAACTCAACGTGTGGTCGATGGCATGCCACCCATGCCATCAGCCACACCATTCTTTCGTTGCCCCTTCTGTGAAAAGAGCAAAATGACCAAATACGGTGGCAAATCTAAACCTCCCAAAGAAAAGTTCATCCCGATGCAATCCATCCACATGGATCTCGCGTTTGTCAGTGGCCCTCCCAACCTAAAGGGCATCCTCCAATCCAACGAAAAACCACTGCCAACCCTTAAAAAGAGCAGGCATGGCCATATAGGCTTCCTGACAATAATCGATGCAGCAACAAGAGCACTTTGGACCTTCCCCATCAAATCGAAGGAACCACCAGTCCATATAGTTGACAACTTCCTCTCTAAACATGGTATACGCAAGACTGATCCAAGAAAAGCCATCATCACTACAACGAACGATGGCTACCTGGCACGCTCCAAGGCGTTCCGCAACATCACCACAAAACATAACTACAACCTCAACCCCGAGGACAAAGCCCACTTCCTTCATCTCCTCCCCCAACATCTGGATTGTACGATCATGACAGATGGCGGAGGAGAACTATCCAAATCCTCCACCTTCAAGGATACGATTCACAAACACGGATACACAAGCTTAACTACAGCCCCAGATGCCTCATCTCAAAATGGGCTAGCTGAACGTCCGCATAGAACATTGAAGGAACGCATTCGGTGCCTCCTTTATGCCTCTGGACTCGGTACGGAATACTGGGCTGATGCTCTCCTCCACGCCACATGGTTATACAACAGAACCTATCACGAAGCTATTAAAATGACACCATTGCAACTATACACGGGACAAATACCACTAGTAGATAACTTAATTACATTCGGCTCCAAAATAACGGCGAAACGCCCAGGAACACGCCCAACAACAACCCATCCTTGGACATACGATGGAATATTCCTGGGCTATGGACCCACCACAGCTAACATTAAGTACTTTGATATACACACAGGAACCGACAAAACAGCACGACATGATTCCAAGGACGAACTGCAATATGGAGACGATCCAACCAACAGATCCCCAGCAGCCTCACATCTCCTTGAGACGTTTGTGGAAGGATCTCACCACAACCACCACACTAACACAGCCCCTGAACCCAAGGAACTTGATTTCAAAGATCCCCCACGACAAAGAGACCCCAATGATCTCATCCAGGAGATCATTAACGACTCGCCTCAATCATATACAACAGCTGCCGCCGCCAAGGTTCATGCACACATTCATAGGACAAAATTTAAAAGACCTAACATCACAACACTCATCCCAGAACTAGAGACCCTCGACATATCCACCAACATCTTTATGAAGGAGATCTCGCACACACTCCCACTCAAAAACACAAATACACTCCACCCGACCATGGGATTCGTTGTATCCCCTCATCCTGATATATCCAATGCAATGGAACTTGCTTCGATACAGGTTGGATCTATAGCCCACACCCAAATTAGAGGCTGGAAACGACGCCTCCGAGGTACAATCATCACTAAAGTGGATGAATATCCCATCCATACCCGGCAGGATATCATCCAGGCCATAGAACATGCGAAAACAACACATCAACTCAATATCAAATTCACATTTGGATCCCTCACGGGATTTGCCATGAATGGTGAAGGAATTCCAACACTACAGGCTGACCAACTCAATGTAATTGCCCATCATCTTCATCATATCAATTATAATCAGGACCTCTGGTTTGATAAGGACGACTGGCCGTTACCAATCGACTCCCCGGAGACGACTATTGAACAACTGAAGATCTCTAAACTCACGAGAAATAAGCTCCACGACACACCACAATGGGAAGGGTTCCTAAAATCAGAATGGAAACAGCTAAACAGATACCATAAAGTAGGAATGTTTGGTGACCCTGTAAAGCCCAATGACCATATGACAATCCTACCATGGGTCTGGACATATATTGAAAAAGAGAACCCACTAACTGGAATAAATGAACCCAAATCTCGAGGCACGTGTAATGGCGGTAAACGCTATGGAAAAGCAGTAACATTAGCTGAGACATATGCAGCATGCGTTGAACAACCGATACACAGATTAACATGGGCTCTAGCAGCTGCACTCAACCTTAAATGCATCGGATATGACGTGGGCAATGCATTTGCCGAAGCCCCTGCACCAAAATCCCCCTTTTATATGAAAGTTGATGCGCCCTTCCACCAATGGTGAACAGAATGTCTTCATCGTGAACCAATACCATACGGACACGTCATACCTATCATGAAAGCCCTTCAGGGACATCCTGAGGCCCCACGTCTCTGGGATAAGTACATATCTAAGATACTTATCACAGATCTTGGCTTTAAACCCACAACACATGAGCCCTGTCTCTACTATAAACATGATGACACTGGGCTTACACTCATCCTCCGACAAGTAGACGATTTCCTTATTGCTAACAAACATGAAGAAGTATGTGACAGAGTTCGAGCCAGTATTCAAGCCCGCATGGCAAATCCCCTTAACGTCCTTGGTACTATACGGAAATTCAATGGTATCCACGTAGACCAAACAAGACTTTACAATCATCTCCACTGTTGCACATACATCGAAAAGATAGCCCATCATCATGGTTGGACCCTTGAAGCAAACAAAATGCGAAAAAGACCAACTCCCATGAAAGAAGACTCCACGTACCAAAAGAAAATTCAACTGGATGAGGGACCGTCGGACCCAAGAGCAGCATTAAAACTCCAGCAATCCGCAGGATTCAACTATCGCCAATGTATCGGTGAACTCATTTATGCCCTCACAATTTGCCGTATTGACATCTCCATTGCTGTCATTACACTCAGTCAACACTCTCACAACCCAGCCAAAATCCACTATGATGCAGTTAAACACCTATTTTTATACCTCCTGGCTACGAAAACAGAAGGCCTTACATATTGGAGACCAGAACCCCGTCTTGATCTCCCCAATAAGCCCATCCCCACCCCTTACACCAACATCACCACACTATCTAAATTCTACCAGATGCGAGACCCCCTTCTAATCCATGGCTCCTGTGACACAACATGGGCCTCTGATAGACTGGAGAGAAGATCTATGGGGGGGGTTATAATGATGATGGCTGGCGCTGCAGTATACTATCGAACCAGACTCCAACCAACTATAGCCCAAAGCTCCACAGAAGCTGAGTTCACTAATATGGCAGACGCTGGGAAAGCAGCACTATATCTAAGATGGATACTTGAAGAACTGCAAATACCACAGCCCCAACCAACACCTATATTAGCTGATAATCACGGCGCCGTTAGGATGGCAAATGCACACCAACCTACACGCCGTACCAGACATGTCGAAATGAAACACTTTGTTATCCTCCAATGGACTGATGATGAACACATACAGTATATAAAGACCAGATCTGATGAGAACTACAGTGACTCACTGAGCAAACCAACAGGAAGAACCAAATTCTATGAACACACTGATATATTTATGGGACGCTTGAAACCAGATTACACATACCCCCATCTCACTGCTTCACCACGGTCACACAAAGCCCCCGAAATCCAAACAATACGAGCCAATACATATAACATTCTTTGTTCCACTTGCTGTCTCGATCCTCTACAAGATTTGCTTCAGAATAGCAAAAATACAAACCAAATAAGACTAATATTGTGAGTATCGATCCTGCAAGTGCGGGGAGGTGTGAGCCCTAAAACACAGCAAAATGCAAGCAATCACGAGTAGATAGTGAGTGAGGGCAAATAAAGCTCAACCACTCACTCTTTATTGTAAACACGTAGTTATACGACACTAAAGAGCATACGTAGATTTCGCAGTCCATGATGCAGCATAAAAGGGATAATTACTGTATTGGGGGAAAACATTTCATTTTAGCCTGATGGTAATTGATTGAAAGATTTCTCCCCCAAAGCTTATTGTTTGTTGAGTCGACGAAAGACTTCGCAAGAAGTCACTTCTTTCGAACGACACCGCTTTCTCGGAATAATACAACACAATACAATACGTCGAATACATACCTCCCCTAGCGTTCCATATTGCAAGGGACAGGAGAAGACACCTTCTTTTGAAAAGCAGCTACACCTCGCTACCGAAGAAAGCCAAGTTTTATTTGCCGCCGGCAGAATACCAGCGCAAGATGCCGTTCGCAAATCCAGGCCAGGAAAACATGGGCCAAGTTGGCGACACTCCAGGGCCAGCTGTAAGTTGTTGGCGAACGGTGTCTGTTGCCTCTGCATTGCCATTTGTGTTTGCATTGTGATGTAGAGAATTATTTCTTCCTCACTCTCTCTCTCTCTCTCTCTCTCCATCTTCTCTAACGACAAATGTCGCGAATGTAACCCTCAAACCATCTATCCGCAGGATATGTTCAACGCCTTACCAATCATCACCCGCTACTGGTTTGGTGCTACCGTCGTGGTAACCCTTACCTCGAATTTTGGAATTATTAGCCCTTACCAGGTAATTTGGTCCTGGGAAAATGTAACGTCGGGCATGGAGATCTGGAGGTTTCTGACGCCCTTTTGTTACGCCGGAGATTTTAGTTTCAATACCCTCATTGCGATGTACATGCTGGTGCAGTTCAGCAAACAATACGAATCGGGTGGTCCCTTCAACACGGGGGCCGGAGGTGGAACCGCCGACTACGCATTTTGCATCTTGCTGGGCGCGCTCGGACTGCTTGCTACGTACCCCTTTCTGGTGGGCCTCGGCTTTCCCATTCCCCCGATTTTTTCTAAGAACCTGATCTATTACGTCCTCTACGTCTGGTCCAAGCGCAACCCAACCAACCAGGCGAACATCTGGGGCTTCCCGATCCAGGCCATCTACCTCCCCTTTGCCTATCTGGCGCTCACGGTCTTTATGGGAAATCCCTATTTTGACATGCTCCACGGGCTGGTCATAGGCCATCTCTTTTACTTTGCGGTGGACGTTATACCGGCGGTGTATGGAAAGGACTTTTTGCACACGCCGGCCTTTTTGATCGACTACTTCGGGGTGGGCGAATACCAGGAGCCAGCACCCCAGGCCAACCGCGGTGGATTTGGTAGAAACGCTCCCGCTGCGGCGCCCTCCGGGGGGCACAACTGGGGCTCGGGTGGCAACCGATTGGGCACGAGTTGATCGGGATATCTTTGGCGGAGTAGGAGAGAGGCGACGCGGCCTGAGATGGCTTTCTTTTACAAAGCAAAGATCATCCGAGAGAAACAGATAGCGATACTTGAACCATGCACTAAACATCCCATCTACCCTGGGGCGACTGTACAAAACAACTAAAAAGTTAGTTTCTGGAATACAAGCAATATTCATTTGAAATGATTTGGTTTTCAAAAACTGTATTAGGATTGAAAATTCATGCTAAAGCGTTTGTTGTTCGTAAACCAACGACTGTTCACATTATGATGTCCACGTGTTCATTGCATCTCCCCGCAATAGTTAGATATCATCGTCCCCGTATTCCCGCTCGAGCCGGTCTTTGGTCAGGATACCCACAAGGAGACGCTTCCAGCGGAGCAGTATCGCTCTTTCCCGCTTGTGCTCTTCTTCTTTCAACAGGTGGTCCGCCATTCCGGCATGGGCCTCCCGGAGTAACTCCTCGTTGTGCTCGTGAATGGCGATCCCCCGGATCGTAGGGGTTCGGTTCCCACGGTGCCCCTCGAAGCCCAGCAGGCACGGAGCGTAGGGGAGGTTCAGGCGCTTCGCGACCTTCGCAACGTGGTGCAGTTCGACGTGCACCAGGCCGGGGTTTAGGAGCTCCAGCTCGACGTTGTTGTAATCGTTTACGGGAATGGGATCGCTGGGACCCACGTAGGGCGGTCCCCAGGCATCGGTTTGCCAGCTTCCATAGAGGTATTGCTTATCGGTTTCCCCAAGTGGTGCGGAGCCCTTTTCGATCTGATCTGCACGGAATTCCTCCGAGCCATCGTTTGCTTCGCCTACCCCGTAACTCTTGAGGGCCTTGAAGCTGCTCGAAGCCGGTTTCTTGCGCGCCTTGACCTTCAGGACGGGGGACTTTAGCTCGGAGGCCTTCACCTTGCGACCCTCGTACAGCCATCGCTTTGCCGGGAGGGCGGTCTCGACGTACGAACGCAAATACACCAGTTCGCCCTTGAACATTCCGCACACCCCTTTCTTGCAATCCGGTTTCAGGACCTCTGTCGAATTCAGGACCGATCGGATGACATAAATTGGGTGTTTCTTGAACGCTGCCTTGCTAGTCGGAAGAGGTTCTTTCTTTGCGGATTCTCTCAATTGGGATTCCTCCTCGTGATCTGTATCGAAACCATCGTCGTGGTCGTCTTCGTTCTGGAGACCATTCAGATTGCTCTCCACGGTCTCGCTTTTTGAGGGTATGGCAGCCGGCTTCTTATCCGAGTCGCTATCGCTATCTAGGGTGATAGCATCTTGTTCCGTTTTTCCTTTGTGTTTGAGTTCTTGCTGCTCGATTTTGGACGAAGCGGCAATGTCTTGGACGGACTTCTTGCCCATCCGTTTCCCACTAATTTTCTCCAGCAATTTGGAAAACCACACGTCTGGTCGGTCTTCCTCGATTGAGGCTTGATGAAAGACTTGTTTCTGGTTAACAGCCATCATCTTTCGTCGCTTTGGTTTACTCGATCGGCGATCGGGCACGATCCCCCTCGCTTCCATCGTCTCGACCATACTGGATGCATATCGACGTGTAACATCGGTCATCCGAACACTCAGATCCCCTTTGTCCTTGTCGACACTGTTGTTGGTGTTTCTCCTGCAAGGAACGTGTTCAACGGCGAGAGCGTAGCAAACTGGGCGGCGATTTTTGTATCTACGAATGCTTCCGGGACTCTTGAGGCGGTGGTTTTCAAAGAGGGTTTTTTCCACCACGCAGGGTTGGTTGGTGATTCCCGCAATCGGATCGACATGGATCCATTGCATGTTTCTAGACGATCGAGTCGAATCAGACTTATTTCTCTTGTTTCCGTGGGTATTTGTCTGTTGTCGGCAGAGTATTTCTACCCAGCCAATGTGCTTCGAAGCAGCCACCGGATCGGCTTCATTCGTGAAAAGAGACTTTGGGTATTGATGTTGAAGAGACGGTTTTCTTGCGGCCGATGGCGTGTCAGACTGCTTCGCAGCGGGCTTCAGATCTTTGACGCTATCGCTTTCGTCGCTGTCTACCGATATCGGAGCATCCTCGTTGCTCCCGTAGGGGATACCGTGGTTCCTGATGACCCTTTTGAAAAACCTCGCAAGGACGTTGTCGTTGGTTTCGTCATTGTGCCGAAAGAGAGGATGGTCGACGTTGAGATCTCTTGAAATCGGCTCTAGTGCTACAACGTAACGGGCTCTCCATCCCAGGGACCGCACCATGCACAAAAAAAGCAAGAGAGCATCTCCGGCGCCGAAATCGACCCCGGGCTGTCTTGGATTGTTACTACTGTGCTGGCGATCGTCGTTGCGTTTTGCGAGATATCGGCAGTGCTCAAAGAGGCGATACGTCTTTATACTTCTGACAGTGACACCGACAGAGCCACCCGGTGTGTGAACTGCCTCGATATCGTTGATGTTGCTATCTTTCTTCGCCTTTGTGGAAGTCGCACGTGTGCTTTTGCGATTGCGGGAACCGGAATGTTTCCTTCTCCACCTGGAACTGCTGGCTCCTTCATTCGACGGCAACAAGCCAGCATAATCTACAAACCATCGCACAAAGTGGCCAACGTCATCTGCTGTTGGAATGACTACCGATGAGGTCCTTGTGGTGGAGTTGGAGGTTTGGTGCTGGTCCTTGTCGTTCCACAACCATGCGGTGGGAATCAAGCTGTGCGCTACTGCCAGGCACGTGTCGTCCGAGGCGTACCTGGAAAAGCAATTCGAATGAGAAACCCACGCCAGCAGCGACGCTTTGTGCAGGTCCGTCAGCAGTTGTTGCAAAGCTGGATTCCCGGCGAGTTCCTTGTGGTGCCGAAACACCGAAACCGAGCGCTGTGCCTTTCGCTTCTTCCCGGTGGACGGTGGAGATTTCTTGGCGTCTGCGCCTTCCCCCATGTCGAGGGTGACTGCTTTCGGAGTTGCGATGGCTCGTCCCGTTGCCTTTTCACCTTCGGCGTCTTCCCAGTCAATTTCGTCTTCGTCGTCATCGTCCTCCCCGTCGCCTCTTTCCTCTGTCGGTAAATCGAAATCGGACGGAAACGCCATTGCTGCATGCGAAGATGCATCTAACGAAGACGCTTTTCGGTCGTCGTCAAAGTCGAAATAGTCGTCGTATTCATTGTCGCTGTCAGAGTCATTATCGAAATCATTCCCGTCAAAGGCGACCGCCTCGCCTTCTTTTAACGTCGCAACAGGTTGTTTTTTGGGTGTTTCGCTTGCAAAATGGTCCTGGTCGTCGTCCTCGTCGGAGGACAGGTTGAAATTGAAATTCATTTTCTTTGGCTCGATGGGTCTAGCTGGCGGGTGGAGTTAAGGATGTAGTTGGCTTGTCTGAAATAAATGGGCAGCAGATAAGACCCTATCAAGAGAGTTGCATCATGATCACGACTAGATCACATCAGACTATGATTCTAGTGGGTGAACTGTAGATATTCATACCAACGGAGACAAAACAACACAAAACATGCCGCCGTGGTTGTGTTCCCATGAAGATCTAGCATCAAAATCCCCGTAAGTTTTGTGGGGCGCCTTTTCTCTTTTTTGACTCACCGCGCGATTCACGCGCGATCTAGGAATGGGAAAGCTGTTCTCAACGACGGGGAAAGAAGCAAGCGGAGGAAGAAGCCATCATCCATCACAATCACAACGCTGTTTTGAAGGCAACATACATAGAGCCCACCATAGCATCACTACGCAACACGGAGAACCACTTCAAAGAGCACGACCAAGCCAACACAACACAACACCGACACCAACCACCACTACTATGTTATCTAGAACAGCTGCTACCCTCCTCCGCCGCCAATCGGCTGCAGTGGCAACCAGATCGTTCTCCGCCGCGGCTGCCCAGTTCCGATTTGCCCCGGCCCGTTCCCCCGCAAGCGCGGCTTCCGCCTCCCTCGCTCCGAGACGGCGGTTCTCCGATGGCTCGGGATCCCACGACGACTTTGCCCCCCAGAAGAAGGCCGTCTCGGACGATGTTGACGAGGCCATCGAGATGATCAAGCAGCACGTCAAGGAAAACCCCGTCATGCTGTACATGAAGGGAAACCCCAAGATGCCCATGTGTGGGTTCTCGGCCACGATCGTCCAGACGCTGTCGGCCGAGGGTGTCGACTTTAGCAGCGTGAACGTCCTCGATTACCCGTCGATCCGAGAAGGAGTCAAAAAATTTGCGTCGTGGCCAACTATGTGAGTTACGTGAGAAAGCGAAGGGAAGGGATCATTTTCTTGCTGTAATGCTGTGTGGTTTGTTCGGGGGAGCGATATTCTCTGAATTCATGAGTTGCTTTTTGATCCACCACTCATCATCGTATCTATTGCGTTGTGCAATCGAATTCATAATGTTTTTGTTTTCGGTGTTTTCTTCTCTCTCGAAACTCAAAGACCGCAATTGTACATCAACGGCGAGTTCGTCGGTGGAAACGATATTGTGTCCGAGATGCACGCGTCGGGAGAACTGAAGGAACTGTTAGCAGAAGCGAAAGCCATCAAAGAGGAATAAGTAAAGAAAAGACGTAAAACTGGAATCTTTTGATTTGATTGGAATGCGAAGTCATCGATCGTCATCGATAGAGCGAAGCGAATCGCATTTCAAAGAGGATACGGCACGCATCTGGTGAAACAGAGAGACGACAACAAACTGTGTACAAAACGTTGCCCAACCGCACGAATCAATTTCTTGTAGAAGTCATCAGATGCAATGTAATATCTTTTCGGGTTTCCTCGATGTTTTGTCTTGGCTTTGGGCAGAGTCTAATATCTTCGAAAGGTCACCAAGCTGTTTTTTAAGAATTAGTTTTCCATTTTGATTTATGAACGAGGACTCTACTTATCCATGTAAGACAAAATGGTGCAATAATGTGCGTTGAAGCACTATTCTAGCCCCCCCCCCCCCCCCTCTTCCTCCCCTACTCGTTTCCAAGCGTAATTCATAATTGAATGTATTTGTATGGTTGTTGGAATCTTTTTCGAAAACCGAATAAGGTAGTTATCTTTGATTCGGTACTGAAGATACATTCTATGTTTCGTTTTTCTGTATGGTAGTATGTTTTTTATTGATGGAGAAGGAATCGGTAATTTGCCACGCGGTAGATAACTCCGCAGCAAGGGATCGTGGCATTCTCTATTAAATCTAAATTTAATCAACCAAAAATGGCGTGGGATGCTTATGAGGGGAAATCCGCAGCACACATTTGTACAAAGAAGGTGTTAGTATTCGAGAAACATCTTATGAATACTAAAAATGAATTTTCCAATCCGGGTTCGTTGCTCAAGGTATCGAATCGAGTATTTCCCCACAAATAACCATCTATACAGAAATATTTCTTCAGTCTTTACTCGTAGAATTATCCTATTAGTTAAACACTGCATTGATACAAAGTGAGTATTGGCGCTTCCAATTGCTATTGATAAGCAGTAGTGATCGCAAGAAACAATGCATCATGACTACTCCTGCATGCCGTCGTCGTTCGCCAGTTGTCGGGTTGCCGTCTTCTTGCGGGCCGCGATTCGCTGCTTTGCGCTGTCGATGACGTTGCGCATGACCTGTTCCCGGTTGGCAACGGCGGGCGCCAGAAGCTCGATGGATTTTTCGATCTCGACACGGGCCTGCTGTTTCTTTTCGGCCTTCGAATCCTTGACCCGGTTGTCGAAGAATCGCTGTTCCCGGGCCTTCTTGATGCTCTCCACCCGTCGCATCGCCAGAATCGTCTTTCCCATGAGGTCGCGATCGTACTTGACGGGACGGTTGCGCCTCTTTTCGAAATCGAAAGTGCTGTCCACCGCCATTTCCTTCCCACGGGTCTTGCGATAGGCCTTGGTCCAGGCGACCTTGCGGGGGTTTCGCTTTTTGTTAAAATTTCTGTGGCACTTGGACCGGCAGAATCGGAATTGCTTGCTGTCGTTTCTCACGAATGTGATTCCATGTCCCGGATAGCATGGTGAAGAGCAGAAATAACACTTCTCGATCCTCATTGTGGCTCAATTCTGTATTGTGCAATATTGCTATTGTATGCGTTGCGCAGTTTATTTTCTGCTTCCCCGTTTAGTGTTCAAATGTAACTGTCGTTTTGTTACAGCTGCTTTCCGTTCTTTGATGGTTCAGACGTTTGGTATTTCCCCGATGATTGGTACAAGCAGTTCTTCCTTCGCAAAGGGTGACGATTTATTGAAATTGAAAGATCTGTCGTATTGATATGTTTCTCTCGTGCCGCCTACAATTCCTGCAGCCTATTTTTGTTAGCAAGACTATGTGTCCGTCCTGAAACGTGTGCAAGAGCAGGCCCTTTTCGTTGGTTTTGCGTTGGGAAGCAAAATGAGAAAAAACGGCGGAGATGGATGGGTGGTGGGACGGTCATACTTTAGGCCCCAGTATGTTGATGATTCGATTTCAGCGGTCGAAGTACGGACGTTCATCAGTCCCGCGTGTTTCGATCAATTTGATGTTCCGCAAAAGATTTTTGTCTGTCAAAACACCGTGTGTTGTGTGATTTTTGCCATCCTCTTCCGCATTACCGGTAGCACTTCGTTCTAATCCATCAGGACGTGACCCACAACAGCTCGTAGCGGTGGAAACGAATACCCTTTCTGTGGCTTCAAAAGTTGTGTGCTGAGCTTTAAATCGGAGTTTAGTGATACTGGGGAAAAGATCGGTCAATTTCCATAGAAGGCAAAAGTCCAGTCAAACACCTCAATCTAAAGTTTTAGGGTTTAAATTGTTAGGATTCTCTATTCCGACACGATTCCATCACCAGAGCACATATCCAATAACCCAACAACTCAACATTCATTCACAACCCATTCTATAATTCGACAAAAAAAACGTGAGGTCAAACCAATCCATCTGATTCGACTGGTGATGGCGTTGAACGTGCATTCCACAACAACAGCAGCATGCTAACAACAGGGATCTTGTCGCTAAACATTCACGATTCCCTGACATTCGAGGGAACCGAGCTCTGCCTGAATCCGGATCTCTTTGCGGTATCGGAGCATGGTATTGGGTCGGCGCTGAGAGGCATTGGGGCTTCGTCGATTGGGTCGGGGAATAGCACTGGGACGTCAAATCATTCTTCGAACGGAATATCGGTCGGAGACATCATTGAGATCCGCGTCTGGGATCCTTTGCCCAAGGAAGCCGGGATGAAGAGCCCTKAGTCTGTGTCCAGCATGAGGAAGCGCTATCAGCAAGCACCAACTCTTCTGACCCCCACTGGGAATCTGCAGGGACAGGTGTCACTCGGCAAAGATGCCGGTGGAATGCCGGCTGATCCGGGTGGCGCCGTTCCGTCACTGCGGGCCCGAACCACGGTCTATCCAAACAACCCTATGCTGCAGCAATCGGGCTCTATGGATCCACTCGTCAATAGCGATGGCCAGAGAAGTATGAACTCATCACCGAAAAGCTCCTCCCATCAGCTTAGTAGACGGTTGTCCTTTGATCCAACCTTGAACGACGGAGAAACGTCTCCGTCGACTCCTACTCCCAGTTCAGCAAACAATACAACTTCCGGTGCCGTAAACCAGACGGAGCTATTGTTTCCACAGCGTCTGCCCCCCGTCTTTCCTCGGAATCGATTGGGTACGGCAGACCTGCATCCAATTTCGACCAGCAAGCCACCGAAACCTCAAACAACAACGCACCGGCGTGCCTCTTCCACGGCGGGTGCATTGCAAACACCGCAGCGATCGCCAAAGCAACAGCACCAGAAACAGAACCAGCAAAACAATTTTCTGGGGGCAGCTACAACCGGCGGGCACCGCAGAGACATATCTGACATGACCGCGGACACCACGTACCAACTCGACAACATAATCAACGACGTCATGAACGTGAGCCGAACCGATAGCCCTGATACAACCGTCGACGAGGGCGCCATTGCAGAAAGCTACCACAACGATATGTTGTCTAAAATAACATCGGGGCATCGATTGCGACTGTCTTTTGTTCTGAAAGTAATGGAAAAAACCCTCACCTCGTTCAAGGGAAACAGCCGCACCCAGATATCCGTCCTTCGACGGGTGGCCGATTTGTACAACCTCTCCAACTACGACCTGGTAACGGTCCACAAGATCGAGCCACAAGACGAGGAGGAGGTCCTGAAAGCCGTTTCTGCTGACTTCGTTGTCGTTACCATCAAGGACCAGTTCATTTCAAGGGGCGATATGCTCTTGTTTCAGACCAAGCTTATCGGATCATGGATCTATGAGGGCCAACGATTGACCGAGCCGACACGGGGCATCAAGGCCCACGCCCGGGAGATCCGACACGGAAATTTTTCCGCAAAGTCGGGCATCGTGACGGAAAAGACAAATATCACGTTCCGAAGCCGGTCGGCGAGGATTGTGTGGCTGGTCCAGTTATCGTCGGAAATGTGGGACTATTCGTCGCCCTACGATCGACAATACGAACAAGAATCGGTCTGTGAAATCTATTTCGATCAGTGGATTCGGTTTCTGTACAAGCTTTTCAAGAAATGGAAACAACTAGAGGTACGTTCGCTGTACTTGGTGGAGTGGGCTCTGGGATTTTGTACAAAACCAAAACCAAAACCAAACCGCACCAATTTTTCAATACACCTACTCTAATCCAGCATGACCAAAACTTTTATTGACACTCTTCTGCTTTTAAAAGGTTTCTCATTCGCTTACAGTTATATTTTTCGCAAGGACATTTCTATCAAAAGGCCTGAAGTCAAATCTGGATTGTCAAGACGTATACGGGAGAAGATTTGAAGACCATTACAAACCCGTCATCGAAAACGAGACGTGTATAGATTGGACTTCGCTCATTGTCCGTATCAAGGAAGAATTTACGAAATATCCGTTGGAAGTCGGGTGGAATCTTAATAACAGAACACCATCTTGCGCCAGCCAAGGCAATTTACTGGAAGCGATCAACGTGGTTTTGAATCTTATGCAGTACCATTACTTGGACCGTGATCTCCACAGAACGGGTCAATCTATAGTTATTGTGTCACCCGGTTGTGGTGTTTTTGAGGTCGATAAGGGACTAGCAGGTATCACCTATCAGCGAATGCTGGACAATGGGATCGGCAGTGATATGCTTAGTCTAGGGTTGCCCCCTTTGCATATTGCACCGTTTTTCCTATACAATGTAAGTTCAACCAGTTCTTGCTGATAAGGGCTGATTACTTGAGAACTATGATTCGAATGCTTACACTTTTTTCGTAAAGAATGAATATCGTACAGCCGAGACTCACGGTATAAATGCAAGTGAAACGTATTATGAAGTACCACATTGGATGCATCTTTCTTTTGTAATTTACGACCGGCCCGAAGAAAAACGAGTCTATCTTAGTGGTCTTGAAGAGAAGAAAGCACCAGTTCAGGCGGGCCATTGGCTAGATGCTTATGACATAGGCGCAAAGGGATTCCTCTTTCCTCAGAATTTCGATCAGGCAAATATTGAAAGTCCTGTTCTAAAATCGAAGACAGCATTTACTTCCAGCTTCTCAGCAGTAGGAAATATGGCGGCGACACCAGGAAAGGCAAAATTAGTTCAAGAACAAGGACAGGCTCGCCAACTCATCTCGGGTAGAAAGTTCAGAGACATACTAGAAGCATGTAGACCACGAGTGGTGGGAGCAGTGATGCCCTCATCACTGAAAAGTCTCCTAGAGTTGAGGGGCATTGCCACAGGGAACGAAGCAGGAAAAAGTAAGAAATTGTCCAGCGAGAAGAAGGACAGTCGGCTTCGTGAGTGGGGAACAGTGGATTTCAACGATCACGTCTTGCATTCAAGACTAAAGGCGAAGATGGGAAAGAGTCCAATTGCCAAAAGAACACTTCGTAGTGAATCTATTCTCAAATCCGATAGGTCGTACAATAGTGATGATGGATCAGCTTCTTCGAGTCTAGGGAGCATATCAGTGTCAAGCGCATACGGAACATCATTCGATAGAGTGTTTTGGGAATACTATGAAACACCAGAAATGCCAGTAAAGGCATTACAAATGCAAAGATCGGCCTCCATAGATTATGACGAACTCGGCAAAAGTTTTGTCATAGATGGCGGCCCTGAAACAAATGATGATTCTACAACAGTATCAGATAGCGTTTCAAAAAGTTCAGTAGGTGGCGATAGCGAAACGAATCTATCCGTTAAATCAAAAAATGAAAGGCACGTAGAACAGCTGAAGAAAATAATGGATACTTACAATGCAATGGTATGTCAACCGCCTCTTGAAGATAGTAATGACTTCGACTCGGCAATACATACGACCGAACCAGAGCCTGTTAGTACCACGAAAACTGGAGTGCTAATGCAATCGATGTAAGTTGAACCAAACAGAAATGTTTTGTTGTTGTAACAGTATTTAATACTTTCATGATGATCAAATTTCTGATAGGACATATCATTTTCTATTATTTCCAGTCGACAAAAAGTCCAAGACCTAGAATCTTCAGGCGGGCTTGGAGCTGCGCTATCCCAGTATACTGTAAACGAGCCCGGATCAGTTATTCCTGAACGTCCTTCGACTTTACTTACAAGGCGAGGAAGTGGTGGTCTTTATCCACCGGGTTCTAACAGGACATCAATATTTAATAATGAGCGTAGGCGTGCAGCTTCACCTCTCTTGACCATGAGATCCCAGCAACAGGAAAGACCAGGACCTTCCAAAGTATTTCCTACTTTGATTTCAGCCCAGATTGACTCTTCCAGCATTTTGCACCCTGGACAGCAAAGAAGCCTTGGCATTCACCGACCTTTTCCAAGTAGAATTGTTTCAGGACGCGAGAGATCAGGATCATTCAGTGGCACTACCACAAATACATCTCATCCGGGGACTTCCGCTGGAAATCGAGTTTTATTCGATCCTGCAAGACAGACCATTGTGCCAGTTTCTCGGAGTCCACCCACAAGTGGGGGAAGGGTCACAAGTTCGGGACTCTTCAACAGCGCTCCCCGTGGTCCCATAAAACTTTATTCCCAAAGTCCACCGAGATTGAGTACCCCCCAGGAGAGATTCGCCCCCAGCAAAATTATCGCACGAAGTCCTCCTGCACAAGAAAATTATTCCGGTGAAAGAGTTCTTTCCCAAACTCCACCAAAAACGAGTGACATGCCAAAGGAGCGACCTGGGTCACCGATTTTAAGGAATGTGTCAAAAGACAAACCGGGCTCCCCTAGTGCGAGTTATAGAGTGAGGGACCGATCGTCATCTTCAAAAATGATAGGGCGAGGGGATTCTCCGCATGGAAGCGTCAAAACAAGTCTGCCCTCACGCCGGAAGAAGGCTTTCAATCCTTTTCGGCAGAGCGACGAGGACGAAGTATTGGCAAAGCGATCTCACAATCGTCGCAGATGGAGCCATGTTTACCCAGAAGGAGAAGTGGAGTTCAAAAGACATGCTGGTCCCATTTGGAATAGTTTGACGTCACCAGCCATCTTGCCACTTTCCGTTGACTATTTCCCAACTCCTCAGGAGTTAAAAGATGAAAATGCGTTCCAATTCAGTTTTTATCAAGTCACTCTAGGTGGTATCGAAAACAACTACTACGAGAAACATGCAGATCTCCTCAAGGAGATGGTTAGACAAAGAGTTACGCAAGATTATCAAATTGTTACTGACACGGCTATTGGCGAGAGCAAGAAAAGGGCAAACGAGTCGCTCAGAGAAGGTCAGTGAAAATGAAAGCGCGAAAAAAATTGAATAATTCTGTTTCTCACTCTTCTATTTGTTTCTATCATAGGTCGTAATGCTGGAAAGCTTCAAGGAAGACCGACAAGCCGAGTGGACACCTCCCCTAGATTTCTGTCATTCAATGAACAACAAAAAATTGACGGAACGAAACATCACTATTTATCTATGGGGCATAAAATTCAAGTAATGAATTACGACTCGAGCTCCGACACTATTGAAATCGTGTTGTACAACAGAAAGAGTGCACAAAACGACCGCGAGAATGTCAACACATACAAATTCCTTCTTTTCTCAAAAGTCACGCAGCAATATACCCCATCCATTCAAACGTTTAAGAAGTATAGCGAACCTTACAATTGGAACAGGGTTGACAATCTGATATGTGGTGAAGCTGATCGCACCATGGACGTTGGAATGAGATTTCGGAGAGTGATGTTTGGATTGATACCCGAAGTTTTTCGGACTGAGGAGGCTGAAGAAGAATATGTTTTGAATTTTCAAAAACTTTTATCATATCTCGAGAGGCTCCGAGACAAGGACGGCTCGCCTTCAAAATTGAATGTGGAAATCATAACGACGAAGTCAAAGAAAGAAAAAGCGAAAGATACCTTTTCAAATACTCGAAAGGATATGACTGATACTATGATACGCTTTCCAGTCCAGTTGTTACGAGGGAAGAAGGATCCCTTTGAATGGATTGAAGTAGCAATAGGCGCCACGTTCGACACGACTACTTCTTATAGAATTATATTCAACTGGCTAGTTGCTAGTTCAACTAAAGTTGAAACCCAGATACAGCTTCTACAACGACGGTTTAAAAATTTCGGATTGAAGTTCATTAGCTTTCCGCAGACCACTGTTTCATGGGATCTATTCATCCACGCTGTAAGTGCATGGAAAAGCTTTTCAACTCACAAACTGATATTTTTTATCATTACTTACTCTTTTCTTCCATTGGATCACCTTAGCTTGCCGCGCCGACATTCATCACAGTGAGAGATAAAAAGAAAACCCAAGCCATCGAGAAATCGCTGCTTAAACTCGACTTCGTACACGATGGTGTAACAATCACAAGTCCACAGTTCCTAAAATGTATTGACAATAGTGACGATTTCCGGTTTCCGCGCTTTCATCGATCTGGAAAGCTGAAATCAATCCCTTCCCCTCAATTTGTTCATCGCTCCGGTGCTATTTTCATCCGCAAATTAACAGATCGTGAGGGAAAAGTGATCTTGGTCGGAATTGAGAACTATCGCCATGCTAGTGTTGAGAATAGATTCCGAGAAATAGCAAAGTCTGTGATTGAGAAAGTTTCTGATATGATTAAATCACTCCCTTCAGGAAATGATGATAACCAGGAAGCAAATGGCATAAAAGAATCTGGAGGCATCAAAAATTAGTTTCAAATTTACTAAATTTACATAATTTGAATTACTACAAAGTAAAATACATGCTCATATTCTGTCTGTTCCGATCGTCTTGAACAAATATACCAGTTGCAAATCAAATGATTTCTGCCCGTAGCCAGGAATTGTCAAAATCGGACGTTTCTCCCAATATGCAGAAACCACACTCATCGTCGTCGTCGACGAAAGAATACTCGGGTGGACTGCCGAGAAAATTGTTGTCTTTGTCTATTGAGAACACGCTCGCCCAATCCTTGTCCAAAAAGTTGACATCTTTTTTTTGGAGTTTCTCTTGTCGAATTTTGTCTTCTTGTCGAATTTTGTTGGCATCTATTTCATCTTGTGAAGCAGCGTCCAGAGCCAGTCTCATCGAGGTCTTCGACGCTTGGAAGTACATGCTAGCAACCAAGTGGACGAATCTATTTGGATCATCATACACTTGTCTTTGGATGTGTTGCCGTTCAAAAACAACGTCCTGGGCTTCTCTTCTTGTGTGACGCCGCCGTCGCGTAGCTATTGGGTCTCTGCACTCGGCTCCTCTCAAGGTGTGACTGGTGTCATCTATCGATTCCGGATCGTTCCTCAATAGGTAGACAGTGTTCAATACATCAATTTGAAACCGCGTGTAATCGTCTCTAGAGTTCCACCTTGCGGCTCGCTCTTGTTGCGACCAATCGCAGCGATTGGGGATCGACGCAACCTGAACTCGCGGGTGAAAGGATACAGACTTTTTCTCCTCTGAATAGTCGGTGAATTGTCTTGTGAGATCATCGATGGTCGGTTCTTTGCCGCAGAACGCAGATTGATCACCATCCCTGGTGGTCGGAACGGTGTGATTGACAAACAGATCGTCGACAACGTAGTTTTGGTTGAGCGGTGGCATGGTTTTGGGTAAAATTTGACAAATTTTATGAACTTTGTAGTGCTTCCGACTCCTAGAAAAGGATGTTCGTGACATTTTGAATGCTACTCCACCCGTGTTAGAATCAAGTGGCGATGAAAACTTAAATAAAAATATCAATCGTTAACCAAATAAATTTCGTGACAGATTAAAACGTGATGTGGCTTATGTTATTCGATCAAAGAATTTGTGAAATTGTGTGTGTCGCCAAAACCCAAGTTCTTGTATCCTCTATTGTACGACTCGTTTCAAAGTTCGGCGGGCGCTTCATATTATTTGAGTCGAGGAAGATGCTTGCCGGGATTGATTCTTCTTCGTTTCAGATTTGTGGTTTTCAATTTTAAATTGATGTGTATCGGTTTCTCTTCTCTCTCCGTTTTTATTTCGGTTTCTCATCACGTTCTAGATTGAAGTGAAACGTATTTCCTGAATCACGATATTGGCGTCTGACGTTCGTACGATTTAAGTCATCACAGAGTCACAGACTGGATCTTCGATCTTTGAGCTCGTACTGTACTACCGTACGTTTTGATACGTAGCCTACACGGATCATAGATCATAGCTGTGTCAAGATGAAAATACAACTACAGAGAACACAATAATCTGTGATATCTTTCTTCATATTCTACAACAGCGAGAAAGACCACGACGAAGTAATTTCTAACCACCACACTCAGTAAATAAACAAAAGATGAATTTTCAAGCTGCCTCCCGCCTCCTGGCTCGAACAAATCCATCGGGCCGCCTGTTCTTCCAGCGGATGAAGAGCATCGTCGGTCCTACAGCACGGAGGGGATTCGCCGGATACGCCGAAAACGTGTGTGATCTCATCGGGAAGACACCGATGGTAAAGATCAACCGCGTGCTCCCGGAGAACATGGTGGCCGACAAGATCCTGCTCAAGCTCGAGATGCAAAATCCGGGCGGCTCCATCAAGGACCGTATTGCCCTCTCCATGATCGAGGAGGCCGAGGCCCGCGGAGAGATCACGCCGGGCAAGACCACCATCGTCGAAGCCACCAGCGGAAACACGGGGATCGGGCTGGCCATGGTGGCCGCCGCAAAAGGATACAAGTGCGTCATCGTCATGCCGCAGGTCCCCGCTATGTACGAGCGCTACGTCATCGACCGAAAGTTCGGGGCCGAGGTCCATCTCACGAGCGTCAACAAGGACGACATGGAGAAAACATTCGACAACCTTCTAGCCTACGCCGAGGACTTGGTAGCCGCGAACCCCGATACGCACTGGATGCCCTCCCAGTTTGTCAACCAGGACAATCCCAAGGTCCACTACGAGACGACGGGGCCGGAAATATGGGAGCAAGCCGGCGGGGATATCGACATCTTTGTCGCGGGGGCCGGTACCGGGGGAACGCTCGCCGGCGGTGCAAAGTACCTGACGGAACAGAATCCGGACATGAAAGTTGTTTGTGTCGAACCAACCGAGGCGTAAGTGTGACAGTGCAAAGTCTGATTATTGTTCTGTTCATCGACAACAGGAATATGGTCCGTTTCTCCTAGTATTCTTGGTATCTACTAATGCTATTATTCGTTTGCTCGAATGCACTATTGCGCACCCACCAGAAATGTGCTGAGTGGCGGTTCCCCAGCCCTTCACGGGGTGGTCGGGATTGGTGCAAACATCAAGCTTCCGTTCATCGAAGCGTTGGCACCGGGCCAGGAGTGGCAACCCGGTCCACGGGGATATATTTCGGAATTCTGCTCGGCACTAACGCCCGAGTCCGTGGCATGGGCAAACCGCCTCGCCGCCGAAGAGTAAGTTCATCCTTTTGTTAGAATCTCAATGGTAGTCGATCTAGGCTTTTTTTTTTGGCAAATCAGGAACGACGTCATTGGTACCGTTTGTCTCATTTTTTTATGCTTGGACGCGATATTTTCCTTCAATGCTGCTCTGCTGCTTCAGGGGCCTCTTGGTGGGGCCTACCTCAGGAGCGGTGGTGAAGGTGTGTGCAGACATTGCCTGCCGACCAGAATCGGAAGGGAAGACTATCGTTGGGGTTGTTGCTAGCTCCGGTATTCGGTACGTCAAGCACCCCATGTGGGAACCACAACGGACGGAGGCCGATGCAGCGCTGCCAGTTCCCCCGGACCTCGAGAACGAGATTCCGATCCTTCGCTGGAAGTCGGAGGACTATGTGCCACCCGAGTGATTGTTGTGTAAGCCAAGGATGTGAACACTACGCACAAAAACTGCAGGCAGGATGCATTTCACACGTTCGATAGAAATAAGACATGAAATAATGAAGGTAGTCGTATCTATTACAAATCATTTTATGGTTAGGGTTTATCAAAGATATTTTGTTCGAAGAATTGAATTGAATCTTGCACAGAAGTTTGAGTCGCGGACGGTTGTCAGAATCGCGTTTATCACACGGATTTGAAGTGACACAACCACGCTGATACGTCAGAGCTGCATGTGTATGGCATCATGATGCTAAAAATTTGTATGCTGATCGGATTTTGTCAAACAAAATCGAATCGAACGATCAAGGACACAGCCGATCGGGAGCATACATTTGCCATCTCAGCAAAAGAAAAAACAACAAAGTTGAAAGACAAAAGAATGAAAATGAAGTCCAGTTCTGCGCGCTCTGGTTTGACACCTTGCCGACGATACTCTATCGTTGCTGCTTTGGCATTGGTATCACTCACACTCCCGGTTCAATATGGTCACGCATTCGTTCCACCGTTACAATCAGGCGTGAGTCGGGAAAGCAATTTGTCACTGTGTCGGGACGCAACAAACGGTATAAGCGAAGATAAACTCAAAAAAATTGTCGGTGAGAATGAGGCCACTATTGGAAACGATCATCCCACCCGCAACAGCAATTTCGTGGCCGCTATGGCGAGTCTGTCACTTGCGACAACCTTGTTTCTCGGTCCGCTAACCCCGGAACCAGCCCATGCGAGTTCGTACGCCGCGTTCACACCGGAGCAAAAGCTGGTCACCGAGGCGTGGAGGACCGTTGATTCGACGTATGTCGATCGAACCTTCAACGGTCAGGATTGGTTCAAGATGCGCCAGGATCTTGTCAAGAAAAAGTATAGGAGCATGGACGAGGCACAGGACGCAGTTGCCAAAATGATGTCCACCCTTGGAGACAAGTACACCAAATACCTGACTCCGGCAAAGTACCAATCGCTTGTGGACACCGCAACGGGAACGCTGGCGGGAGTCGGTGTCGAAATTGCCACCAACAAAGACGAAATCCCGATCGTATCGGACGTCGAACCCAATAGCCCCGCCCAGAAGGCCGGGCTCCTGCCAAAGGACGTCTTTGTAGAAGGCGGTGGAGCCAAATTCGACAAGTCGTCCACGCCGGACGATGTAGCTCTGCGACTGAGAGGGCCCGTGGGCAGCAAAGTCGGCATCACGGTCCTGCGGGACGGAGCAACCAAAGACTTCATCATCGAGCGAGCGCCAATCACGGTAACCAGCGTTCGAAGCTACATAGCACAATCCAATAAAAACGTGGGCGTGATTCGAATCAAATCCTTTTCGGGCACCACGAGTTCCACCGTGAAGGAAGCAGTCCAAGAGCTGAAGAAAAAAGGTGCCAAACAAATTCTGATTGATCTGAGGAGCAACCCCGGAGGTCTATTGCCCGGAGGAGTCGAAACGGCACAGCTGTTCCTCGAATCCAACAAACAAATCGTCTACGTTGTGAGCAACAAGGGTGTCATTCTTGCCGAATCTACGTTCGAGGATGGCTTCGATACGGAAACCAAGTTGACAATTCTCGTTGATCACAATACAGCCTCGGCAGCCGAGGTCTTCACGGCTGCTATGAAAGAAAATGGAAGAGCAACCGTAATTGGGGAACAGGTAAGCGATAAGAGTTTTTCGTTGATCATAATTTTCACTTGACTTTGTAATGGTTGTAAAATCGTGTAACAGTTTGTTAAACTTCAATAGCAGGCACGTGTCGTTCTAATTGACCTCTTGCTCCTTTCACTTACATCATGTGCTATCAACAGACGTTTGGAAAGGGTATCATCCAAACGATTCGCGAATTATCCGATGGTAATGGTGGACTTTCAGTAACGGTGGCACGGTACGAAACTCCCAATCACAACAATATCAACAAGTCGGGAATTGCTGTAGACAAAGCGGTGGATGTTGAATGCCCCAAAGACAACGCGCTAGCATGCCTACCATCGGGATACTTTTAAGCTACAAATATAAACATCATAACAAATCAATTGCTACAATCGAGAAACGGAAGACAAGCTGTAGACAACGAATATTCAATAGAGGACCGAATGATTATTTCCAATACAATGTTTCTGAACAAAACGCTACACTTTATTCTTTCGTTTCGACCTCAGGTGTTCCTTCATCCTTTTCTTGTGCAGCCCCTTCTTCTTTGTGAACGTTTTCTTCGTCCTTTTTCCCGCCGAGACCGTAGGCCTCTCTACATCCATACACGCACTCGTGCCTTAAACGATTGACGATCAAGCAAAGCAGAAATGGCGTGAGAGCAATCCAAATACTGGAAAACACGTACAAACACTAAAAATATCCTTCGACGCAGGTCCGCAACACCCCATCGGCTGCGATTTTGTCGCACCCGGAATTCAAGGATGCGGCACCGGATTTGCCGGTCCGCCCGGACACCGTCACTCACAGAAAGAGGAACTGGACGAAATTCAGCTGGTTCTTGTCTTCCTGGCAGATGTGGTCGCGGACCACGTTCCGGAAGGCCAGCCAGCGGTCCCTCGCCGGACCGTCCCTGGTCCAGTCGATGTCCGGGAGGTCGTGGTTGGTCTGCGTGTTTTTCCGGCGGTTGTACCCCCCAAAGTAGCTCATCTCCAGGAACAGCCCCTGCGCCGGCGCCACGTGCAGGGCGACGGTCTCGGTCGGGTCCAGGGCCCGGTCCATGAAGGAGAGGGGGGCGGCCCCCCTCGCCACGTCGATGGCAACGCAGATCATCTTCCGGATCTGGTGGAGCAAGAAAGACTGCCCCAGGACCTGTGTCGGGATCCACTCGATGCCGTCCACCACCACGGGGTCCTGGGCCCGGAAGGTCTCGATGAACCGCTTCGCCTGGGCCTGGCCGGGCTTGAGGCCCTTGGTGAAGTTGTGGAAGGACCGGGTGCCCTCGCACTTTTGCAGGGCCGCGGAGAGGAGGCCCCGGTTTTCCTCGGTCGACCGGTAGTCCTTCAGGACCGCGTACAGGGCCTCGGCCTCGGTCGTGGTGAGCGGCGCCCGTACGTTGTCCGCGTTCCTCCTCTTCTCGGCGGTGTCGATCCCGTGGTCCTCCATGAGGCCCCTCCAGTCGGGGTGCAGCAGAAAGGACGGGACCATGTACTGGTACCGGACCCGGTCCCGCTGCGTCTTGGCGCAGAAATTGCGGGTCGACCGGACCATGTCCAGCACCCGGATGTCCTCCGGGAGGAGGGCCTGCAGCCTGGCCATGGGCCCCCCGAGCGGGTCGCCGGTGGGGCTCTCGGGTTTGTGCTCCCAGTCGGACACGGGGAGCTCCACCTTGAGCGAGCAGACCTGGGCGCAGGCGTGGACGCCCTTGTCGGTCCGGGCGGAGTTGCTCCAGCTGTACTTGTGGGGCGTCCCGAAGTTGGTGTCGGAGATCATGCCGCACTTGTACAGAGCCAGCTCGATCTCGGCCTGGAGGGTGCGCTGGTCGGGGTTGGCCTGGAACCCACCGTACCGGGTGCCCAGAAAGCCCAGGAAGAGGACCACCTTCTTCTTGCTGGTGGGAACCGGTTCCGTTTCGTTTCCGTCACCGCTGGGTGTGGCTTTGTCCAGGGTGATTCCAAACTTTTCCCTCATGGCCGGGTTGGCAAAGGACCCGATGTGGGGCGGCTCGTCGCGCTTGTCCTTGCCGTCGTCGCCAAAGTCCTTCACCCATTTTCCCTTTCCCTTCTTGCCAAAGCCCCGCTTCGACTTTTCGGTCTTGAGCCTCTTCCAGCCCTTGCGTGTTTCTTCTTCTCCTCCTCCTTCGTTTGTTTCGGGTTGTCGCTTGTTTTGGGTCGCGCCGGCGGGATCCCCGGCAGCGGGTGTTTCGACAGAGCTCATTGTGCGCGTTTCCGTTACTCTCGCCGTTGATATCGTTATTCTTCCGATTGATTCGACCACCCCGGGCAATGTTCTTTGGATTCGGCGGTGCTTGTTTCGAAGGATTGCTCTGCCGTTTAGGAGTTTACAACCTGCTCTGCAAAATGTATCGGAAGCTGATCGTAGCATGCGGGAAAGGACATGTATGGTCCTGACTTGCTTGGATTTTGTGTTCGAACAGCGACGAATGTCGGGATCCTAGGTATCGCAGGTGGCAAGGATACGGGTTGTTTTGTTGTGATGGGAACAACCCATGATGCTCTTGTGGTTGCGTACATTTTTTGGGTCCGATTTTCTTGGCATCTGGTGGGAACATCGTCCGTCCATCGTTTCGGGAACGATTCATTCGATCGATTGGCTCACTCGTTCGAACATTTTGTTGACTCGTCCGAGTAAAACCTGTCGGGAGCTTTTTTTCAACGGGTTGAAGCGAAGAAACCACCAAAAAGGCAAAAGGCCCACCACGATTGCTGTCTCCGGATTAGCGCAAAAAACAGAACGCTTTGTATCCAAGCAGGATCCCGGTGCAAGACCATCACATTTCCTACAATTGCCTTTTGTGCGTTCCTTGACGGTGTCGTTTTACAATTATCGGTGCCGTCCACCCACCTCGTTTTGATGAGACCGCACCAAGATCAAAGAAAAGTGAAACATACCCTCACACCATCGCAGCCTACCGGCAAGGTACGGCGCAAATAATGTGACAAATCTCATCTCCTATCCACATTTGAACCTACTTCTCGGGCCCAACTCACTTTGTAAAAGCGGCAAAAATCTAGATGGGATCCCAAAAAAACCTGTCGGGAAGGAAATATATAGTGTACTCAGCAGGTTGGTTTCCCAAAGATACCTACATCCTGGTAGCAACGAACCCGCCCGTCGCTTCTTCTCCAAAAATCCGGAGAGCCGGCTGCAACTTCAATCGCAGTGCCTATATGCATTCCCACATACCTGTTGCGAGTTGCTCCCAAAACAAACCAAAAACCATGCATTCGCTTGTCTCCACGGCGAGGAGCGTCGATCCGGGGACACCCACGAGTTTCTCACATTTGCTGGGATCGAACAATTGCGAAGCACCTCCCTCGTTTCCGGGAAGCCCGACCAATTCGCAACAAGAACAAGAAGAAAAACAAACATTCCGTCACCACACCCGGCATCTGTCTCCGACATCCACCATGAAGTTCCCGGTCCACATCCAAAAGAGAAAGGTCATGGGTCCCATCCAGATAGCCGCCTTTGGGAAACAAGTCTCGGAGAACTCGAATCCCAGGTTCTACGGAATTCCGCGGCCCCCCGTGGCCAAGAGTTTATCCTTCTCCTGCCGCAAACCGGTATCCTTCGAATCCATCGTCACCGAGGCCCTCACCGAGGACTCGATGAGCGAGTCGCCCTCCCTGTCCGATGGCACCGCGGAGAGCTCGGGCGACACCGGAACCACCGGGGACAACGACGGCAACGACGCCTACGGGGCTTCCGAGGACGACACCGGTCCCTACGGTCCGCCGCCGCCGTCCCCCGCGCCCCCGTGCCCCGAGAGGAAGCGGACCATCCGGTGGTCCGGAAAGATCCGCGTCCTGGAGATCCGCCACCTCAAGAACATCCCCGACTTTGAAAAGCAGGCCGTCTGGATGTCCGACCTGGACTACCGGATCATCAAGAACAAGGCCAAGAGAACGGTCTACCGGATGATGGCCGGGGAGTTCCCGGACCTCGACGAAGACGAGGACGGGGTGGGCACCGGAAGAGACAAAAGCAACAAAGACACCAAACACGACGGCAGCGAAAACGACGACGCCTCCTTTTGCACCCGGGGCCTCGAGTGCCGGACCAGGGACGGGGCCCGGATCCGGGCCCGCAACAAGCTCCGGACCCGGGCCGCCGTCCTGGCCGAGCAGGAGTTCCAGCGGGAGGAGGGGGTTTCCGACCCCGAGTTCCTGGCCATGGCGTCCATGGACGAGTCGGCCTCCAGCCGGGAGGAGGCCCGCCGGAGGGCCGAGATCGACGCGCACATCGCCCGGTCCTACCAGCACCGCCAGCACCAGCACCAGCACCAGCAGGAGCAACACCACCGCGCCTCCGCCTCCCCACCGCCGGCCGGTCGGGCGGGAGGCGCCACCAGCGAGCGGGGAGGAATCCCGGTGCGCGTCGTGTTGTTCTGAACGAAGCAACGAAGCATGCTAGGGTTGACAACGCAATTCTAACGAGTACGTACTTTTGTTTGCCAGAAACCACGCTCCCCAACGCTGTGCTTTTCTACACTACACTGCACTGCACTACACTACACTACTCTACACCAACACAGCACAAGACACAAGACACACTACAAGCGTACGGGTTGCAATTAAGACGAACAGAGAAGATCGAATCTAATAATCATATTGTATGTTACAACATCTGCAGCGAGTTCTCCGAGCGCGAGAACACAGTATTTCCATGCCGCTTTCGTTTTCCCGGGCCCGATCCATTCGTCTCTCTGTTCGATGGGTAGCAGACGGCAATTCATTCAAAGGAAAGCCCTGCGTCTCGTTCCCATACCGATAGTGTAGGGTAACGCATACAGTACTGGTTCTGCTTGTTTCGCACCGCGTGCCTGCGCCCGTTCCCAATCGTGACCTAGGGGCTGAACGGCCTGGTTTTTTCTTGGGTTTCCCGGAAGCCGAACCCCACGGGTGATCTTGTTGGACTATGGTGGGAATCGTGCGTGTACCCCCGTTCTGTGGGTCCCAGTTTCTTATGACTGTACGATCCGGGATTACGTGGTATGCTAAAAAAATAAAAATAGTCACGGCGGTTGTCTTTGTCTCTATTATTATGGTTGCAAGGTTGTCCTCGTACGAAAGGATGCCAACACGGAACCGATCGTTAGGGCTTGCGACCTTGTGACCCTCCACAGTATCACGTTGCGTACCGTACTCGTACGGTATCGTACAAATAGCTGGAAGTTAAAGCATACTCTAATGTACAGTAGAAGTACTGGGTACTTTACAGAACTCTTACGATCGTTCGAAAGCAACGGCTCGGGCATGGCTCTCGTTGTCCCTCTCCAACCCATCATGCGTTGCGACTTCTTTTTCTTGCTCTCCGTATGCTTACATGCTTTTGTACGGTGCACACCGTAGGGCAGAATATGTCCGTTTCGGGCGCGCATCGGAAAAAGGTTAATTATGGCGAGTACGAGCTGTGCCACACGTGCGGCAAGAAAAAATGCGTGCACAAACCAATAATATAAATCCGATAGAATCGTTCAACGGATGTTTTGCGCGAATAAACTCCGCGTCGATGAGCGCCGGCACAGCGGGCTCCACCCTCCAGCATTTCTTTCCTTTCCTCACCCGAAAAGCTTCTTTTGGAGTAGGGTTGGTTGTTCGTTGTGCCTGCCCATCCATCGAACCATCGAGTGAGAGGTGTGACAAAACGGTCTCCGCAACACCCAAGACAGACAGGAAACGGCAAGGCAAGAGCCCCGTGAAACGAACCCCGATCCGGCATTCCGCACCGACCTTGGAGTCCCATTGCATCCAGCATCGAACGCGAGGCTAGCTAGTGCATACCATACCACACCACACAACACGACACCATGGCACCCCCCGCAACGCAAACCAAACAAATAGCCGCCAGAACGACGGTCCCCCTGGGCTTTGTCGCCACCTGCCTGCTTCTGTGCAGCGGCATTGCCTTTACCGTGGGCCGCGTGACGCGGTTCTGCCTCGTCCCCGACTTGGACGCCGCTTTGGTCCAGGGGCCGCCCCCGGTGGTGGCCGCCAGGGGCAAGGACGGGGGCCTGCTCCCGACGCCCAAGGCCCACGCCGGCAAGATCATTCCCCAGACGATCTACACGACGAAGAACTTTGACACGCGGCTCTCCGCCCTGTCCGCCTCGCAGTGGCTCCAGCCCGCGGACGAGGAGGCAAGCACCACCCCGAACGCCTCGCCGACCAACAACGTCGTCGTCCCCGATCCCGCCAACGAGAAGCTCTCCCTCGGCGAGGACGGAACCGCCGACTACGACAAGGACGAGGAGGAGCACCTCCCGGCCGGGCAGCACCTGCTGGTCGACATCGACGGCCTGGAAGCCGCCTTTCTGGACTCGGAGGCCCGGCTCGCCACGGCCATGATCGCCATGGTCGACAACAGCGGTTTGACCCTGCTGTCCTACCACTGCCACGGGATGTACCCCGAGGGGGTCAGCTGCGCGGGGGTCCTCCTGGAGTCCCACGTATCCTTCCACACCTGGCCGACGGAGGGGGTCATCACCCTCGACCTCTTTACCTGCGGGGCGACCTCCCTCCTGGATTCCATGCCGCTGATCGAGGACCTCTTTGTGGTCCCGCGAGACCCCGACCGCAAGCCCAACGTCATGTGGGCCTACAAGCGCCGGGGCTTCAACGAGCAGAGCGGCAAGGTCGGGGAGCGGGACACCTTTGCCTACCCACTGGGAGTGCACGGAATGGAGTACAAGAAAGAAGTAAGCAAGAAACCGTGCAACGAAGCCAGAAGAACGAAACGAGGCGATGGAGGAACCATCGTCTCGGAAGGATAGCGCGGTCCGCTCACAAAAGTTTGTTGTTGTTGCTGTTGTTGTCGTCGTCGTTTGCTTGCGCCACCAGCTTGCGTCTCTGACCACCAGCTCGGGAAAGATCGCCAGGGTGTACGAGATGCAGGAACACAGGCACCCCTCCCCGACCCGCCAGGTCTACCTGGACGGCGTCCTGAAGAGCAACTCGGTGGGGCAGGCCGCGGCCCACGAGAGCTCCGTCCACCCCCCGATGCTCGCCCACAGCGCGCCGAAGAGGGTGGTCATTTTCGGGGCCGGCCTCGGGGCGTCGACCCGGGAGGTCCTCAAGCACGCCGGCGTCGAGGAGGTGACCGTCGTCGGGGCCGACCGCGCCATGGTGGGCTTTTCGAAGGAGTACCTGCCGGAGTGGAGCGACTGCTCGTACGCCAGCAAAAACGGAGAACCGGCCTGCTGCTTTGACGACGACCGCGTGAACTTTGTGTACGACCAGACCCCCCTGGAGTGGATCGCCTCCTACGGCGGCCCGGCGTACGACGTGGCGCTGGTGGATCTCTTGTGAGTGGCGGCAGTGCTTGCTGCGGGCAGGATGCTGTGTCGTAGTGTGGAATGCATTCGGCGAATCTAATTTTTGCTTTTTTGTTTGCGATGCAAATGTGTTTACAGCGATATGGAAGAAGAATTCGCCATTGAAATCATGTCGAACCGCGAGCACACCCTCGACCAGCTGCTCAACCGGCTCTCGCACGACGGTGTTGTCTCTGTGAACATTGCCGGGTCGACCAAGGCGGTCGAATCCATGACAAAGAGCGGCATGACGCCGACCCGCAAAATCCTGCAGACCACCCTGGCGGAGGAAATGAAAAAGACCGGATTCGTCGAGGCATACGAATACAACGAGTACAAGAGTGGCTTTTCCGAGACCCGGTCCTACGTCGTTGCCTTTAAGGACGCCGCGACGGCCAAGAACTGGAACACGAAGCAGTCCGAGACGGAAATCAAGCTCAACAACCGCATCGCTCGGGACCAGTCGACGGGAGAACTCGCCCTCGAATTTTTCGACGCCGCCACCATGGCGACCTATTCCAAGTTCTCGACCAAGTCTTCCGGGGGTGGCCCCGGTGAGGACCGTTCCGGAGACGTGGAAGAGGAGGAAGCCGTGGAAGAAGCCGAGCTTTCCGAGATGGCCGGTGGAATGGCACAAACCGCCAACTCGAGCTGTTCCAGTACGGAAGACGAGGGCGAATGCAAAAATCCTAGCATCGACATTCCCGAGGAGCAGATGCGGCCACACGAGGTTGTACGGGAATCATAAATAGAGGGGAGGATTGTATATCGTTAATCACCATTTTGTGAATCCGTTGCCTGCGTTTGCGTCCTGGCAAAGTTGGGCCAACGAGATGTACCAATTACGTGTCTTTCTCCGATTCCATTTTGTTGGACGATCTGGATTGTAAGACACTGGGAGCCCAATTAGATTTTACGGCATTTATTTTCATCCTATAGAATTCATATCAGAACTGACCGGCGTTCTAGGTACTATAGTTTTTTATAGAAATGGAAGGAACCTAAAAAACGATGCTGTGCCAAGCCTTCTTTCACGAGCGAAATGCACCCGTGTCTGGATTTGTTTGCCCCCGTTCGTTCGCATCAAGTCTCCGCACCCGATCGCTCGCCGAGTTCTACGCCAGATAGTTGTACCGATTGCGGTCGTTGGCATCCCGCTCAAAGTACTCGCGCTCGATGAGCGTTTCGATGCGTTTCTTGATGTCCGAGGGCTGGGCCGGAACCTTCACCTGCTCGAGGACCTGCGGTATGAGCTCCTGGTGGAGGATCGTCTTTCGGGCCTTCATGATGCGGACCAGCACGGCGTCCACCAGGTAGAGGCGGTCGCGGCTGACCGCCTTGACCGTCTTGTCTCGCTCTTCCTTGGTTTCCTTCATCAGAATGTTGTTGATCCGGATGCGGCGGGTGTTCGATTTGAAGCCCGACTGGACCCGGAAGGTGTCCAGGTCGTGGACGTTCATCCGCGTCTTTTTCTTCTTGCCGGGGTTGGCGTTGTCCGACGAGGAAACATCGGGAGCGTCGCGGTCGTGGTCCCGTTTGTGAAGGACGCGCGTTCCCTCCTTGCCCAGCGAGAGGCTCAGGAGGATGCGCTCCATTTCCTTGCGGTCCTCCAGGCCGACGGCGGCCATGAGCTGCGGCAGCCGCAGTTCCGTCCCGTCGTTGTTGAATTGCAGGAGCACGAGTGCCTGGCACAGGCTCACCAGCAGCTCGTACTTCGGGCCGGCATTCTCGCCCCTTGGTTTGAAGCGCACCACGACGTGTCCCAGGGCGTACTGCCAGGTCATCCTCCTTCCCTGGTACTTTGTCTTGTAGTACTCCGTGAACTTGTTTTGCGGGTCGAGGAGGCACTTTGGCAGGATGAGCTTGGGATACTGCGGATACACGGGCCAAAACCCGGTCGTTAGGACCTGCATGTCCATTTCCACCTTGCTTTCGCCTCCCCCGGGAGCGGAAGCAGAAGCAAAGGCCTGGTTCTTTTCGTGCTGGTACTGTGCCTGCTTGTACCGGTTCATGGTTTCCCGGCTCCAGTCCATGTCCTGGAACATGCCCTCCATCTTGGACGTGTACCCCGCTCCGCACTCCGCCTTGAGGAGCGACACAAAGTGGCGCTCGACGTCCATGCTCACCACCCGGTTCCAGAGCAGCCGCTTGGCCAGGTCCTGCTTGTAAAAGGCCTCGAAGGTGTCCTTGGCCTGCAGGTAGCAAAAGACCCCCGAAATGACGGCCTCGGCCCAGTTGTCCCCCCGGCCGGCGGGGGACGACGACGATAACGCCGATGCCGATGCCGATGCCAGCATCTGGCGCTTCCCGTCCTTGAGGCAGGCGTCGACGTACTTGGCCAGGGCCTCCGCCACCACGCTCGTCTCGTCGTCGTGCTGGTGGCCGTCGCTCGAGGGATTGATGACGTCCTCCCAGACGTTCTTGAGGGCGCAGTGCTCGCCCGAGTGGGGCAGGTGCGCCAGGAGCCCCTGCAGCCGGCCCTGGAGCTCCAGGAGGTCCGTGATCTTTTGCTTCCCGGCCCTGGCGCCGGCACCGCTCTGCGGCGAGACGCTGCCCATGAGGGCCCCGCCCCGGGTCCTCGCGTACTGGGAAATGGCGCTTGCGACGAGTCCGTAGCCGTCCGGGAGGCGGCCGGCGAGCATCCACAGCTCCTGGACGGCGGAGGACGGGGCGGCCATCGGGGGGAGTGCGGCCGAAGGAGCCCCGCCTTGCGGCGGCGGCGGCGACAACGACGACAGGTCCTCGGCAAAGGCCTTTTCCAGGATCGGGTCAAAGTTCCGGGGGTGGAGGAGCCACTCCGCCGTCAGGTGCGGGGAAAACAGGTGGTCTTCCAGCAGCTTGACGCAGGTTTTCTTGGGCAGGAAGCGGCTCCAGTCGTGGGCAACGTGCATCCACTTGGAGTAGCAGTACGAAACGACCGCCTCGGCGTTGTAGTCGCTGTCGGCGCCGATGAACGTTGTGGTTGTGGTTGCAATTGCTGCTGCCGTGCCTCCGGAGGAATTGCTCTTGAGCTGCCTCGATTTTTGCTGAAAGAACCGAATCAGGTCCGGCTCCAGTTTCTTCGACAGGGTTTCCCCCAGTATTCCCAGGTCCTGCCACATGTACAGGGTGGTCTGGAGCAGCTCTTGCTGATCGAGTCCCCGGCCCGCCAGGGTCTTGTCCCAGTCCATCTGCAGGCTCTCCCACCATTTTTGGTAGATCAGTTCGTCCCACCGAAACTCTTTCAGCCGCCGCCGGAACTGGAGCAAGCCCACCTGCCACAGGTCCATGAGGTTTGCCTTCCGGCCCGCATCCGGGGCCGTGCCGTTGTTGCCGCTGGTGCCCGGGTGGTGTCCCGTGATCGCCACCCCCGCGGTGTCGGCCCCCGGAGACGACCGCTTCGCCACCTCCCCGGTCGAGGGCGACCAGGCGTGCGTCCGGTCCAGCGGCAAAAAGACGTGCTTGCAGAGCAGCAGGTAATCGACGTATTTCTGGTACTGGCCCTGGATGTATCCCAGCAGGTCGCCGGGGCGGTCGGAGGCCCCCGGCTCGAGGGCGGCCCCCGGCAGGGCGTGCTCCTCGCAGGCCTTCTGCAGCGTCGCCACCAGGTCCCGGTACAGCTTGGGCCCGAACTTGTGGCTGACGAGGTTCACGACCTGCTGGTACGAGTTTTGCAGGCTGAGGTTGTTGCTGTTGTTGCTGTTGCTGTTGCTGCTGTTGTTGTTGCTGCTGCTGTTGCTGCTTAGTGTCTGTCCAAAGGCCACCGCCACGGTTCCCTCGAGGAGTTCCCGACTCGTCTGCTCGTAGTAGTTGGTGGGAAGCGTCGGGGGTTTCTGAAAGGGCCGAATGACGATCTTCTTCGGACCGCGGCCTCCGCTGGAACCGCCCACGGCCCGTTTTTTCATCAGGTGCTTGTTGCGGGGCATAGGAAGATCAATGCAATGGCCGGGCAGTGGTGCCGGTGGTAGCAGTAGTTGTTGTTGTGTTGGTTTCTGGGTGCTGCAAAGAAAATTCGCGTCTGTTTGATGAAGCAATGGAGGCGACGGTGTCAGATCTTTCCCGGATGGGGGATCGGGTGCTAGAGGACGAAAAGTACCTGCAACAATGTCAGGGAATGCATGATGCATGATCCTACCGGTATGGTACGAACAACTTTTTTCTACGGCAAAGGATAGGCAAAACAATACGAGCAATTCGTAGAAGAAGTACGTATGGTACCGTACGTAATGGTACGGTAGCATACCGTATTCGGAATCAGTGACGACGACCACGGTACGTAGAATTTCGTACAATTCAGTACGACATCAACCCGCGCCACCTGAAATGAAGGAACCGGCAACCTGTCTGAGGAGGAACTACGAGTCCGAGTACACGCAACCAAGTAAGGAAGCCAGCCGTAGGGCAGATGCACGCCTAATCGCCGAGTGAGACAGTCGCGGTCGGCATTGATGGCCTACGCGAACGAAATGAGGGACCAATTTTGCGCGCGCCCGGTAGTTTCGTTTCATGCGCATACAGTAGTCGTGGTCGACTTCTCACCCAACCCCCCAACGAAGAAAAAGTCATTGTTGCATCGAGACGCCAGCCCTGTTTGTTGTTTGTGCATATTGTGCATATTGTTGGACGCGGGCACAGCAACTCTGAATGGGTTGGGGTTAAAAAAGGGTTTAGAATCTTGAATTCTACCAACTTGAATTTTTGGCGAACAAGGACTTCCCGGAAGGCAATCGATCCTCTCAGATACCAGCACCTTGCAAAACAACGACTCCGTGTAACAAGCAACACGGGAGCGCTGTCATCGCAATACCGTGCGTCGAACCCTGCGGGGAATCTACTCCACTCTACCAAGGGATAAGCTCTCAAGAGCACGACCCCGTGGCCAAAGATGGGTCTCACCGACAACGATAGTGTTGCCCGGAACGAACACAAGAAACCCCCTGCGGCAAAGGCGCGTCGCCAAACGGGGAGCCGGCTGCACAGCAAGCATTCCCAGGCCATGATCGAATACGCCGATCGGCTCACGAAGAAAGGACCCGGGGCCGGGAAAACGAAGGCACGCCGCCCAGAACGCAGGACCAGCGGCCGCGCGAAGATCCAAAAGCACAACCGGGCCCTCCTGCTGGGTTCGGACCTCGCGCTCGGGATCTACGCCGTCCTCGCCCTCTTCCTGTGGATCCGGGAACTCTGGGTCCTCAACGGCGTCGGGGTCCTGCTCCTGGCCCAGGCCGGCGACATTCTGCTGGACTGGTTCTGGCACATGGCGGGCGGCCACGAGATCCAGCAGTGCAAGGGCTGGCTGGTCTGGTGGTGGAAGATCGGCCTCGACTTTGCCACCCGGACGATCGAGGGACACACCCTCCACCGGGTCCTGGTGGCCAACACGCTCAACTTCTGGAACCTCGTCGGGAAGAACTACACCCTCCACTGGTTCGGGGACATCCACAAGAAGGGCAGGGCGAGCGTCCTGGACCGGGCCAGGGAACGGCTCGAGCAGTCGTCCGAGAACCACCGGAACTTTGCGGCGGGCCTCCGGGAGAACCTGGAAAAGCGGAGAAACGGCTTTCGGAAGCGGGTGTCCGGGTGAGAAGGAGGGGCTTGGAAGACCGGCGAGTGGTTGCAGGACGCACCGCGCCCCGCGGCCCGATGCGAAGAAAAGGAACGGAACGGAACGGAAAGCAAGCCAAGGCAACACGAGCGGATCCGTGCATCAATCCGAGAACAGCGGCCGAGTCGCAGTGCAAAACAACCAAATGGCTGCGAAAATCATGCACGATGCAGCAGATCCGCGTTGGGCCACCGGTGTCCCATTCAAGGTCGCCCGGTGCAAATTCCAGGAACCACCGTGGTCGCCGTTTCGTCGGTCTGTAAGAGTGGGAATGATTTTTTGTAGAACCGATGGAAACGACTGCTCGCAGGCCTGGGTGACACGACTCGACAGAGCGAACACCCGTGCTCCTCTGGCTGGGGGCCGGTTCGCTKGTTGGCTGGTCACGTGTTGCAGCACACAGCAATCACCAAACTCCGACACAGTTCTCCGTGAGCGGACAATTTGTTCGCCAGATGCATGTACGGTAGAATTCTTGGAAAGATTCGTCGGTGCAAGACAAGTTGCAATTTCCAAGCGATATACAGTACGCACTTTTCCCAATCGATTGGCGTACCGTTCAAAGATCCCGCTACCAGTGCGGGTTTGTGATATGATTACAATATTTACAATATTAGGTTCCAAATTGATTTTGTGATGCGCGTACAGTATTGTTACAGTTGTATTCCGGTTTGCTTCGCGTCCGAGGCACCCGCCCTGTGTGTGTGGCTCGGTTCCTGGTGTGTGTGCGAGGAACCCACCGATCGGTCACCGGGCCGGTCGGGAAGGCTCGACAATGCACGGTCACGCCCCGGACAGCATCGTGGGGGTTTCCGCCATCGGGGGCGGCGGCGTCGTTGTCGGCGAGACGCAGTGGTTCTGTCCCTGCCCGGGGACCGGTCCCGTCGGATCCAGGGCGACCCCGAGAACGCCGGTGCCGGCCCCGTCCGGCGGCGAGAGCCCGGGCGGCCCGGGGCAAGCGGAAGCACCCCCCCGCACGGGCGGCCGCAGCTGCTGCCGCTGGGAACGCCCGGCGGTGGACCCTTGCCCCCCCCTTGGGCCGGCGCCGGAGGCCTTTGCCGAGTGCACGATGCTGGCGCAGAGGAGCTTCTCGGCGGCCCGCTGGATGAGGGCGGCGGCCTCCTCGAAGCCCGGCCCGGCCTGCCCGACGCGGACGGAGATCTGTTTCAGCGACCGGTGGTAGCCGGCGACGTCCTCCTCCGAGAGGCCCCGGACCCGGGCCCCCGTCATCCTCAGGTTTTGCCGCTTGGCAAACTTCTTGGCCCAGGAGTCGCTCCCGCGAAAGGCCTCGAGGGCCTTGAGTTCCTTCTCGTCGAGAAACAGTGGGTTGGTCTCGTGGATGCGGAGCAGGTTGTTCCGGACCTCGAGTCCCTGCCGTTTCGGGTTTGGGTTGCGAGCGGATCGAAAACACGGCAAGATGAGATCGGTTGCGAAACCAAAGAATCGTTGCATCGAACTAGAGCAATGCTACAAGCTGCCTCGGTACTGCGCAGTGATTGGCACCGGGTCCCGGCCCATCCTTGTTGCTTCACCTCTCCAATATAACAACAACAATAACAATTCCAACAACAACAACAACAACAACAACCACAAAGTGTCTGTTTCCCCCCGCGTTTCGTTGGTGTGTGCGTACCTTGGCCGCGACGAGCTTGGTCGAGACGCGCTGGCGGTGCTCCTCCGGCAGGCCCTTGTTGTACTCAAAGAAGCCCACGAGCTCCTCTTTCAGCTTGCGCATCGGGTCCTTGCGCACGTTGGCCTTGAGGCCGCCGCCTTCGGTGGTGGCGGCCCGGGCCCGGTCGATCGCCCCGGCCACGCCCGACCGGGTCCACTCCCGGACGGTGTTCTCCGGGAGGCCGTACCTCCGGGCCGCTCCCGAAACGGTCCCGCGGGTTTCCCCGAGGTGGCCGAGGACCTCCGCCTTGAAGTCGTTGTTGTACCGCCGCCGGCGGCGGACGGGCTTGGGCGTCCCCCCCGTTGCGGTGGCGTCCCCCCGGGTGCAAGGGCTCCCGGTCCGCCGGCGCTTGAGGCCGCCCCCGCCGGTCTCCCCGGGGGATTGGCGCGTTTGGGGGGCGTGGTTGCCGCTGCGGCTGTTGCTGCCGTCGCCGTCCACCGATCGGCAGAGGCTCTGTTTTTGCGGCTGTAACGCCGGAACAAACACGGCCGCCCCGTGCATCGGCAGCCGTGGGCCCGCCGGGGGGTCGTCCACCGGGGGCGGCGGTGGCCCCCGGTCCAGAGCGAGGGCCCCGTGCGGATCGTGTCGGAGCTGGTCGACGATCGGGTCGCCGAGCTCGGCCGGGTGGTGCCCGGCGATTCCACCGGCGTTCTCCGCCGCTTCCTGCCGCAGGGCCAGGACGGTCGCTTCCGCGATGCCGTCGCTGTCGTCGTCGTTGCCGTCGTTGCCGTCGTCGTCGTTGCCGCCACCGCCGCCCTCTTCCACCCCGAACGAATCGGACCGGCTTCGACCGTGGCCGCCGTACGGGTGGTGCCCGTGGTACTGCCGGTGCAGCCGCTCCAGCAGGTCCCGGTTCCTCCGCTCGTGCGCCGGATCCGGGGCCAGCGGCAGGCCATCGTGGGCGTGCAGCAGGTCGTCCCGGTCCGCGGTGCTTTCGCCGCCGTAGGGATCGGCCCCGGTGGCCGAAACGCCCACGGGAACTTCCACTCCAACGCCAACGGCGACGCCAACGCCGACGCCCCCCGCAACGGGTCCGTTCCCGCCGACGGAAAGGTTCAGGTCGTGCGCGTGGAGGTCCGACAGGGGCGTTGGCTCGGCATCGTCTCCCGCATGGGACAGGCCGTCGACTTCCAGAAGGTCTTGTCCGTGTGGATCGTCCATCGCAGCAACCCGAAAGAACGAAAACGATCGCTTCGGGGTCCGGGTACAGTGTCAAGCGAGACCGATTCGGACAGCCGCGACACCGAGTTGTGGGCGGCGCGATCTATCCGACCCGAGCGGTTGGAGGAATGCTGCCTGAAGAGGTGATTTGTCGGTGGTATTGTGCCATGCGTTGGTCGATGCTGGTGATGGCATCTCGCAACCGGGCTGCCTTTTTGGTTCGTGACAGCAACGCAATTGCACTTCTGTGATTATTGCAGTTACAATAGTATAAAGAAAGAACCATAAAAATTATTTTGCACTTTTTGGTGAAAATTGCTATGAAATATTCCGTTTTTCCCAGAAATTCAAAAAATCTTTGGAATTGAATTGAATTGAATTGAATTCAATCAGGGAAGAGGGAGAAAATAAAAGACCGACCCCCCTGGGGGAATCGGAAGGAATCAATCAAAATCCTGTCGCCGAGGGGAGAATGAATCAAGGGCGTGATCTAGAGTCACCGTAGCGATCCTACTAGCGTACTACTCGTACTACTGAACGAACTCTAACTAGCACATGAAACCAAGAAATCACGGTGATCGGAAACGAACGATTTTGCGTTCTACCCAACCTGCTCATATTGCTGTTGGCACAGATCCATTGCATGACCGTCGTTTCTTCCTTTGAAGCTCGATACATTCTCCTAAGAGACAGTCGACCCACGCACATGTAACCAAGAAATATGAACATGGGAAAACGATCCTTGGAGGAAATGACGACATCGAACAACGACGACACTACGAAGATGAAGGATACAAGCAACAAGAGCAGCGACGGCGACGGCGACCCAATGGTGCGTAGCAAGACAATATGTGCGACGATCCAAAAAGCGAATCGAATCGAATCGGATTGCACAAATTCTTGCCTGAGAATTGACTTGCCGGCCTCGTCAAGCAATGTTTGTCCGCACCACAATAATTGTTTGTCGTCTGTCGATATCGTGCATTTGCGGATGTGCCATGGATCAATTGCAACGAAACGAGAGGAAGCGTACGATGTTTAGCGTTTTCTAGTTCGCTCATTGATTTTTGACCATAAAGTTCATTACAACAGACACTCACTTTCATTGTCATCCGATGATTGTTTGCGCTGGCAATCCCTTCTCGTCCTCTCTTTGCGCAAAACTCAAACCAATTCCAAAAAATCCAATCGATCGAACGATCAACGCGCCAATCAACAAAAACGAAAACAACAACAACAACTCCTGACATTGTACTCCAACGCAACACAGGACGTGGACGACCAAAAAGCGCCACCTCCGGCATCGAAACTGACCATTCCCCCACGTGGATCCCTGGACACCCTGCTGAACCGGCCCTCTCCCTTTGCCAACGAGGAGGGGGCACTGCCGATCGGCGAGTTCGAGCCCACGGAGAACAAGGCTTCCGCACTCCTTTCGAACGCAAGGGTTTTGGTGGTTGGAGCCGGCGGGCTGGGCTGCGAGTTGCTGAAGGACCTGGCCATGTCGGGGAGATTCCGAGACGTCCACGTCATAGATCTCGATACCATCGACGTGACCAACCTCAACCGACAATTCCTGTTCCGCCAGAAGGACGTGGGCTCGTCCAAGGCGGAGGTTGCGGCGGCCTTTATCAACGAAAGGTGCCCCTGGATGAACGTCCAGGCCCACCACGGGATGATCCAGGACAAGGACCCGTCCTTTTACGCGGGATTCAACGTCATATTGTCGGGGCTCGACAACGTGGAGGCACGCCGCTGGCTCAACTCCACCGTGGTGGGCCTGGTGGAGGTCGACGAAGACGGGGACCCGACGGACCCGGAATCGATCGTCCCCATCATCGACGGGGGGACGGAGGGATTCTCGGGCCAGGCCCGCGTGATCCTGCCGCGGATCACGAGCTGCTTCGAGTGCTCGCTGGACGCCTTTCCCCCGCAAAAGAACTTTCCGCTCTGCACGATCGCGGAGACGCCGCGGAAGCCCGAGCACTGCATCGCCTACGCGTCGATCCTGCTGTGGCCGAAGGAATTCCCCGACAAGAAGCTGGACAAGGACAGCCCGGAGGACATGAAATGGGTCTACGAGCGGGCCCTCGAGCGGGCCACCAGGTACAACATCGAGGGCGTGACCTACATGCTGACCATGGGGGTCGTCAAGAACATCATCCCCGCCGTGGCAAGCACGAACGCCATCGTCTCGGCGGCCTGCGTCCTGGAGGCGGTCAAGATCCTCACCTTTTGCTCCCAGACGCTCAACACGTACATGATGTACATGGGGTCCGAGGGCGTCTACAGCCACTCCTTCGTGTACGAGCGCAAGGACGACTGCCCCGTGTGCACCTCCAAGGTCCGGACCGTGACCGTGTCGCGCCGCACGACGCTCAACGAGCTCCTGCAAAAGCTCTGCGAGAACAACGGCTCCGGGAGCCTCAACCTCCGGCTAAAGGCCCCGAGCATGACGACGGCGGGGAAGCTCCTGTACATGCAAAAGCCCCCGGCGCTGAACGCCTCGACAAAGCCCAACCTCGACAAGGCCCTCTCGGAGCTCGTCGCCGAGGGAGAAGAAATCGCGGTCACGGACCCGGTCCTGCAGCACACCCACCTGTCGCTGGCCATCGCGTTCGAGCCGGAGTGAGCGGTGCGGGAACGAGGACAGGCGCGGCGTGGCGTGGCACGGCGCACTGCACTGCACTGCGGTGTGGTGTGGTGTGGTGTGGTCTAGTGATGTGTGGCGGGACCATTGGCAAAAAAGAGTTCAACTAGCAATTTAAAAAAAAAGGAGAGCAACCCTCTCGTGCATCGGCAGAATGCCCGGGGCTGGAAAAAGTCCTAGATCTTATTCAGTAGGGATTTGCGCTTGCGGACGCAGGCCGTAGCGTTTGTTATATTGTTTCTTGGCAAGTTGAAGTCTCAGAAGAAGACCATCCATCCAAGACGGAAAAGTTTTCGAATCCTGTGTTTGAAATGCAGCTGCACCAGCTAGCCCCAGGCAACGAGCCCCGATCGAAACTCCATGCAGCGGGGCGGTTTCGGCCCGTGCGGATTTTCCGACCGATTCGGTACGATGCAATCCGATTCGATTCGATCACTCGTCCGCCAGCGGGCAGCCCTCGAAATCGGGCCTCGCAAAGACGCTCGCGCTCGTCAGGAAATAGGCTCCGTCGTCGATGGTTCTCCAGTGCGCGGTCAGCCCCGCGATCCGATCGTCCGCCCCGCTCTCCAGCAGCCACGAGCACGAGGCGGTTCCGTCCGGAAGGGGCGTCACCTCGGCCTCCTGGAAGCCCACGTACTGGCAGAGCAGGGGATGGGCGGCCTTGTAGATGGCCTCCTTCAGGCTGAAGCGCAGCAGGACCTCTTCGTCGGCCGCAATGCCGGGGATGCCCCCCAGCGACTCTCGCTCGCTCGCCGTCAGGACGCGCTTGGCGAGGCTCGGCCTCCCCGGCCGGGAGGTCATCTCCAGGTCGACGCCGACCCCCGAAAAGATCGCTCCGGGAAGGCCCGGGTCTGCCACCGAATGCGATGCGAGGGCCACCCCCCTGCCCTTTTTGTGGCTGATCGACCCAAAGGCGCCCTCCCGCAGCCGGGGACGCCCGTAGTAGTCCCTCACGATCGGATAGCCGGGGTAGCCGAGCGCCATGCGCATGGCCAGTCGGCCCAGCCAGAACGAATTTCGGGTCTGTTTCAGCGTCATGCCAAACTCGATCTCGTCGCTGTGAAAGAACGAACGAATCCAGTGATCGGGTTCGAGCTCCGTGCCGGGGGGGCTCTGGGGAAAGCACGCCGTCTCGTTCGCTGTTTTCACCCCGATGCACCGTCCCTCCGGGAGCGAGACGTCGAACCACGTCGCCAGATCGGCGGGCAGAGAGCCGGGCCTTTTGGAAGCGAGAATCTCGCCACCCCCGACCACCCCGGCCCCGACGTCCGTTGTGTTGGAGGCCATCCTTGCGGCAACGGTGCCGGCCCGGTAAAACGATGCTTGTCTCCCACCGAAGCCATGCCTGCAAGCCCGCGGCAGAAACGCCGCCATCGGGAATCCGACTGCCCTCTCCCCGAGTGTTGCCAGTATTCCGAGTCTCAGCGCCACACACAGAATCGCGCCCAGTGCCGCTGGAGCCTTTGTCATAGCTCCAGGTCTCGTGATATGCTTTGAATCCTCGGATTCAGGGTGTCATTGAGTTGCTAGAGAGTGGTCGCGTACTACAATCATGAAAGGGACAAACTTTCGATAGAGAAATAACTTCGACCTCACGAGTGGTATGTACCGGTGCGTTCGTACTCAAAAGCGGGTAGTAATGTATCATGCAGAGGCTCGCTCTTATTGTTATTTTCTTGATGGGATAGATGTCACTGGGCCTGGGAAACTCGGACTTGCTCTCAGATTCACGGTGCGTCTTTGTCATCGTCATCCCTGCACGTACCGCTACCTAGCACCGTACCGGCCGGTACGTAATCTATGCTATGGACTCTTAAAAACGAAGGCTACTGTTCCACCGATGTTGTAGCATATGTACGGTTACGTACGTAAGTACTAGTACGTATGTACAGTTAAAACCGTTAAACAGTCTTCTGGGGTTCACTTACTACTAGTAACAATTCTACCTACTAAAAGTACTCTACAATACTACAACTACTATTTCCATGACGGTGAACTGAATGAACTCGATTTCTTGACCATCTCTCAAGTTATGTAATCTGTACTGTCCTATTTCCTGCCCTACCTAAATAAATACGTGTTTCACTTTAACCTACTATGAAATAAGAACTTCTTCCTCTTTTGCCTTGTTCAAGACCATACTGCGGATTGTAGTGCTGCCATCGTGCACATACTGAAAAATTCTTGACCATTCGTCGGACTTGTAGTTTCAAGTATGTTAATGGCAGATCCAGTTCTAATGGCCGTTGTTTATGACGCGACGCTTGACGGTAAACACCAATCCCAAATTCTGTGTGATGCCGTACCTATGGAGTGATTCTTTGCTACTACTAGTAGTTGCGACTAAGGAAAAAAATTTCAGGATGGATCCATGAAAAACTCAAGAGGCTTTATAAAAATTAAATAATCATGGCCTGCATACTATTCATAACAATCTTCGAGCCCTCGCAACAGCATTGCTTGTGTGATCCCATTTTTGATTGTTTGAACGAGCGCTCTTTGGTGATACAGCATTGTAGTTATTAGACAGAAGAATTCGTTTGGAAAGAGAAACAATCAGGTTTTCGTTTGCTCGGGCACGGATGCTACTTAGTTTTTTATTCAGGCTTCATTTAGTTCTTTCTTCTCTTCTTCTTCTTCTTGCCTCCGCGCTGGAACGAAATAACAGTTTCAAAATGCGGTCAGACACCAAAAAAAAAAAAAGATAAATCAATCACGACTCGAAAAGACAACGCTCACCTTCTTGCTCTTGGGAGCCGACATGCCTTCTCCAGCGGCTTCAACGTTCGAAGAAATCTCCGAGACGACCTCGACATCAACGACATCACCCGAGCCGGTGATGGGGGTAACACCGTCTACGGAGGCAGAGGGGGCCGCTTCTCCAAATCCGGCGGGTTTCTCGCGAATGGTAGGGGGGGTGAACACGTTGGGGTTGGCGGGGGCCGCTGCCGTGGCTTCCGAAGCGACGACCGCGGCGGGCTCCATTTTCAGGCTGTTGCGGATGATGAGCGAAGAGGCGGTGGTGACAATATTGTTTGTGACCCAGTACACACAGAGGGCGGAGGGAACGTTCAGGGAGAAATAACCAATCATCAGTGGCAACACCTTCAGGAAGGATGGCTGCTGATCTTTTTGCTCCTTGGGAGTCATCAACTCCATCGATGCGAACTGAGAAACGACCAAGAAAACGGGAAGGACCAAGAACGAAACCGTCTCGTCCCATCCAAGAGAGGGAGCTCCGTTGACCCAGTTGTCGAACAACCAGGCAGACCCCTTGGTGGGATCGGTTCCGTACGTAGGACCCTCGAGACTAGACAACCACAGGAACGGTTCGTCGAGCACATTATCGGTGGCAAGATCGAGGACCGCACGGTAGAGACCGATGAATACGGGAATCTGGACAAGACTTGGAATGCAACCGTCGAGGGGATTCACGTTGTTAGTTTGGTAGAGCTCGGCAATCTTTTGGTTCATGACCTCTGGATTGCTCTGGTATTTGGCCTGAACCTCTTTCAAAGATGGTTGCAGAGCCTTTCAGTTGGGAATCGAGTCGATTTGACGCAATCGAACGAATCGGTTTGGAGTCAGAAGGAAATAATAGAATAATGTGCCATGAGTGAATTGAAACGACGAAAGAAATCATGATATGATTTCCGCACAACAACAACAACAAAATAGGGACACACATACCTGCATTTTTTGGGTGCTTTCCAGCTGTTTTTTTGTGAGGGGGAATGTCAACAATTTGATGGATAGGGTCAGGGCAATGATAGAGATACCCCAGGCGTTGCTGTTGAGTCCTACACCAACGAGCACGCTGTGGATGATCTCGAGGAAGGCCTCTGTGGGTCCTGTTAGGAAGCCGAACCAGCCATTCGACTTCGCGGCTTCGGTGGCGACCTCGGCAGTGGCGGGATCGACGGTGGTGGCAACCTGGGTGGCGACCTGTTCGATTCCGGCGCCAACATCGACGTCCGCTACGGAAAGGGTGGACATAAAGTCCTGGATGGACTGGACGTGGTGGGGGAGTTCCTGAAAAGAAGTCGGGTCCATGGGAGAAAAGGCCCGGGCTGTACTGGACTTGACAGCGGTGTTGACCAATTTTGAGGGCGCAAAGGCATCAACATTGACGTCCGAGAGCGCTAGCAGTAGCGGCATGCATCCGATAGTAAATTTCATGACTCAGTATTTGTTTTGTCGAAACAATGTTCCCTTCTTCTGTGAAAATACCCGCAGTATTTTGTTGACACTACTCTACAAATGTGTTGATTCTTCGTTTGAACAATCGATGATTAGATGTAAAAACAGATATATGTTGTTTTCGTGTCTAGTCGGTGTTTGGCGTTGATTGTTGCTTCTGTTGCTCAGAGATTGATTCACACTCAACATTGAGTTCACTCACTCATTCATGCATCGATATCCATGATATCAGTTGACACGACAAGGACACATCAGTACCTTTTTCTGTTAAGAGTTGAAAATGCCTTCGCGCACAACTCCCGTTGGACCGATGCTGAGATGCCAAACAGATTATTGTCTTGAAGATGGGAAACACGTACGATCTCCTTCCCCTGCGGCTGACGGTCAGACGCTTCAACGGGGGTCGTGGTCGCGCGGAGGTTTCGAAAAAATTTAGGCCCAAAACCCTCACATTACCGGTACCTCCACGTGGAAAATTTCGTGCCGCAAAGGCCACGTTTAGAAAAACTGTACAATGCTCTACGAGTACGAGTACGTACGCGAAGTGATACTACTACGCCTATGCAACCGTCCGTGAGCGTTCGACGTTGAATTCTCCATCCATGTAACAAGAAAAAACATGGGACTCATCGCCGACTGTGAGACGACAGACATCCTTCGCATCCTCCGTCCCAGCCCGCTTTTACCGTTGTGAATATACTCAGTTGCATCCGACCACACACTCCGTACTCGGCTGCGTTACTTTAGGTTGCTTTGACAGTCTCAGAAGATACTGAATAGATTCGATTTCACAGCACAGACAACAACAAGACATGGTGGAACAAACCGTAAACGTAGACCCCGATGGAAGCACGACCTTCGAGGGGGAAGGAGCTGAGGGAGACACGGCTGGAGAGGGCTTCGAGGAAGAAATAGTCATGGATGAAGTCACCGGAGTGGACCCCGCAATCTATTTGTTGGTCGCCTTTGTTGTTGGTGCCATTCTGTACCTGTTGTACCTCAAGAAATCTCGTTCGAACGAGGATGATTATTTCTCATCATACGAAAAAGTGAGTGTGAAGTTTCTCTGGGTGTATCTTTGTGCACAATTCACACAACACGATACGATTATGAAGAGTTCTGTAGTTTCTTTGAGCAACCAGAGGATTTTCCTCATTGCACTGGAAATGATTTAATAACCATGATTGAGACGCTGTGCATGGTTTTTTCAATGCTCTCTTTCGATAGATTCTAATCATGCACGGACATTTAATTTGCTTTGTTCCTTTTTTCCGTTTTCTTTCTTCCCATTACGTTTCATTAGTTCAACATCAAGCTCCCCGCGGAGGTTGATGAGTACTACTCAGTGAAAGAAAAGTGCATGAAAGCCGGCTGGGAGCCCGGCAAGCCACCCACCGACAAAAACCCCAACGGCCCGCACCGGGTCATGGCACAGGCACTTATGAAACGAGCCATTGGGGACATTCCTATCGTTACCTTCATACAGAAGGAATCGGCCGGCATGAACAAATTGTATTCCCAATCCATGTGCTCCGTTAGCCAATGGCGTGCCTACCAAAACGCTGAAACGATGGTCTCGACCGAGGTTGACGAAGTGAGAGCCGAGGCCGACGAGATCGAGCCAGGTTGGAGCCAGGTAAGAAAAAGAGAAGACCGAGGAGCGAAATTGCGTTTGGTTTGCTTTCCGTGGAAAAATAGTTGAGTCGAGAAGAATATGGATTGATCATTGGCGGAATTTTCTCAACACAAAGTACTTTATTTGGCTTCTTGTTGTAACGAATCGTTGTCACAACTCTGTTGAAACATGAAACAAAACAGGTCATCTGGAGACAAGCTATGCAATACCATGGTATGCTCAAGCAGAAGCACGAACAGGAGCAAAGGGCCGCAGCCGAAACTGCCGCAAAGAAAAAGGAAATAGAGAACAAGGTGAATGCCGCCAAGGCCCAGATCAAATCCAAAGAAGACGAGAAGGCGGCCGCCGAGAGAATCGCCCGAGAACTCGTCGAAGCAGAGGAGCGCGAAAAGAATAGCAAAAAATCCTTCTCAAGTGGCGGCATGAAGAAAGGCTTCCTAGAAAAGAAGAAGAAGTAACTTAAACAATAGCCGTATTACGGCATTTTACCAACCTTTTGAACCGAAGTAATATCCAATCGAAGACCAGTTATCACTTTTGGCACGGATACTATACTAATTGTGTAAATCATTGACCGTCAGCGTTTAGCGTAAGATTTGAGCATACATGATCATCACCAACGTCTTCCCAGATAGCAATCAAGTCTGGAAAATTAGAACACATTACAGCGAAACTACTGGTCTTCGTCAGTCTTGAATTCAGTGTAACATTTCATCTCCGAAAATATATTTGTACTCTTTAGCTTCGGTTTGTAAGAGAATCACTTCACCATCAGGTACCCGAAGAAGATTTCGTGATCTGATCATGATTACTGTCCAACAATAGAAATGAGATGTCGCTCTGTACATGACGTGTGATGTTTACGTTTCGAGAACGTTTTGTTTTGTGTATTATTTATTTGATATTTTCTATTTCGCAATGTGTTTACGTGTAGTCCATGTGGAATTTGTAGTATGAAGAGATGAACTTTGACTCGCTGCAATGCAACGACCATGGCAAGAGTCGAGCAGCGATGAGGTCGGTGTTGCTCCGTGGCCATTGGTACTTAAAAGGCCGGGGCATCATCGTCATCCCCGGTATCAGGGAAATCGTGCTCATCCAGATTGGTACCCAGAGCAGCCAGAGAATTTGTGGAGAGCTTTCTGACAAGTTTCTTCACCTCTTCTGTGTGGCCGTTATTGTCACCCATCTTCCTCACCTTTTCACCAGAGATCAATTCCTTCCACGCGTGGTTGCATTCTGCCATAATTTCCAAGGCGTATGCTTTGTTCATAAACTTTTCGTCGAGGCCGAAGGTGTTCGGGGGCTTTCCATCGGGTATCTTGTACGTTCTGTACCATTCACGAATGGCATCCAACATACCAGGCATCTGCTCGTCAACATCGTTGATGTCATTCATGAAAGGGGCCCATTTGTCGTCTTTGTCGATGGTGATGAGCTTCCAGTCAGCTTCACCTTCATCGATCATCATCAAAATGCCAAGAATTTTGACAGGTCGGATACCCTGAATTCAAAAGGAGATGGGAGATGTAAATTCAGTGAGATACAAGAAGGAAACGCGATGTAACCGTCAACCAAAATTTAAGTTCAGTGGCAAAAATCAGATTTCACAAACTTACACCACACTTGACAATTCTTGCACCAATTTCGCAAACATCCAAAGGATCGTTGTCACCTCGGCAACCCTCAGCATCGGGGTGGACAAAGGTGGGGTCCTCCCATGTCTGGGGGAAACACCCATAGTTGAAAAAGATGTCTCCTTTTTTGAACTGAGTCCAGGTGGTTTGCAATGCAATGCAAGAAAGAGACAAAAATGTGAGTCGTTTGTGCAGCACATCGGCGCATATTGGCCAAACATTAGATCAAGCATGGTTTTTGCAATTGGACTACTTACCTCTCGAAGCTTTCCTTTTTTTTCGTCTTGTTTGATAGGGGTGAACTCCTCATCAGTAGCGATCTCGTATTTTTTTCTGCGGTAGAAAGTGAAACAAAAGGCGATTATTTAGCGTCTCTACTTTGAAAAACAATATCAGATCGATCCAACACCAGATGGAATGGTATTCGATTGATCTCGTCAACAAAAATGCTTTTCTTCCTGCTAATATTTTGGTCTCTTTCCCGCTCGTACCTGGTGAATTTCGGAATTTCACAAACAAAGTTGTAGTACTCAGTTTGCTTTCCAGTATCGGCATCGATGTGAGACAAACTGATATCGTGCCAAAGCGAAAGAGTCTTTGCATTTTGACCGTGCTTGGCATGAATTCGGTAGTCAAGGGTGTTGTCTTCTCCGTCTTCGTGAAGACTAATGTCTTTGTCCGAACCAAACGAGTTGGAGCGACTGGGCGACTTAGCTGCCTTGGCGGAATTGTCGTTGAGGGGGATCAAAGTTTCTTCCATGGTGAAAATGCTGTCGACAAGTATTAATGTGAATATTGCTAACGATAATGAAATTATGTCTCCAACCAGGACAACAGGAATAGGAATAGAGATGAAATTTGTCGTAACGGAAGTCGTGTTCTGCTGTGACAAATTAAAGTTTGAAGACCTGTATGGACAATATGGTTCGTACCATACTATTTTCAGACTACTTTTTGATTCTAATCAATAATTGGTCAATGACGAAGCAAGGCAACCTTGCGAGAATTTGCAAACGATGTTGGCGCGGGTTACACATCAGAAATAGAAAACTTTCTGACGTGTGAAGTGATCACGAATAGAAACAGGTTTTTCTTGAGAAAGAGATTCGCCACAAGATTCGAAGGTTGATTCACGAGTCTCATTCCCCCCTAATTTATCATACATCCATTAACCCCTCCCCCTTAGTACCAGTGCGGCATGCGAACGGTTCAAATAAGAAATATGACCCCTGTAAGAAACTACCGGGAGGATCAGATTTTGCTGAGATTCTTTAGTGTGAGATGGAATACAGTAACGAAAATACCAAATCTTGAATGGTTGATTGAATGATTTTAAGTTGATGATGGATAACGCCGTTGAAGCCAGGGATCAAAAACGAACGATCGATCCAATACTCAACCTACCTGTAAACTCTCTGGCAACTTCTCTCTGCTTTGTTTGTCCGGCAAAAATCAATGCCCCAGCGACAAAAATCGAACCTGACATCGAAACTTCCGGCAATACCTCCTACCCTGACGAGAAGAGCGCATATTTTTGCGAAGACGACGACAGCGAGAGTGACAGCGACAGCGACGATAATGAACTATTATTCCGATCATCTTCCATCTCAATTACGAAAACAGATTCGAATACGTCTATTCGCGGAGGTCGCCACCTGCATCGAGTGCTCAATGATCGATTTTTGGCGTCCTGCCACCAAGACGGAGAGGCACTGCTCTGGGATCTGAACCGTCAAAAAAACGTTGCAAGGATTGCAGCTCCCCGCGGTGGATCTGGGCTTTGTGTCCGGCGAACTGACGATCCTTCGCAAATTATGGTTCAAACCCGCGACCCAAAAGGAATCGTATCGCTTCACTCGATCGAACGATGTCGTCCCATTGTCGGGTCACACGGCATTGGCAGCGACAGCGACACCACAAGCAACCACGTTCGCCAATACGAGACACACAGCCAAACCTTTTGTCGGGCTGCTCCCTGTTACGGAAACAAACATTTGTTGGCTCTGCCCTCCGATGATGAGTCAACGGTGACAGTGGTGGACAACCGTTCGAATAGCAGCGTGGCAACCTATTCGGTTCCCGGCCACGGGATGCTAACGAGCTTGGGACTCGCCGTCACCGACCATGAAAGAGGGTATGCTTCTCATAATCCAATCCTTGCGTGTGGCATGGAAAACGGCACTGCAGTTTTCTTCGACATCACGAGTGGTTCCGCGAAACCCGTCGCTTCCGAGTCATCCTTCTCGCTGGGAAAGGATCCAATTCTGACCCTCGATCTATTGCCTTCCTTTTCTCGTTCTATAGTGGCCACACACGAGAATTGCCCTCCGTCATTCCCGATCACGAGCAGTTCCAATGCACTGTTGGTAGCTGCTGGAATGGCGGGCGATGCCGAAGAAGTCTCCGAATTGAGCGAAGACGAGGCGGGTCGGGCCGTCCTGTTCAAAGCCTTCTGTCGTGGCGACAGCACATCGAGCCCAGCGTGGACGTTCAAGCAACGCAAGCGTTTTTCGACCTGCCGGGTCGATCGTGACGGTTTCAATGGCAAGCCCGGAGTTTCGAGCTGCAAATTTCGTCCAGGCGATGGACGGCTGTTGGCAATCGGGGGCTGGGACAGACGCATTCGTTTATTTGAACGATCTACGGGGAAGCCGATGGCCATACTGAAGGGCAACGTTGGAAGTGTTGCCGATCTCGACTGGGCACCCGACTCGATGAAATCAGGATTGTTAGCAAGTGCATGCAGAGGAGAAAAATCGATATCTATTTGGCAATGCTATGCAAAGCGTTGAGCTCTCTCTTGAAAAATATGAAAATGCCCTTTATCGCTTTCTTGGACTCGTTTAACTCAAATGAATATATGCTATCATCGAGGAAGAAAGTAAACTACAGTATAATGGAGTACCATATACAATGCATAGGGTATTCTTTGCTCTAGTCGAGTTGAAGGAATATAAGCTAATTTATTCTATAACCTGCGCACAGTCCCACCTCTGAGTTCGACATATCATCATGGAAGAGAACGATCTGTAAAATGTACTGGAGTGTCATACACAAGGCACACAGCATAATGACATAACCAGTACAATATGCAATGAAAGAGTTTCTTTCGAAATTCACGGCTCCAGTGTCGGTTTTTCTCGCCCTCTGCATAATACCGTTACCAATCAGTGAGCCGATAAATCCAATGCAAAAGCAAACAACAGCGTAGTCCCATAGGATCAAGTTAAACACGGCATAGGAACTCGATGAAAGCATCACAGTGAACAACACCATTGTGGAGGACGTCGCTGTACAAATAGCTGGGTGAACACCCATCGCCAACATTAATGGGACTGTAATCATTCCTCCACCAACTATACGTGCAGGCAATCATAAACAATTATAAATGTAAGATGACATAACCAAAATACGATACAATATATTCACATAAGAAACTGACTCTTTTGTACTTACTTCCAAACATTCCAGCAAAAATACCTGCCAGTATGAAGAAGCACGGGTAAATGATCGCTTTCCGTTGATCCCACTTTATGTCGCCGTGGACATAATCGAACCGAATGATCTCCTTCAGCTCGTGTCGGTTAACGAGGTACGTCTGCGAAGAGGTATGGTAACAAGATAAAGATAGTGCGTGAGGCAATGGAATTCGAACAACCAACAAATACGGCAAACAGATAGACAAGGGCCACTGAAACAATGCTAACCGAAGCTATTCGGTGTACATACCTGTGCTGCCCATGCAGATGAAATCAAAAACGCAATCATGATGATATGCACCACCCAAAAGGCCACACCACCACATTGAATGCCCCACGGACTTCTGAAAGCACCTCCCCCCAGCGTGATATTCAAAAACATGAGAACAGAAAATTTTGCAATCAGTGCCATGACCTTCCCTCGCGGGGTAATCTTTTCTTGTTCGAGCATATCCGATCGCAGTGTGACAAAATCTGGATTCAGAATCAATATACGCTGTCGCTCGTGCATGTCCATTTTTGGAGAAATAGGGGTCGTGGCTAGACTTTGGCTATCTAAAGATTCTGTTCTGACCGGTTCTGGTGGCAAGTAGGAAGCCTTGCTCTCTGGATCCATCCCAGCTCCATGGAGGGCGTCATCGCTCCAGGCACCCGTTGACATTCGAAAGGCAGTCCTAAACGATGCTACCCTGGTCAAATAATCAGATCGGGCCGATTTCAAGTGCTCAATGTACCGTTTCTCGGCATCATACATCCGTCTCGCCTTTGTCAGTGTTGTATGAGCCACAATACTCAGCAGTAGAACGAGGAGGACCGAAAGGACCTTCCCTGGCATCACACGGTGAAAGATAGAACCAAATATTGTACCCACTAGTACCAAAGGCTCCATCACCAGTATCAAATCCCAGTCAATAATAGGTCGGTCTGCCAGAGGGTGACGCCTTTTCATGTTTAGCATCAGAGCAGCAATGGAGCCACCCAAAACCGTAACGGAACCAAGCGGGATGGCTTGCTTCAAATCTAATTTCGTGACGACGACGTAACACGGGATTACAAGCCCCCCACCACCAATGCCACCCAGACTTCCCAGCGTAGCACCCAGTGACGCCAACATGAATCCGAACATGTCATTAGTGGAGAGAGGTAGAAGAGTTGGGTTTTCATCACCAATGTAGATAGACCAATCATCGTCCCCGTTGATGTATTTATCATAGTTTGCAGAGTTCCCCCATCCCTCTTTCCAAGCTTGTTTCCAAAAGTTTTCGTCGCTGCTTCGAGAGTCACTGCTAGATTTTAGATTGCGATTGTCGTGTGCGTTTTCGTTGTCATTGTAACTTCTGTTTTCAAAATCATCAAACGACGTGAACTCATCTTCTTCGTCTTCCTCGATTGCGTCAGACATAGGACCAGCAAGGTGTTCGTGGAAGTTGGATTTTCTCCTATACAGACTTTCCCAGAACACGATCTTCTTACCAGCTGGTGTGTAAGGATGTCCTGGTTGTGTATTTATATTATTTGTTGAAGTATCTGCATTATTATCGATCTGCATTTTCCCCGATACCATACCTGGTATTGTTAAAAGGAAAAGAGCCTTTCGCATACGGCGCCATTGCTTTCTTTCTGGCGAGTTGGAACATGAATTCGCTCTGGTGGAAATGCATGGCGAGCGAACACTACTAGATCCGCACATAGGTTCATGGCACACAGTCGAGTGACTGTGGCCCTCGTGGACACGCATGTTGGACATAGAATAGAGCGCTTGGATTCCAAATGAGGTCCTTTGGATCCGAGAAAATACGGTACTACAAATCAAAATTTCACTTGTTGTTCGACTTGCTTGTTGTTGTAGATGAAGCAAACCTAGAATCTTTCGACGACTGGCACCTTTTGGCACTGTGTGGTCCTTTTGAACTGTTGGCGTGAGGTATGTTCTAATCACGGCGGATCACATCGAATATCCGATGAGAGGTCCGTTCATACCGTTGCAAACCAGTGCAGGATGGGAGTGCCAAACGAACGTGCTGTGTCTTCGGTAGGGTTCAAAATTTGATTTCGAGAACCTTTTCCACGGTACTATCATACTGTTAGTGGTCTTGCGAAGGAATTCCGACGTGCTCGCGCGCAGCATTTTCAATTTTACAACGGGAAATTGTTCAGAAACGGCTCGGTGGGGTCTTCACAAAAATTCGGAACATTCCGATACAGTGTCGGTTCTCACGTACGACGACGCATCCCCCGTACGACTGCCCAACGCAATCCAAATTTTTAAATCATGCTGTTTCACGTCTTCTGCATTTTATTTGTGTCTTCTTGAATAGTACAATGTTGTTGGAAACACATTATTGTGTACCTGACATTTTAATCTTGACTGTATTTCAATATAAGCAACCCACCAACAACAACCAGCACCAACTAGTACTACTAGTAACTTTCTTGTGAGGAGTATTACTAGTAGTAGTAATACCACTATTGGTATTACTACTAGAACAATAACAGCAAGAAGGAGCTGAGGAGGAAGAGGAGGAGGATAATTCTGGGGGGGGGGGGGGKGYCMAAGAGATGCTTCTTCTTAGGGTATAATTTTTGTTTGTTGTGACCACAATTTGTGCCTACTTTTAACATACATGACAAATGAAAAACCCTGATATTCCTTTGCTAGTATCTGTTGACCACTTTAACGGACATACTAACCAATGGTGGTGCTGGGTTGATTCCTGGTCTTCTTACTATGACTAGTTCTTGTTCTCAGTCCTGGATCCAAACATCAGTACCATCAAAGGAAAGTGCAGGGTATGTTATGTTATGATGATGTCTGAATGACATTAAAAGAAAATTCTTGGATGGAGGTGTGATTCATTGGTAGCACCAGAATTCTTTCTGACTTTAATAACTCCTGCTTGGTGTTTCAATCCAGCAATTACTAGTAGTAGTACTATCTGCTGTCTAGTTCTCTAGGTTGAAGAAAAGTGTCAAGATGTTTATGTGCTGTCCAGATTTTTCTGGAAAGTATCACACATAAGCTTTGTAGTACTAGTAACTGCACCACTCTTCCTATCCATGAAGTCAAAAAAAACCTAATCCTGTACAGGGTTTCCTCTTTACCTCTGCTAATGGAATGTTTCATACTAACTTTTATTTGCATGTACCAACAACAACTGTGTCTACTAACAAGAAAGCAATAAGAAGAAAAATTCAGGACAACTACTATTGAACCATATCACTTGTTTGGTGAGAAGGAAATAATCAGGAGTTTAGTATTATTTTCTAGTTAAAACTGCAGACCACAATCATTGAACAAGAGGCAAAACAGAATTTGATTTATGGCATGAAGTGTAAATTACAGATTTTTTTGTTGGTGATCTCAAACATTTCTTTTTCAACTGCTTGCTCCAGCACTAGCCTTTTTGACAGTGTGATACCTCCTGGGAACACTGATGATTGGAAACCTTTCCAAGAAATCTCCTCAGCGGTTGTCAGAGGACAATGGTTGTTGAATCTTCAACAGTTTTTCAATTTACCCCCATGACAACATTGTGCTGATTGTCATTATTGCTGTGATTATTCTTAATAATGCGTACCTCCTTTGAACTATACTACTGAGAACATTTGAAACAGTACTAGTAACTGTAGTACTCACCCAAAGCGAACTGAAACACAAGAAAAAGTGTACAGCTCAAGCACACTACAAATAGAAAAACTGATATAGAAACATATTATGGGTTTAACACCATTAACAAATTGACACCATGAATTTTGCAGCAGTAGTACTGCTACTACTAGTAGTAGAGGGGTAACCATCAAGGAGTAAAGAATTTTGAAGGATTCATATATTTTTGAAATGAGTCTCCAAAAAAAGCACATTTTTGCAGCCATTGACAATTTTAAAGAATCAAATGTCTGTGCTAGGTCTGTTAAACTTGTAATATTAGAATATTTCTGACATAATGTTTACACTATAGTTAGTGACTTGAATATAGGTATTTGTCTTGTCAGTCCACCATAATACAATGTGAGGATATTTGACAAGATACTTACTACTACTACTACATAAGAAACAGCAAATGCAGCCCATTGTATGCTTTTGCATCCTAATTTTTTCATTTGCCTGCTGACCCTTTAGTACTACTATGCTCATTATAGGTTTTGTTGGTCATACTCAGATTTTGTTCTTGTACCACTATTATATTGAACATTGTTTTGTGTTACTTTTTGTCCATCATTATCATGTCTGCAATAGATCCTTTTTCCATCCCAGAATCTGTGCCTACCACTAGTTTACTTCATGTTTCTACTAATAGTCAAAAACCAATGAAAAGAAATAATGTGCAATATCATCTGTGCTAGAGATTAGAATAATGCAAAAACAAAACATACTAATCTTGACAAAAAACAATGATCATTTTTTTACCTGTTTTTGAAACAACTATATTTGCTTATACCTCAAGGGCTGGTTCAAAAATATCTGGATGTCCTCTTTGTGGTTGTTTATTTATGACAACAATGAATTTCCAACACAATAATACTACAACATCGGTGTTTGTATTTTCCAATACAAGAATACAACATTGTTGAAGGAAAGAATTGAACAATTTGTTTCCTTTCATTGTAAATTTTCTCACTTGGTTTTGAAAACACTCTCTGGGGGGTACTTGGGATCTGTACTTCTTATAAGAGACGCCTCACTGTATTACCAAATAATTTGCCATACTAGTAGTACAAATGTCAGGTAGATTCTTCTTGTACAAAAGACTTATATTTCTTCAGAGGTTATACTACACTAGTTTCTTCTCATTCTTACTATGCCAAAATCAAAGATACAAAAATATTGCTTGTTTGCTTCATCATTATATCTCTGGCAAGTTGGATGCTATTAGCTGTATTTCTTTGGATATCAGGTTCTATATCGCTCGTCAATATTTTGTCAAGACAATCTATTGATACCTCATTTATAGCGAACATGTGATAGTTACTACTACCTAGTAGTAACCCCTCCTCCTTTTCTGCTCCTGTTATGGTTCACAATTTTTCAGAAGTTAGTTTGTCACCAACTATGTCATCTAATTTGATTGGATGATCCTCTGCTTCAAGAACTTAACAAGTTGCAAAAAGAGAGTAACTCTTGGAATGATGATCCAGGCTGCTGTTGCTCAGCATGCTCAGGGAATGAAGACTTGCCCTCAAACCACCAGCAACATTGCAATCATTTGGAAATGACATACAAAATTCTTGCATTATGATAATGACTTTTTTTAGGGATTGTAACCACTCAAAATTCTTGCTTTATGATACTAATGATTGTTTTTTAGGGATTCTAACCAGCCCACTCTTTGTGAGCTGAAACCAGCAACACTTATTCTTTGCTCAACAGCATAATTGATGATGCAAATTTCATATACAAAACTCCTGCTCCAATTTGTGGTTAGGCTCAGATTCTTTTGGGAAAAAATATGGTGGTTTTCATCTGCTAGTAGTACCTTTTGAGGCAAAAAGATGTCAGAAATCATACTTAGGTACTACATACAACAATTATAGTAGGACAATGAGAGACATGAAATTTGTTGTTCTTTTTCCTTTAGCTAATCACCATCAGCAGTGAATGCTATGGATAACAAGGAGGATGCATTTCTACTAGTAATAGCAGTAATAGTAGCACAAAATGGGTTACTGTTGTCCTCAAAAATACTATTGATATTTTTGTACTAGAGGTACTACTACTAGTATAAATCACAATAATTTGAATGTTGAAAAATGGTTTATTTTCTTTGTAAAATAAAGTTACCATATTTTGGACAACCAAAAGAAGTCAGCAACAACAAGTCCCACCTTGCTTCTTGATTCAAGAATTCTAAAACTTCATTAGTGAAGAACCAGATTGCAGGAGGCAACAACCCCTGGTGGTATACCAAGGATGGTGTTGGACATGTCATGGATAACAAAGTGGTATTTTACTCTAAATTCTACACTTCTTTTCAAAACAATAGTAATGTGTTCTTCTGGAAAAGAAAATTCTACTACAATAAAAAAAATTCATACTATCAGTTGCTGGTCACTTTTTTGGTGAGCGGTTCTGACTTTCTGTGTTTCTTACTAATACATGGCTCAATGATCCCTGCATTGCCTTCTTCAACAGCTAGTACTAGTAAGATCAAGATTTTCATAGTACTCCAGCAGCAGGTGCAAGAAGTATCTGAATTTTTGCTGCACACCAATGAGCTCACAGGAGGAGGAAAAGTGGGAGGGATTAAAAAGAACCTTTTGTCAGCATGACACCCAGCACCTTCAGCAATTGAATCTTAATTATTCATGTTCACATTAGTACTACTACTAGTAGTATTTGAATACAAATAACATGAGCCTTAAGAAACTATGATGACCATGAACATATTGAGTATGACAGAAGATCTCTTCAACTGATACTTCATAAGATCAGATACTAGCTTCCATAATTGAAGAGCGCCATTTGGTGTCTCTTTGGAGAACATTGTTGAAATCTTTGACCACTTGTTGAGTAATAGTAGTAATCATACAGAGATTACTGCTGTGATAAAGTGCATTTTGTTCTAAAATGGATTAATTCATATTACTTGTAAAATACAGCAGCATATGTGTATTTTTAAATCATAGTAATAGAAACAAAAATCATAGCAAGAACAAGTCCTGCTAGTAGGACACATTTGACCAATTGTTTGTAAGTTATGATATCATGTTGGGAAGGGGGTGCATAGGCCACAGATTCATGTGATAGAATCATACTAAGTCCATGTTTGGAGGGTCATTCTGCGGGGTGGAAGGTGTGCCATTATGGCCAAAATGGTGCAAAAAATGTCTCACATACATATTTTCTGGTAAGGTTCTTCAGCCATTCAAAAAATTGCTTGTTGGTTGTTATATATTGGAAGGGGGTACATGGGCTACAAATTCATGTACTCCTGAAATCACATTAATAGTATCATGATGATTTCTGGATTCCTGGCTCAGGATGTATTGTGTGCCAGAATGTCCAAAATAATGAAAAAACCCAGTCTTGACCCACAATATTTGGAATGATTCCTTGGCAAGCTGACCAAATGTTTTAGTTCATGATATATGTTGGACAGGGCTGGTGCATGGCTGGCCATATTTTATGAATTATTGACTTGAGATGTTTTGTGTGCCAGAATGGCCAAAATAGTGCAAAAACCACCAGTCCCTGGCTGAACAAATGTTTTAGTTCACGATATCGGAGTATTTTGGATAGGGCTACCTGATTTGCCTCATGTGCTGGAATTGCACTCATTCCATGTTGTGAGGAGGATTTTGTGAGGTGGAATGGATGCCAGAATGGCAAAAATAGTGCTGAAGAATTGCCATATGGTGTGCTACCAGCAATGCTAATTTAGATTAACAAAATTTAATGTCTGGGCATTGAGTATCAATATCTTGGGCACTAGTGAGAAGCATAAGCATCTTGCCTCTTGGTGATGGGACAGAAACAACAATTTTTCTTGACCTGGAATATTTTTGCTTCATGTGCCCATCAAATGAACTTTCTGTCTAGTTTGAATTGCGATACAACAATGTGGAGCAATCTGTATCATGGTGATAATAACATGAAGGTAAGGATGCAGCCAAACATGATCGCTGTTGGCATAAGTGTGACCAAAAACAAACAGAAACACGTGGGCACATTTGTGTGATTTTTAAAAAGGGGCATGTATGTTTCATAAAAAAAGGTCCCAAGGGGATATGAGGGGTTCCAAACACTTTTTGTGACATGGGCACCAGCAGGAGTACTATTCATCAGTATGACATGATTGGTAGTAGAGATCATTTGCAACAATCCCTTTTACTGGTTTGAAAGCCAAATAATTTTAGACCTACCAATACTAGTATGAACATGTCCAAAAGGAGKGGGTCTACCACACTAAACTGCTTTGCAGCCCAAAATGGTGCAGTGAGGCTTGCCAAGAAGGACATTGCACCACCTGGCATTGCAGTAGGAGGAGCTTTGTATTCTTGCTGTGGTTATTTTTGCTGGTGTAATATTCCTATTGTTGAGGACATGCTTTTGCTGACCTTCTTGTGGTGCGTTCTTCTTCTTTTTGTCTTCTTGTTGTCTAGTTGTTGCTCTTAATCTTGTTCTTGTTCTTGTTCTTGTTCTTTTTTGCCTTGCTTTCTTGAATCAAGAACAAGAGTCATCAACAGGAGCTCATTGTTGTTGTTTCTTCAGCTCTTGGTAGTACTAGTACTATTGGCTACTACAGCACACTGGACTACCACTTTTAACTTTTGCACACCTCCAGGAGCATGTAGTAGCCTTGATAATTCTCACTAATCTAGACTTACCAAAGAAAATAAAAGAAACTTATATTTTGTGTAGAATCCATGTAAACCTCAATATCCCATTTTTTGCAAATGAATGAGAACAAAAAGCAGCTTATTTGATTTTAAAAGTAGGAGGCCTGATAGAAAAATGCAATGACTACCACTGCTGTGATGCCAATGAGGAGTAACTATCATGGTTGGTCATCTCAAAATTAAACTGGTTACCTTTAGATGATGAAAAATGATTCCATTCTCAAGACATGATATTCACCAGTCACAAGCCATACAACCATCAAAACAGAAGTGGGGAAAGAGACCAGCTTATCTCAAGTGATGTTCTCAAGTGGCTGTTTACAATTTGTACTCATTGAGAGAAAACACTTAGCAATCAGATTGATAACAAAGGTACAACTAGTACTAGTGAAATTAGCAGTAGAAGCACCTTGAATGCTCCTCCTGTAGATTTTTTTAAAACTCTGGTATAGTAGTATTCATAGTACTAAGAAGGAGGAAGTGTTGGTGGCATTGGATACAAAACCTTCAAGATCAGGGGGGGAAAGACAAGTGGTTTTAAGTTGGATAAGTTTCTGATGGAGAAAAAAAGTGTCTGATTCTCTTTGTTAATCATGCTTGGTGTAACAAGGCCTGCTTATGGGAAATAGACAGTGTGACAATGGATATCTTCATTGCATTGTTCCAACATAGCACAACAAGATTTCAATCCACCAGGAGGCTCCCAATGCCAGGGACTTGATGAGATCAGTGGAGGTCACAGATAGTGTCTTCCTGGTGGGGCAAACAGAGACAGCATAAGTCATTAAATTGATACTTCCATTGTTTGAGAACTGTAGCACAGTATGGAGGAGCATGCCATTCCAATTTTTTTTGAATAGGACATCCCATCAAGGCAACAGATGGCAATACTGATAGAGAACATTGTTTTTTCACTTAATGATACAAGCATTACTACTACCACTGATGTTACAAGAACAAATGTCACAATATTTGTCAGGACAAGGAGCATTACTACTTGCATGATGTTTCTCAGCATCATTCTTTCCTCAGCACAGTTACTTGTTATACTACAACTAAGCCAAAACTATGACGACAAGTCAAAGTTTAAAATTGAAGAGTTTTCATCAAAAAGTGCTGAAAAATTTCTCTGGATTGTTATCATGCACTTTCTATGCAGGAAGGCTAAAAGATGATTGTAGAACAAGAAGTTACACATTAATTTGAGGGTTGGTGCTGAGAACTGTTCTCAAACTAATGAAGAAAGTGCAGTTCCTACTTGATTAGAAAAACTCTGGGCAGATTTTTGACAGCATTGATATGATGATGTAGTATGACTCAGGTCAGATTCAGCTTACTACAGACAGATTCATACACTGAACTGCAAATTATTGACACATCAATTATCAAAAACTGTGGTTTCCATACTACTAGTACTACTAAGTGTGGTGGGAGAACACTACTGAAACCACCTAAAGTACCAACTAATATTCATTTCTAACACAAGGAGAACTGTGAACAAATTGCAGGGAACAAGATCTTTGGAAAATGTCTTGATTTCAACCTGGTGGTGGTGGTGGTCTCGCCTTAGTAAACAAGAAGAAGAAGTAATAATTGGAAATATGTTGTGGTGCTTTAGTAGTACTAGTGCTACTAGCTAGTAGTAGTAGTAGTAGTGAAGAGTTGTTATAACTTCCAGTGCTGCTCTGTTTGTGATGAGAAGAACAGCGGCACCTCTCTTCACAAAAAACAACACTGGTGCCAACAGAATTTGACATAGACAACAAGAACAGATCAATGGTGGATTCCACCAGTCCTAGAAATAACAAACAGCCACAGTCATTCTGTTAAGAACATTATATTCATGGGTTATCTTTGGGAAGTCTTTCAATCAATGAGGAATAGTAATGAAAGATTCATCATCATTCTTGAGTTAAATTCTACTGTACTCAGTACTTCTAGAGTAGTTTACGTATCTCCTCTTTTTCAATTCCCCCCCTCCCCCCTTTTTCAGAATATTATTTGAGTGCTGACGGCACTGCACTGTACGGTACGGGAGTTACGATACTGTGTGATAGTAATATGATTCATTCGATCTGATCGCGTGGATTTCTTTCCCTTTCTCCATGATCCAATCAGAAGACGCAGACAGCTGCGTTGCGAACCCTGCGAACGGTGGCAAAATCACATCAACTCGTCTTCTCTGTCGATCTATTTTCTCCCTTCACTTTCACAAACAACTCCGCTTTGTACCGGGCCATAGACGAAACATTGAATCAATCCCCGACTCTCGATACTGTAAGATCGCCGGGTCTGTCATTACGTTGTGCTTATACGAAGTGCTTTAATCATTCACCTTCTTCGTCTGCCATAACCTGGCACATCATAGCGTACCGGGATCCAATCACTGTGCTTATAACAACCAAGCCATATCTTCGTCAACAGAGCTTCCTACGTAACAATCAGAGACGCAACGATCGTCAACTTTTCCCATAGGCTCATCGTTTCATTTCAGCCGCCCGAGATTCGTCCGATTGATTCGATAAGAATCACTAGGTGTTGGGTTCAATTCGGGAGGGCAGATTTTAAATCATCCAAATAGACCAGAACATTGGACACGCGCAATCAGAAATAAATCGAACACATCACATAAAATGGTGGTCGATCCAAATCCTTGCAGTTCACCGAGGTTTGTAATCATCGGATTTATTTCTTTGGTTCATTTCGCCTCTATTGTTAATTCTTTCGAGATTTCCTTCCCCATCGCTGGCATTAATAGTGGCGTGAAGACACAAAGCAGAACAAAACTAAAACTTACACCATTTACACATACAAAGGAGAAATTCCAAAGGAAATGGCCCTCGTCGCTTCAATCAAAGGCAACATCCTTTGTTGACCAACATCCACAAGATTATGACCCAGAGAATCGTTTGGTCACTTCCTTGTCGTTCTTTCCACGCACCTCATCTTCTCGAGCAAATACTCTAAAACTCTGGCTGTCTTCTCAGGAACCAGAAGATATCGACATAGATGCCGGGGAGGAGAAAAGGAAAGAAAACATCAATGCTGCACATGACGAATTGTATGAATTCTTAACGGGACGAACGGGAGGTGCTGGAGCAGAACGGGTTCGCAAGAGGGACCAAATTATGGAGTTTATGGGTCGCAGTAGCAGTGGGGAAGCAAAAAATCTTGTTCAACCCCTTCGCAAGGAGGACGGCAAGGTGGACAAAGAATTGGTAAGCCAACAGCAACAGGAAGAACGAGAACTACGAACCAAAGTCAAGTTTGATTCCCTCTTCTCAGGAATGCCCACCCTAGAAGAAATTGTATCCCGGAGTCCAACCGAGAAAGAGAACATAACGAAGGACAAAACAACGACCAAGAAGAAAACGAGAATGACGGATGACGACGACTTTTCGTGGTTCGAACCCGAGCGGGAGCGAATCGAACGCGAATACGACCAGCTGCTTCAAGAAACAAAGCGACGCATACGTGAAGAACGCCTCGAAGAAGAAGAAGTAGAAAGGCTGATTCAGGCCATAGCTGAAAGTGAGGATGACGCGGAGGATATCGATGGCATAAGTCAACCTTCCAGCATACCAGACAACGCCGAAAATATTGTCGAGTCCATCGTATCACAAGAAATGAAACGCATGATCGAATCCGTGCAGCTGGAACGAGCAAAGCAACGACTGCAAGCTTTTGAGTCGGAACGAACATCGGAGCTTAATGCGAGGGATTACCAAGGTGTCACAGACGACGTAGTTGATAACATTTTCAAAGAAACAGCTGATCAGTTGGAACAGAGTGAAATATTGAAAGCCGGTGCCGACAATTATCAACAGTACGAGCGCCTTCGACAACAGGAGGCTTCATTTAAAGAAGCACAGGAGGATCAACAAAATGTTCCCGAAGATGGTGCAGATTTGGACAACTGGACCCTTGACAGACTGAACGAAATGCTGGAAAAATCCGAAAATAATGAGGACGACGATGGATCCATCACCGATATTTTAGAAGAGAATATCGAAGAACTTCGGAAGCAAATCGAACGAGAATCCAAAAAAGGCTCTATCGAACCACAAACCATGAAGGAGTGGCAAATGTATCAAGCTATTGGTACGAGATTGATGAAAGATCAGATGAGGCAAAACCTTGACGCTGGAAGCGGCTTAGATGGGTTCAATGCAATTATGAACGGCGGTGGCGATGACGATGAAGAGAGCAGTGGTATGAGCAACGTTGACGAAGAGCAGGTTACGCAGCAACTGGATTCCTGGCGCGAGTATATCGAAACAGAAGACAAACTTAGACAAAAAATTGGCCTCAAGAGCGGTTTCGAATTACCATTTGGAGATCTCGGAACAAAATTGGACCAGATCGAAATTGAAGCAGAGGCCGAAGAATCCGCACGGAGGGAAAGTGAAAAAGCAAACGCGGGAAAATCACGTCGCGAAGTACGGCGCGACGTCAACATACAAGCAATCGAAGCAATGGAGGATCTTATACGAAAAAGTGATGGCCGTCGTGCTGAGTTCCTAAAGAAACAATTGGAAGAAATAAAGGAAGGAATGGAAGAAAACGACTACTACGATACAGAAGAAGAAGAAGAAGAGTTAGTCTCACTAGATCCAGTTGATCTAACTGGCGTTTTCACCCAGAGTACAGATGATATCATAGAAGAAAAGAAAGAGGAGAGCACCTTTTCCTCCGAAGATATGGATGGCATTAACAAACTATTATCTTTTTCCGGAACCGAACCTCAGTACACCAAAAAAGCGGAACCCCCAGAAGAATCGATTCCAAAACCCGAACCACCCAATACTCCATTTTTCTCTGATTCTTTTTCCGACTCAACTGAAACTCAAGCCCCCGTCCCTGATACACCATTCTTTCAAGACAATGAGGTCATCACCGAGGAAGAAGTTGTTGATGTAGAAAATAAATTGGGAAGTGCCGAGGAACAAAGACTTCAAAGAATGTTTCGTAAGGGCAACGTGCGGTCATATGCCGAACAAGATGAAATTCGGAAAAAATGGGAAGAATATCAGGAGTATGAAAAGGGAATCCGAGACAAATCTGGATTGAGCAAAAAGACGGACGAAGACGACCCCTCTCCGTCATTGACAGAAGGTGTAGAACTCCAATATGACCCAACAGATGTTATGAATGAAGATGGTGATTTCGATGCCGAGAAAGTTCTATCAACAATTGGACCGCGGCCTACCAAAACGAAGAAAACCCCGGAATCAGGAAGTGGCACGCCCGCGACTAAGCCGCCTGGTGTAAGCGACAATGCACAATCCGGCGTTGATTCTTCCGATGTCGCCGATGCAATTTACCGATCGGTCTCGGCTGCTGGTGGGATCGGAAGGGAGGACAAAGCTACCAGAGATAAAGATAGAGCTGAGTACGACGCTTATTTGAAAAAGGAAGAAGAACTGAAAACAGGTTTGGATGAATTAGAAAATGAACTAGACGATATCGACCCAGAAGTTTCCGAGTTTGAAGAAATGGATATCGATGATCCAGATTACGTCGAAGAGGTTTTAGATTCCCGGCCGGTTGTGAATCGGAAACGGAAGTTCGATGAGCGAGAGCTTAGTGATATGGGGGGATTCCTTGCTGGCTCGACTGATGCAGAGGACAGCGAAGATAGCGACAGCATTGATGGCACAGAGTTTGATGATATTGTACCTGATTGGTTGAAAAAGGAGAGAGAAGCATCAGGAAAAACGGAGGGAAAAAACCTATTTCGCAAGAGAGACAGAAAAACGACAGGAAGAAGCGAAGGAAAAGGTATTGGCGGCGCATTTTTAGGGAACAACGAAGTATCCGATGATGACAATTACGATACAGAAAGTCTCGAGGAATATGAAAAACGTCGTGCAGGTCAACGCACTAACATGGGTATCGATATCAGGGATGCTCTTGGGAGACGGGGACCAGACGACAACTTGGACTATAGGTCCAGTACTGAACGAAAGGAAGGTKGTTGGGGAGCGAAAGATTTCGAAACCCGGAAGGCCAAGTTATTGGATTACATACAGCTCGATCCTTCGGAATTGAATAGTCTGATTGCTCTCAAAGATTCTGCATATGCGACTGGTGCTTCCCAGTACCTCCCCAGGATCAATAAGCCTTTCAAGGAGTTTGGAGCAATATTCAGGCTTGAAGGTGTACTCGTTGATATCACAGGATTGCAGCAGAAAGCGTGGAATCGTGTTGCCGCTGAATTTGGATTGGAAGAGCCTTTTCTTGAAGACGTACGCCGCGCAGCCGTACTAAAACCTGAAGATGCAGTAAAAGAGGTTTTCTTTACTTCCATGGGTGACTTCATTTTGGTCCGAAGAATCGTGGATGCGTTTCGGCGAATTTTCAGACAAGAATTCAATGCATGGGCAACTACTGAAGGTTTCGCTTCAGAGATCGAAGGACCAAATGCCGACAGTACCTCCAGAACCAATTCTTTTGCTATTGGATTCGAAGAGAAAGTGGATGAAATAGTCGAGCAAGAAATTCAAACTAGATCACCATCGGACGAAGGAAGCAGATTAAGGTACCTGCAGGAAGCATGGGCGAAGACAGCAAATCAATTCGGCCTTGCACCCCCAACGAACGAACAAATCGCTGAGAGTTCAATAGTGACCCCAGATATTGCGGTGAGCAATATTTTTGGATGGTCTCAAGAACAGAAACAAATTAACAAGATCGTGTCCGCTTATTCTATGCTACAGGCAGGGGGAAACATTTCTTTCGACGAAGAAAAATCTATTTCTGCCTCACCAAGTGTTCCTACCAACCGACCTCTTTCCCGCGAAGAAATCACGGATGAGATGATTCTAGAACTTCAGTTCATGGCGTGGGGGGACGTTGCGGAAGAAAATTCGCTAGATGTTCCAAACCCAGAAGAGATATTGGCAGCTTCTTCAATAAATAATCCAGAAATTACCATACTCGATGGATTTGGTTGGACAAGTGACCCTACTTTGGCAGCCGAATTAGCTTCAAGTTATGTCGACTACCTCAGCGAGTATATTAACAAATATATACACAATCGTGACTACACTCCCGTACCAAGAGAAAGTAAGGTGGGAGCGACTGAACCGACTATGGGTAGGGACGATCCAGCATTTCAGATGGCAACAGAAGAAGAAAAAGCAATTTTATCGAGGCAAACTGATGCTTGGACGGAAACTGCAGCAGCATTTGATTTTGATACTCCTACAATAGAGCAGATATTGTCAGTGGCCCATATGACTCCTGAAGACGCAGTTATTAAGATACTGTTGACGAATTTCAATATTGAAGAGTGCGACGTAGAGCAAGAAGACGAATTTTATGAATTACTTCCAGATATCATCGAGACATACGAGTTCGCACTGAAGAAATCCTCGGCCGGAAGCAATGCGGTGGCAACAGGCGCAGCAATAGTTGAGGATGGTAACAATGCATCGATAATCCCAACTGAAGACGAAATTTTGGAGCAAAAATTCACTGCCTGGAAAGAGACAGCTGAAGAATATGGTTTTAACGCCCCTTCAGCGGAGCAGATTAGGTCGACAACCAACATGCCCGTTGAAGATATCGTACACAAGTTGATTCTGATGAATAACGATATTGACAACTGTGCTTCGGATCAAGTAGAAGAATTTTACGAGGTTTTACCAGATATTATCGAGGCTTATGAGTTGGCGCTTGAACAATCCGCCACAAGTTACTCTTTCAACCCCGAAGGTGCCGCTGAATCCATTACCGATTCTTCAAGAGAAGTGAGCCAGGACGAAATATACTGTGCCTCTTTCGATTCATGGACCAGCGTTGCATGGACATTAGGATTTCGTCTACCGACTCAGGAGGATGTCCAATTTGCAATGACTGTAGGCCCCAAGGAAGCTATTATGGGAGGCTTCGGCTGGACCAACAGCGACGAAGAGGCTGCAAAAATTGTCGAGCAGTACCTGATTCAGATCAAGGCGAGACGCGACGAGTGGGTCAAGAAGGGATACACAACAACCATTGAGTTCGACAACAACGACATCGAACAGGACGAACTGCTGCCCGTAGAGGCCATGCCGGATGTACTAGACTTGATCAGGTCCCTGAAAAAGGTCGAAATGGGACTGGGCGTCGTCACCAACCTGGAACGAGACCAGATGAAAATATTGCTCGACTATGCCGGGTTGTCGGATCTCTTCCCCGAAGGCAACCGGGTGTCGTATTCCAACGGGTACCTCCTCGACAGCCAGCAGCTGCTGGGAACCTCCCTGCGCATCGAGCGGCGCCCCGACCACTGCGTCGTCTTCGATTCGAGCCCGGCGGCAAGCGCGGCGGCCCACGAGCACGACATGAGAAGCGTGGCGCTGATCGGCGCCTTTCCCCGCTACGAGCTGCTCGACGCCGACACCTCGCCCCTCTCGGTCACCGAGCTGACCGCTACGAACATCCGGCGGCTCTTTGGGGAGCGCATCTACGACAAGCCCATGCTCGACACGGAGGGCGAGAACCCCCTGGAGGCCGGCAAGCAGGTGAAAATCAAGACTCAGTTCGAGGGCGACGAATAGATCGACGGCGGCAGCGATTCAACGAAACTCATCATGCACATAATATTATCGAACAGTTTTGTTACATGAATACATCTAAATATGATAGGTGTCTATAGGAGTGGGGTAGATTGTTGTAGACCTTGCTCAAGAAAACATGGTTGCCGCACATTGTTTTCTATCTATCCACGATGATCTGACAAAAGGACACGTGCACTATTTTCACAACACTGTTTTCTAGGGCTTCCCATTCCATCTATGTTCGACTCCATTGTGTTTGGATTCTATTGTATTCCATCCCGTCCCGTCCTTCCGCGCTCCGCTCTTGGACGCTCCTAGAACCATTCCAGGAGGACCGCGTCCCGTATGCCAATGTACTCGACGAGCTGGATGGGTTCCAGCCAGGCCCGGCCGATCCCCAGGTAGACCACCCGCTCCAGCCATCCGGAAAAGAGGTTCCGGACCCCGCCGTCCCCCTCGTTCGCGATGCGGACCATGGTTTGCACCAGGCCGCGATCGGGCCGGCCGGGGGCGATCGCATCGAGAGTCGCCTCGAGGCCGGCTGCGCCCCCGGTGGACTCCTCCGTTGCGCTTGCGGCCCCGGGGGCTCTTTCTCCCTGGGGGACCGGCCGCGGCTCGAGAAGGATCCGGGTCTGCGCCACGTCGAAGGGGGTCGTCAGGAGGGCCGCGAGTACCGCCGCGAGTACCGCGTAGCCGGCGTAGTCGGGAACCGAGAGGCTTCCCTGGATGAAGAGCTTGTTGAGGACGATCTTGGACAGCAGGTAGGGCAGGTCGGTGAGGATGATCACCGGGAGGCGCTCCAGGGACTCCCCGAGCCAGTCTCCGGGGGCGGCCTCGGACCGGGCCTGGAGCCGGATCGCCAGCGCGTTGGAGGGCGTCCGGAAGCACAGCGACACCACGTCCCCCACCAGGGCGCCGATGAGCGCGATCGAGGTCGCGTCGAGGGGCGTGTTTGCAAAGTAGAGCATCCGCTTCGTCACGTCCCGGGCTCCGTAGTAGATGCCCGTGGCGGGCACCGACACCAGCAGCGTGGGGGAGATCCCCGCGTAGAGATTCCCGCTTTCCGCCTTTTCCTTTACGTTGGCCGCGAGGGTCTGGACCTGTTCCCAGAAGGACTGCCCGGGCCGGAGGTCGGAAGCGGTGTCGTGCCGATCCGCCTGGAGCCTGGTCTTGATCGTCGAGAGCGGATACAGGAGGGAGGTCCGCCCCATTTCGCAGACGGATCCCGCCGCGGTCGCCGCCACCAGCAGCTCGGCATTGGAGTATTTCTTCACGACCTGCGACTTTGGTGCCAGAAAGGAAGGGAGCCAGCTCGGTACCTTGGGTTTCTCGACCTTTGTAAAGGTAAAGTTGCTCGAGTCGACCGAGAGGCACATTTTTTCGCAGTTCATCGTGACGTTGATGTTCGTCTCCGAAGCGACCTGGGTCAGATTGACCGATTCCAGTCGACCGGTGGCAACTGTAGATTGGCCCGAGGGAGATTTGACGGAAAGGGGATCGCCGGAAGGAGCCGGTGCCGAAGCGGGAGCCGCGGTTGTCGCTTTGGTGGGTTCCTGCCGTGGCTGTTTTGCTTCGGGGGCCTTGTTGTTGTTACTGCTGTTGTTATTGTTGTTGTTGCTGTTGCCGGCAATCGGCAGCACCGGTTCGGGGATCAGGGACGGCCGCTTCGGGGGCGGGGCCTCCAGTTCCGCGGTTTGCGTGTAGGCAACCCCCGTGGCCCAGGCGGCACCCGCCAGCACGGCACCGTAGCGAAAGGCGTCCCTCCGCGAGAGGGACCGGTCGGTGGTGCCCGTGTTCGTGTGTTGTTCCGCAGCGGGCGAAGCAAAAAAGGGAAGGTCCCCGCCGATCGAATCGGGCGATGGGAATCCCCCGGGGTCCCTTTCCCCGTGGTGTTGGTGCTCGGAATCCGGGGCGGGAGTGGATTCGGTGGCCGGTGGTGGTGGTTTCTCTTTCTCCCGGACGTCTTCGGCGCCGGGGCCGGCGAGGAACCGCTTTGTCCGCGGAAGGCTCCAGTGGCCGTTTGGTTCCCAACCGGAGTTTGGCGGATGGGATCGCGTTCCAAATGCCCGCGGCCGAAGGGGAGTCGGAAAGGCCGTGGTGGTGGTGGTGCTCCGAATCACCAGGACGACAACGGCGAGAAGTGTCGCCAGCAAGGGTGTCCGGGCTGTTGGTCTGGCCGATGGTGTTGGTGGAGGCGATTGGTGGAGTCGTGTTCGTGTTGGCGTTCGCATTCGTGTTCGCCTTCGCCGCCCCCGGCCAAGCGAGGAACCGGAACGGGGATTCCTCGGCGTTTCCGTTGTTTCCGTCGGGCCCATGGATTCGGTGATGCGGATGAGTTCGCTGCACGCCGCGAAGGTAAGATCGGCGGTGTGGTTCCCTTCCAGGAGGAACTTTCGTAAGGATCTGTACGAGTCGGTGCCCGGTGAATCGGATCGGATTGCGGCACCCAGAGGGCAGGGAGGAGGCACCGTACAGTGGCTCGGAAAATGACGAAACAAGGAGGTACGAATGGTGACGAAAGTGTTTCCAACAACAAGTGACAACCCTCATGTTTTTTTCGAAAAATGTTTTGAATCGGCTTGTTTCACTCGTGCCTCGTGTCACTTTGCTCTCCGTCACTGGTCAGAGGTACGTATCTCATAGATCCATAAAGGTATGTATCCACAGTACGATGCATAACTACTGACGAGCGAGTTTTTTCTTTTTTGCCATCGGTTTATGACCGTTAAGAAGGAGTCGGTCCATCAACCAAACTGTTCTATTCCATCTTGTCGCTGACACCTGGTTTTCTACCCGTTGTTCTTTGAGCGTTCTTTGGTTCTTCTTCGCTGGGGATCTGACATCTTCCTCCCACGTCTGGTGCAATCAAAACGCGAACGGAGGTACAGTATCTACAGTATCCAAACCGTTAGGTACCTGGTACATACGGCATGAGAACTCCAAACCGCGAACATCAGAACATACCCAGGAGTAGATCGACGAGATTCTTCCTCTCTTTTTTTCTGTAGGAATGGTATTGCACTTTACGGCACTGACAGCTCCGTTCTACGGAAGAAGAAAGAAAGCCGAACGATCGGCAATCGAGCGCACAATTCCAAGTGGTTATAAATCTCTGGTTCCCTCCGGTTTCCAACCAAACCAAACCAAACCAAACCACACCAAGCAAAGCAAAGCAAAGCAAACCAAACGCCAAACCAAACCAATCCGATCGCACCGCCACTACAGCAGCAATGATGCTCCTACAACGCGCAATCCTCGGTGCCTCCCTCCTCCTCGCTCCCGCACTGGCCTTTTCCGCCCGAAAGGGATCCGAGCTGGTCCGGTCCGCGGCCTCGTCGCCAACGTCGTCGTCGTCGTCGCCTTTGTCCCGGTCGGCCCTGTCCGTCGGGGCCGTCTGGACGGAGGACGAGGACTACTACGGGGACGACTCCTTTCTACTGGGCCGCGCCGGCGCCTGCGCCGATTCCGAGTCCTGCTCCCTCGAGGAGGCCCGGGCCTGCCTCGACGGCGTCCTCCGGTCCCAGGCGGACTGCGTCGGGGACGCCCTGGGCAGCAGCCCGCTGTGCGGGAACGCCGACAAGGTCGCGGAGGTCGTCGCGGGCCTCCGCCAGAAGATCGCCAGGGAAGAAAGGCGCCTCGCCCCCCTCAGGGCGGCTTTCCACCTGGCCAACCTCTCGGTCGGGGCCTGGGTAATGTGGACCGTCCTGCACGGGGTGGCGGCGGTTCCCAACGTTCCGGTCGACGGCCTCTCGATGGTGGGAACGCTTCCGGAAGGCCAGGCCCCCGAGACCTGGGGCGTCGCCACGATCCTCCCGCAGGAGTGGTACTGGTCGGTCCGGGACGGGTACTTTCCCTCGCTGCTTGCCGAGTGGGCGAAGCACGGCGGCCTCTCCGTCGATCTTTCGGCCTTTGACGAAAAGGTCGTTCCCTTTTCCCCGCAGGAGTGGGTCTGGGCGGCACAGAACGGGTCCCTCGGAACGATGCTCGGGGAGCACCTCCGGTACGGGGGCTACCTCGTCGACTCGGGCTACGACACGGAGGGCCTCTCGCCGCTGACGCCGCAGGAGTGGGCCTGGTCCGTCCGGGGGGGCTACTTTGGGGACGCCCTGCGGCACTTTTACCGGAACGGCGGGATCTGAGCCGTTCGAGCCAACCCCGTTCACCCACCCACCCACCGCCCGCACGGTTTCGATTGTACTGTACTCCACTTGCACACTAGTAAGTAGCCAAAGCACACCCTCCGCTCGTTCGAGCCCACGATCCTTCCACCGGACCGGTCTGCACATACTCCCACACCCCACGCCACGCCACGCCACGCACCTTAGAAACGATGAAACAATAATAAAAAAATTACTGTACCCACTGCATGCAAACATTCTATTCTATTCTATTCTATTCTATTCAAAAGCAAAGCAAATCCGTTTCAATGCAATAGTCGTGTTCTTTTGCTAACTTTCGTCAGTGCATTAGTGTAATAGGCTAGTTTTTAGAATCGCATGATCAATTAGTTGGTGACGATTCTTCGCTTTCTACAATGTTGTCTTTCAAGGCGAATCGATAGGGTTCCACCGAGGTTTTTCATCTCGGCGTCCCTTGCTCGTGAATCAGGCCTCGGCAGTTGCCTTGCGGTACTTTTCTAGGATGAAGGCCTCGATTTCGTCGAGGGATACGCCATCCCGCACCGAGGCAAAGACAGTCGGTCCGGAGGCCGGATCGCTGTGGTTGTAGTCGTGGTCGTGGCCGTGATCGTGTGCGTGCCCCCCCGTGCTCCGCATGCGGTCGGCGTCCCGGCGCATGACGCCCAGGTCGGCGCCGACCGCCGGGGCCAGGTCGATCTTGTTGATGACCAGCAGGTCGGACTGGGTGATCCCCGGCCCGCCCTTCCGGGGAACCTTGTCGCCCCCGGCCACGTCGATCACGTAGAGGGTCAGGTCGGCGAGCTCGCCCGAAAAGTTCGCCGCCAGGTTGTCCCCCCCCGACTCGCACAAGATCAGGGGGGGAGGGGTGGCGCAAGCACCGCCCGCGTCGCTCCCGAGGAGCGACTCGGTCAGGTCCTCGCAGGCCGTCAGGTTCGCCGAGACGTCCTCCCGGATGGCGGCGTGGGGGCAGCCCCCGGTCTCGACGGCCTTGATGTAGTCGGCGGGCAGGACGTCCTGGTTCCTCCACAAAAACTGGGCGTCCTCCTGCGTGAAAATGTCGTTGGTCACCACCGCCAGCGGGGGATGCCCGGCCCCGGGAGCCGCCAGCCGCTTTATGAGTGCCAGGACCAGCGCGGTCTTCCCGGACCCGACGGGCCCCCCGATGCCCACGGTGAACCCGCGCTCGCGCCACCCCTGGAGCCGCCTGGCGTGGCGCTCGGCACTGGCCTCGTCCGAGAAGGCAAAGCGGCCGGGTCCCTCCGCGTACGAATAGTGGGACCGCCTGGCCGATCCGGCGGGGGGGCCCCTCCCGGAGTGGAGCGGGGAGACAAGGGCGGTGGCCCTTGCGTTTCTCGCGGTGGTGGGTGGGCGGAACCTCCGCAGGAACATCATTCTGCCCGTATTCATCGAAGACTACCGGGAGCCAATTGCAAGAAGAAGGTCGACGGGGCAAGCACTGCGATTGAACAAATCGGTTGCTGGTGGTTTGTTTGGATGCTGGCGTGTTGGGGGTTCCCTTGGGCTGGATCTCGATCGAGACGAGAAAGACGAAACGAGATGCCGCTGTCCTTCGAGAAGAAGAAAGATCTTCCCGTATCCAAGAGAGAAAATAATCTTCCCGTACGGTACATATCGTACCGTACGCACGGAACGAGGGGGTTCGTACGGTACATTACCTCGTAGGGTACGTACGAGTAGGGTACGTACCGTTCTAGGAGTACGAGTGTTCTACTACAGACCAAATTCTTCGATTACAGTACATCACTTAGGTTAAACAGTACAGCTCATACCGGCAACATACCAGTAGACAGACCAGTCGACCAAGAGTCTCGATCACTAAACCCTAATCAGTATTTTTAGTTTCACATAATTTGTGGTTTTTAAAATGCAAGGCCGTCTAGTCTTGCATTCTGTCTATTCGTTGTAAGGTACCGTACGACTCCGCGCGGTCCACCTGCCTGCGTTTCTCGTAACCGATTCGCGTAAGACCATCACCGTTGTGCGCTTTGAACTTAAGACATGGGACTCCCGGAAGTTAAATAGCGTTAAATAATTCGGTATTTGCCTGTTGAAACGGTTAGAAATAATATTAATTTTATTCATTGACTAAGACTGATGAAAACAATTTAAATTTCTGATACTGGGATTTCTTTCGGATGATGGTAAGAGAAATCAATTCACCGAACAATCCACCCAGCAGCAAATCTTCGTTCGGATCAAAGTGAACACAATCGAACACATGCGGTCCTCACTTTATCACTCCAATCAAGCCATATTCTTCTAACCACCATTCTATCATTGAAATATCTGGCACCGATTGCCCAAAACAACGAATCCAAAACCAGAAACACACGAGCGAACGAGCAAGATGTCCCCCCGTTCCACCCTGAAACTCGCGAGCATCCTGCTCCTGGCCCTGTCGTCCTCGTGCGCCGGGGTCCGGTCCGGCGCCCCGTACCGGGCCGAGAGGTCCCAGCGCCGGGGGCTGAACAAGCGGACCCGGGGCATCGGCGGTGTCTCGGGCCGGGCGGAGTACGGCTCCAAGTCCAAGTCGGGGGGCAAGTCCGGCAGCAAGTCCGGCAGCAAGGCCGGAAAGGCGGGCGCGAGCGCCAGCGCTAGCACCGGAAGCAGCAGCAGCAGCCCCAATACGGGCGGTGATGCCGTGCCCGCGTCGATATCCCCACCCACGGCGGCCCCCGGTGCCTCCGAACCCGAGGCCAGGGCCCCCACGCCCGTCTACCGCCCGGTGCCGGCGCCGACCGAGAGGCGGCCCTCCTTCTGGTACCCCGGCTCCGATCGCGAGCCCACCGAGGGACGGATCGACCCGTCGGGGGGCAAACTCCCCAACCAGAACGAGGTCGTCGCCGTCGTCGACGAGGAAGACGGAGGTTCCCCTTTCGGACCCGGGAGTGGCGAAGGGAAACAGGACGGCAGCCCGTCGGATGCCTTTCAGGACCTCTTCGACCTGGTGACCGGGGACGGCGGCGGAAGCGGCACGTCCATCGGTACCGAGACCGGGGACGACCAGGCGCAGGGAGGCGGTCCTTCCGGCGGATCCGGAAACGACACGGATGGCTCGCCCGGCGACAATAGCGATGGCCGAGACCCTTCCACCGGAGGCAACGACAGCCGGGGAAGCGGGCTCGACGGAGACCAGGCAGGGGACTCCTCCCAGGGAACGCAAACCGGAATTTCGACAGGAGTCTCGACAGGAGGTTCCAAAGAAGACTCCAAAGAAAGTTCGACGGGAAGTTCGACTGGAGACTCTACAGGAAGCTCTACGGGAGGTTCCACTGAAGTCTCCACAGGAAGTTCCACCGGAGGTGCTACAGGAGGTTCCACTGAAGGCTCCACTGAAGGCTCCAATGAAGGCCCTACAGGAGGTTCCACGGGTGGTTCCACTGAAGGCTCCAATGAAGGTCCTACGGGAGGTTCCACGGGTGGTTCCACGGGTGGTTCCACGGGTGATTCCACGGGTGGTTCCACTGAAGGCTCCAATGAAGGCTCCAATGAAGGTCCTACGGGAGGCTCCACTGAAGGCTCCACTGAAGGCTCCACTGGAGGTTCCACAGGACGACCACAAGGCGAAAATTCGACCGAAGGATCATCAAATTCCAGTTCTTCTGATGGAAGCAATCAGCACGGAGATGAAGGAAAGAGAAAGCCTAGTGAACAAGACGGAAACGACGTGGTTCAGGACAATCAAAGCGATTCATCCCAACAAACAGGAAGCAACAAGAGCAATGATGAAAATGAAGCAAACAATGATAGTCAGACTACGGGATCCAGCAGTATTGAAAACAACGGAAGCACGGAAAATCAAACTGGCGGAGAACAAGTCATTTTTAACTCGGACAACATTTTCGATAAAGAAGTCTTGGAAAAAACTGATTCTGCAACGGCTGGTACGTTTATGCAATCACCAGAGTGCTACACATGTTCGTCTGCACAACTATTTGATTTTGCACTACGATCGACGTCATTATTGATCACTGACAATTGCCTTTTGGAATCATTTTTATCTTCACAGCATTTTGTCCTGATGTTTCGCCGGATAGAGAAGTCCTTGTAAATTGGCTCTACGCTGTAGAATTCATTCCTAACCTGACGGAAGAACAAAAGGAACAAGCTGTCACCATCATGGAGTTAAAGCTTGTTTCCGAAGTGCTAAAATGTAATACGGCTGTGTCCGTCCTCCCTGGGAAGCGAGCGGTTCGCCAGAGAAATCTCGTCGAAGAGAGGGTCGAAAACAACGGAATTGCTGGTCTCAATTACATGCCATTGGATGCAAAAAACGAAGACATCGTCTGCTTTTCAAACTCCACAGCCGCTGGAGTTTGTGAAACCTATTTTGGTAGAATGGAAATGTATTTGGAAGAAGATGCAGTTGTACAAGTTGCTATCAACGAAATCTTGCATTCCATCCGTGATACCATGGAGAGAAAAAATGAATTCCCCGCGGTAGAGGGAATTGTTCAAGTTTGGTACTTGGAACCAGACCTAAGTGGCGTTTCCAAGATATCTGGCGCTGATGATACAATTGGCGACCAGAAGCCTCCAATTGATGGATCGTTTTCGACGGGAACTTTGATCGCTTTTGCCGCACTAGGTGTCTTTGTTTTTGCCGCGCTGATCATGGGAGCATTCAGAATGCGCAGAAATAATCACGACGGTATTTCTACGCTTGAACCTGGTTCATCTTTGGGCTGTTCCGCCTTCACCACCGGAAACGACTCGTATGTAAAACAAAGCAACAATTTTACTACTATGCTACCAAACTCGTACAACTTGGACGATGGAGATAATATGAGCGCCATTCCGGAAGGAGATAGTAGCGATGCCGATAGCAGATACGAGTGCTCTGTGATTGTATCCGATGGTGGCTATACTTCCGACGGAGACTCACGTGCAGGTGATGCTTTGCATCCTTCACACTTTGACACGGTCCTTGGAGCTCCCCATGGCGACGAGGACAACCTCGATACGGACAGAGATCTGCTCTTTGAAAATGATGAGAACTATGAAGACATTTCTTCCATGGGAAATCGCGACTTCTCGAATCATCGAAAACATAACCTCGTGTCTGCGGATGATGTAGGACTGGGGATGAGACATTCAACTGTCGATGTTCACCAATGCACCAGCGCCAATTGCAAGATCTGCAACTACAAACCAAGAGACGTGGACTTCATTCACAACTCACCTCATACGCCGGATGTTTCACTTGGAAACTTTTTCAACGAGCAACCACCAAGCCCTCCCGAAACTCCTGATGAGGTAGAACTATAGCTTTCTTCGGTACAAAACGAATTTTTGTAGCGCATCGTCAACAGCGCTTCTCTAGTGACCAGCATTATGAACATTGAGGATAGCAGCAAAGCAATCACTGTATGTTGGAAAATCTTACGATTAATATTATTGTCTACTACTAATATACTACTTCACAATTTGAAATCAGAAATTCTTATGATGATCCCAGGGGCACTGGTGATACTACTGGTGATACTACCGGTTCTACAAGTAGTTTCCCTTGGAAATGAATACCGAGCCCAGACGATGCCCATCGGCAAGAATATTTCGCACGGACTCGTGATCTTTGAACGCAACCAGCTGGCTCATGTCCTGGCTCTCTTGGCAGAAGGAGGAATAATCGGTTCCTCTGTTTCGCTGTCGCTTTCGTCCCGCGTCCCGACCCTCCCGGAACCCGCCCAGACGCCGTCGTCGTCGCCGCCGGAATCGGTGTCCGAATCGTCGTCGGTCTCATCGTTGCCTGTCCGTTCCTGTTCCTCTTCCTCCTTTCTTCGCTGCTCCTTTGCCCCTTCAATCCGAGCCTCTCTGGCGACCTGGACCGCCGCCAGGTACTGGCCGTACTTGTTGCCAAAAATGTTCTTCGGGCCCGCGCCCGGGCCCGAGGCGCACCCGAGGCACCCCGTGGTGGGATCAACGGCGGTCTTCTGCTCGGGACCGCGGTCCTTCATAGGGACGCGGCAGATGCTGGTGGTCCCAAACTTGTAGTTGGTCGGGTTGATCACGTAGGTGCTGCAGAGGCGCTCGTAGCCCGGCTTTTTCCACTTGGCTATGAGTGCCGCGTCGACGAGCTTCTGACGGAGGCAGTATTCGTAGACGGGACGGGAGATGCGCTTGTAGGTGTAGAACATGTCGTAGACGTAGCGGGATTTCTGCCATCCGATCTGGTGCACCGGCCACATCGACTCCGTCTTGCGCTTGCGCTCGTTCGTCTCCTTGATCCTGTCACGGAGCTCGTGCTCGAGCGCCTCGAGGGTGGCTTCGATCGCCTCGAAGCCAGCCGGGGGGGGCTTCGATTTGTTCCATCGTTTCGGCAGCGGCATGGTTGTTGAGATGGTGATTGTTTCTCGCCTCCGGAAGACTTTCTATCCGTGAACTCGCCTTAGAACCGGAGTCTCGTCTGTGGTCTGGGAACGGTTGGTATCGTACCGTACGTACGAGTACTCGTACCAGCCGTACGGTACGACAGGCCATTTCGCAAGGGCTCTACTGCTATACTCGCCAGTCATAATAGCCCTCGGTAGCACAGTACGTAAGGTACGTAGGAGTACTATCGTGCAACGGAGGAACAAACCGTGCGAGCAATCGGTTCAGCACACTCCCCCCGCTCCGGTAGTACAGTATCCCTGCGTACAATTTCCGTATGGTACGCAGCGCATGCAACATCGTCCCGGGGTTTGTTCCTCCCCCCGACGCCGGCAACGACCTCTGCAATTGTTTCGAGTTGGTTGCCCTTCTTTCGACAGAGGCAGCCCCGACGGCATCCCGCTCGGTTCCATCTTCCACTCATCTGGCCCGTGCGGACGACCGATTCGCCAGCAAGAAAGAAAACGAAACGAAACGAAACGAAACGAAACGAAACGAAACGACACCGGGACGACCCACCCACAACAAGAGCCACGCAAACTCACATTCCGTCTTTTTCCAGGATGGGATCTTCCCAGTCGGCCGATCCGGAGGAAGAGGAAACGGCGCGGGTGAGATCATTCCGTGGGGCCGGTGGCGAGACGGACGACGGCAACATCAACGGCAATGATGACGATGGCTATGACTACAGCGACTACGACTACGATTGCGATGACGATGACGATGACGACTACGACTGCGACGACGAGAACGACCGAGAGTGGCCCGTGGCGACGGGAGATTCCCACCGTTCCTTCGGACCAGCGCCAGAATCCGAAACGGCCCTCGCCTCCGTCATTGCGAACACGGCACGGACCTATTACGGTTCCGATCCGGCGGAAACGAACGGGGGCCATACAACCACGGACGACGACGACGAGAATGCTGCCGATTCGGCTGCTGGGACTCTCGACAGATCCAATGCCGCTATCAACGAAAATTCGATCAGCGAAACCAACGACGACAGCGACACGGAGCTCGAGCGGTTCTTCCGCGAGCTGGGTCTTTTCGGAGGGGGCGCTCTGGCCTCGGACCAGTCCTCGCTGAACACGAACGCCGCCACCGCAACGGCGGCGGCAGCGACGGCAGGCACGGGCGAAGACGCCGGCGGGGACGACTGGTCCGTCCCCGACCACCGCCGGGGCTTGGAATGGACGCGGAGGAGCCTCGAGACCCTGGTCTCGGGGTCCGCCTCCGCGGCGCCGGTCCTCGGCCTCCCAGGGTCCCCCCCTTCCGCTCAAGGCGGGCCCCTCCGCGGCCCCAGCGTTTCCCTCGCCCTGCTGGCCCGGGAGACCCACGGGAGGCGGCCGGCCCCCCACGCCCCGGCCTCGGACCGGCTGCGGTCGCTGGGGGGTTCGGCGCTCTACGGGAGGCTCGACGGGCCCTCGGCGGGCATGTGCTCGGAGGTCGCCGTCCTGGAGGAGGCGATCGACGAAAGGGACTGGGCCGCGACGCAGGCGGTCGTCTCGCGGATCTCCCCCCGGCTCATCGGGGACCCCTCGTCGGCCCATCCGGGCGCCGGCGTAAGCGGCCCCGAGGCGGACCCGAGCCTCCCCCCCACGGCCCCGCGGTTCTACGCGGGGGGCGGCAGGATCGGGTTGGAGAGGGACGCCTTTGTCCTCTCGGGGGGCATCGGCGTCCTGGTGCGGGTCTTTCGCGAGCCGGCCTTTGTCGGGGAACCCATGGCCCGGTCCTTCGACGCCCGGGACCTGATCGGGGGGAGGACCTCCCGCGGCCGGGGAAAGGCCGCAAGGGGTCCTCCCTCCGCGATGGATGCCGCCGCAACCAACACCTACCACCGGCTGGGGAACTGCTGGAACGAGGCCCTGGCCTGCCTCCGGGAGCTCGTCTACTCGGTCCCGTCCCTCCTGGAGACGGAGCGGGTCTTTTGCGACGAGGGCGAGGGCTTTCTGCCCTTTTTGTTCAGCCTGCTCTCCCACGATCCCTTCTTTGACGGGGCCGCGACGCTCATCGAGGAGGTCCTGTGCCTGCAGTCGTCCCCGCAGCCGGCCCCTCAGCAACACCAGCAGGAACAGCAACAACAGCAGCAGGAACAAACAACACCACAGCCGTCTTCCGCTTCCTCACCTCTCCACGGCGACCGAGAGGGATCCCCCGATCGGGACCGCGGAGGAGACGGGGATGCCTGGGACCCACCCCCCACCCCAGCCGCCCACGACGACACGGACGACCACCACGGCGGCGGCGACGCCGACGACGACGACACCGGCCTTCCGAGGCCCCGCGTGCCTCCCCCCACCACCTTTTTCCTGGGGAACGTCCCGGACCTCTACGCACTGTGGGGCGGCTTCAACTGCCGGCAGCTCGCCCAGTTCTGCCGCATACTGGCCCTCCTCATCTTCGAGCCGGAGGACCGCCAGCTCCTGGAGAGCCCCGTCGTCCTCAAGTCCCTCGAGCTCCTCGCCCTCCGCAAGGCCCGGGCGGCCCGCTCCGGGAGGGATTCGACGGTCGACCTCAACCAGTCGATCCTCCTGGGCGACGAGCGGCTCCTGGGACGCCTCCTGGGAGTGCTCAGAGTGCTCAACTACGGGCCGGCCCTGCGCTGCTACTCGCCCTTTCACGTCATGGCGCGGTTCCCCTACGTTGCCGACACGCTCACGATGCTCGGCCTCCACGAGCTCGAGCGCTGGACCGACGTCTTTCGGTACGACCGCCTCGCCCGCACGCTGCCGAGCTACGCGGGAAACCAAGCCCGCGGAGGCGGTGGCAACGAACACGACCCACCGCCGGGCCGGCAGCTCCACGAGCTCGGGTCCGTGGCGGGGATGCTGGGGACCCTCTCCGAGTCCTTCCGGAACACCGAGGGCGAGTCCATCAACCAGCTCGGCCACATCATCTCCGTCATTTCCGCCGCGCAGGAGGCGGGGATCGTCGTCGGCCGGTCGCGGCAGGCCGCTCCCGGCCCCCGCGGGAGCGGCCTGGCATCGGCCGCGGGGATCCTCATCGACGCCCCCTTTTCCCGGCAGGGACAAAGCCACGGCCACTACGAAGCCCCGGAAAGCGGCGCCGGCAGCGGGGACCCCATGCCCTACGCGGCGGGCCGCTCGAGGCTCGTGACGCCCAAGGACGCCGCAAACATTCTGCAGTTCAACGCCCTCCTCCTGGGTCCCTTCCAGGTGGAGATTTTGTTTGTCCTCTGCACCCTCCTGGGCGGCCGCCGCAAGGTCGACGCCCAGGAACTCCTGAAGGGCAGCGGGATCACCTCCATCCTCGACGACATGTTCCAGCGAATGCCCTGGGACTCGCTGTCCCCCACCCGGGAACCCGTCGCGCACCGGGGCCCGGAGGGAAGCGGGGATTCTCCCCCGGAGGCAGCGACCGGCAGCGACAACGACGACGACCATGTCTACGGGATCCACGGGCCGGGATGCGAGTGCACCCCCGAGAGCGCCCTCTGCGTCCAGTACCTCCGCCTCCTCCACAACTTTTGCGACCGGGACTGCGACAACTACCGAGGCCGCCGGCTGCTGCTGAGCCCCTGCGAGCGGGGGTTCGTCTTTGGGGGCGTCGGCGTCGGCGACGACCTCTCCGGCCTCGCCCCGGGCCTCCTGTCCAAGATCGTGGCCGCCTTTGTCGGCGAGTCGGAAGAATCGCCCTACCGGTTCTGGCTCGCGAGCTGCGTCGAGTCCTATCTGCGCGGGTCCTCCTCCGTCGAGCAGGTCTTTGTGGCCAGGACCGGCCTGATGAAGCACCTGATCGAGGACGTGAGCAGCCAGCGGCTGCACTGCGCCGGAAGCCTGCAGACCTCCTTCGACCTCCTGGGGGAGCTCTGCAAGGGAAACCTCGAGGTCCTGGGCCTGCTGGGAACCCACGTCGACACGGAGGAAAAGTTCCGACGCCTCATGAGCGTCGCGGCCTCGAACCTCGTCGACAGCAACGTCTTCATCCGCTCCCTGATTCTGAGCCTCGAGCGGCTGTCCTCCGGGAGCCGGTTCCACGACCTCCGGGCGTCCGGCGGCGTGCCGGACGCTGTCGAGGCGTGGGAGCGGTGCAACGGCGGCTCCTCGTGGGGCTTTCTGACCCACTCGTGGCTCGACGCCGACGCGGTCTCCGCCGGCCGCGGCCCTTGCCTCGATCGCGACGGCGACGGGGCCACGGAGGGCGAGCGCAAGAGCGATCGGACCCGGCCCCTGGACTGGTTCCCGGAGTCTCCATGGATTGCGGAGCCCCCCGCGGGGGCTCCGAGTGCCGCCGCCGGAGACCGCAGCGGCCGCTTCGGGTGGGCCTTTGCGCCCGGGGAGGACGCCGGCAGCGACCCGTCCATCTCCCGGACGCGGCCCGGGTCGATCGACCGGCTGTCGTGGTTCCTGTCCACCAACCGGACGCGGCTTCTCCGGGACCTGCTGGAGGTGGTCAGCCTCAAGAACATCAACCACGAGAACATTTGCTGCCTCAACACGGCGGTCGTCATCACGATGTTTGCCCACCGGAGGGGGGAGCTCGAGAAGCTGCTCTCGGACCTCAAGGACCTCAACGACGACGACAAGGAGTTCGACGACCGCTCGGCCCTCCTCCGCCGCGGGCCCGGGGAGGCCAGGGACATTCGGAAGAACTTCCGGGAGGTCCTCTGGTTCTGGATGGAATACTACACCCACCGCGGGCGGGACCGGCTCTCCCTCGAGTTTTCCTCCCGGATGCGGTTCCACCAGTGGATGGAGGTGGTCGCTCTTCTGGCCGCCGACGACGGCTCCCCCACCTCGCTGGTTCGCCGGCCCCTCCGCCTGCCGGAGAGCCCGTACGGGCGCCTCGCATCGTGACGCAAAGAAATCCACGAGCACTAGCTAACAAAGAAAGTAACGACCGCCGGGCCAACCGCTACTAGAACAACGCCAAACAAAGCACACAAAGTACCAATCAATGATTTCATTTTCTAGCGTCTAGAATTGTAGTTTCCATTATTTGGTGTTCAAACTGCCATGTCTAGATTGTGTTTACAAGAACCCGTAGAGACCTAGGATCAGCGTTTCGTACGCGAGCATCATCAGGTGCCACCGGAAATCGAGGGAGGCCGTGCTCGCGGCCGGGCTGAACAGCCGGAACAGGTAGAGCACCAGGGCACTCCCCACGGCCTGGGCCTTCCAGATCATCCTTGCCTGGATGCAACCACCACCGTCGTTGCGATACCGGACGACAAAGGCCGCCACGAACTTGTAGAGGCACAGGATCAGCATGTTGAGCGCGAGGAACTGCGAGAGGTATTTCTCGCCGACGAAAAAGTCGCGTTCCGTCCCCTGTGTCTCGGCCTCCGGGGATCCCTCTGGGGGGGAGTGCAAAAAGGCGCCCGTCCATTCCAGGTAGATGTCGTCGCGAGGAATGAACCCCAGGATGGTTCCCGGGGAAAACAAGTCCCGGCCGGCAATGACGCAGATCATTCCCGACACCAGAAAATTGGTTCTGGCGACGATTCTCGAGACGACCGAGGTCGGCGTCTTGCCTTGCTGGAGGGCCACCGCGGGACCCTTCGTGTACCTAGAGGTTGCAAGGTATCCGAGCATGACAATGGTTTCGAACAACAGGACTCCCACAAACATGGTAGGCAGCCCGTCGGCACCCACCGCTGCCAATTCCTCCCGAATGGCAATTCCGTAGAAGGCCACCAGCACCAGGTTTGCCACGATGGAGGTCGCAAAGAGCGGCCGGAAGTGCCCGCGCTTCCACTGCGCGTTCGCAGGATGGAACAGCAGGGGCATCAGCTTCTGCAGTTGCACGGCCAGGCAGGCGGCTCCTCCGACCTTTCGGACGAAAAGCCCGCCCATGTTGTTCGCGTCCGTGGTGACCTGCGAAATGGAGCTGAGGCCTCCCTGCTGCGACTTCCATCCTTTCTCGTTGTTGAAAAAGGCGATCGAGTTCGTGAAGGTCTGTTTTGTTTTGTTTCGTTTCGGAGCAGGACGTCAAAAAGTTGCACGAGCATGGTGCAAATGGGGGAACACGTGACAGCAGAAACATTGTCAGCGCGAGTCGTCAATGGATCCACGTCCGTTATATCTCACATAAGCATAGTTGCAACGCGTTCGCCAATCAACCAAATCCGACCGTGACCGACTCACCAGATATGCTTCGTCGTGGACCCCGCCGATGTTTCTCCCCGTGGCGAAGACGTCTCGGAACGCATAGACAAACAGAAATCCAGAGCACGCCATGGTTGTGAACACGAGGAATATAGGTGGGAGGTGTTCGGTAGCTACGTCCACCACCTTCCTGCTCGCCGGGGGACTATCCTCCGCTTTCCTCTCCACCGGAGTGCTGGCCTCGTCTTTGGTCGTTTTGCTTCGGGAAGCCGCCTTTGAAGATTTCCCCATTGTGTTTGTCTTCTTAGTGTATATCAACTGCTATTAAAAAAATGCTGGAAGATGTATGAGTTGTCTCTTGTAATTGGCTTCCGTTAAAGCACGACAGTGAAACACAAGAACTCGTCGCAAGGTATGTAACCTGCCCGATTGCTGTATTTCGAAATTTTTCTCGCCTTCATGATCGAAATTTTGAATTGGTTTTTGTACTTGGTACTCGTATTCGTACGTACGGATACCCCTTACTTATGACCGTTGCTTTTAAAAATGCAGTCAGTGAGTGTGCTCATTGCTTTGGATATTGATTTGGATATTCGGGGGAGATTTTGAGGGAAAAGTTTCAAGAAAAGTGCCTTGTAAAAAGATACAAAGTGGACAGTGGCACCCGGCACTCGAATACGAGTAAGTAGTACGAACCGTAGTAATCTACTGGGTGTATCGTACGAAGTGAAGTGAGAAATCCTTGAAAACTACAGTGCGCGCTTCGTTGTCAGCTCATCTGTAGGATTTCTTTCGTTCCCCCCCACTCCTTCCCACAAGTATATCAAGATAGGAATACCAGCGCAATCCTTTTCTTGGCTCCGAGAGAGGATCGCTTGTCCCGTCAAAAGCGAAAAGGAAAACGGAGCGGGGCACCATGGCGAACTACGGCCCGAACGACGGCCCGCTGGGGACGGCCCCCGACATCTCGATCGGCGCCTCGGACGCCCTCCTCCTGGGGGTTTCCTTTGCCGGGTTTTTGGCCCTGGCGTGGAGCGTCTACTCGATCGTCCTGACCAAGCTCAAGACGGCCCGGGAGCTCTTGGAGGAGGAGGAGGAACGGGAGATATCCTACGACGAGAGGCTGGCCAAGGCGGACGTCTCGACCCTGAACCGGGCGCAGCGGCGGGCCCGGGCCAGGCACATTATGAAGCAGCAGCGGAGGGTGGCGCCCCACCACCCCCACCACGGCCCCCCCGCGGAGGAGGACGAGGGGCACGGCGGAAGGGAGCTCCTCCTCGAGCAGGAGGGGGAGGCTCCTTTCGCCGAGCCCGTCCCGGCCTTTCGCGACGAGACGCACCACTCCACGGCGCAGAACCTCCTCTCCCGGAAGGAACGCCAGAAAGCCGCCAAGCAGGTCGAGCTCCAGGAGCGGCGGCTGCTGGAGGAGGACCGGCGCCGGGAGCAGAAACTGGCCCAGGAGGCGGCGATGCAGAGGAAGAAGGAACGGGAGCGCAAGAGGGTCCTCGAGGCCGAGCAGGGCCGGAAAGAGCGCGAGGAACAGCGCAGGGCGGACGAGCTCGAGGGGTACCGGGCCTGGAAGGTCTTTCTGGAGGACGGCGAGACGATTCTGACGGTGGGGGAGTGGATAAGGGAGCTGAGAGAACACCGCGTGGTGGGCCTCAAGGACCTGGCGGAGCGGTTCCGGATCGGCGAAGCTGCGGTCCGCAACCGGATCCGGGAACTCCTCGAAGAATCGCGGGTGTCGGGGGTCCTGGAGGAGTCGCCGGCACAAGACGGCGGAGGGAGCGACTCCGTCTTTGTCTATCTGTCGCCCCAAGAAATGGCGACGCTGGCATCCTACGTGAAGGGGCGAGACAAAACCACGGCCAAGGAACTGGCGGCCAGGATAGAAGAGCTCGTTGCGCCAACGCAGTGACCGACCAACGGACATTCCGAAACGACGCGATGGAAAGGCCAAACCAGTGTCGATGTGTCCCATTGGCACCGCATTGCCTTAGCAGAATCAAAACATAGTGTTTTTAATTGTGTAGACAGTTTATAGACAGAGCAGATTATCTAGACAGTATTACATTTTACACGAAACAGTGCTACATCAATTTCTATATCGTCGAGGTAACACCCAGCCGCAGCAGCAGGGGTTCCTCTAGGTCCCCGTCGTCCCGGGGCGAGGGCTCCGTCCCTCCGCTGGCATCGGTAGTAGTTGCAGCAGCACCAGAAGCGCCCGGGCCCTCTTCGCCGCTTGTGTCCCTCCTTTCGACCCTTCGGGCGGCGGAGGGAATCGCAGCCACCACAACCGCCCCCAGCAAATACAGGACCGACGCAAAGAGAAACATCGCCCCGGGCCCGAGGCCGCTCCCGGCCTCCTTGGTCCGCTCGTAGATCCAGTTCATCGAGACGGGGCCGACGGCCCCCCCCAGGGCGTTCAGGGCCAGGAGGGCCCCCTGGACCTGCCCCTGCTCGTTGGCACCCACCCGCCGCGAGGCCAGCGAGCTGAGGACCGGGTAACCCAGCTTGGTCAGCTGGGAGAGGGAGAGGGCCACCATGAGGGTCGTCTTGCTCTTGGCCGCCCCGTACAAAAAGTTGTGGAGGGTCCCCGAGAGGAAGCACAGGACCAGCAGGCCGTGCTCGCCCAGGGCGTAGACGAGGGGCTGCAGGCCGATGCCCTGCAGTACGACCCCCATCGTCCCGTGGACGACGAACATAAAGGCAATGTCGTTCTCCCTGACGTCAAAGTACTCCTCGATGTAGAAGAGGATCAGGGAGGCGTCCGTGCTGTACACCGCCGCGGCGAGGAAGGACCCGAGCGCCAGGAGCTTCATGACGGCGTCGCGGCCCAGAATGGTCATGTCCCTGAGCGGCTTGGCCGCAACGGTTCCCGTGGCCTCGAGGCAGGACGCCGCGCGGGCCCGTGGGGTGCTTCCGGACGAAGAATCCGCCGCAAGGGGGCCGTTGGTGTTGGTGTTCCCGTGGGCCTCGCTTTCCGCAGGGAGGGGGACCGCCGGGGGACGTTCTTCCTCAACGGCCCCTCGGTTCCGGACGGCCACTGGTTCCGGCAGCGTCTCGGGCAGAAAGGCCACCGAGCAGACCAGCGCGGCCGCCGCCAGGGCAAAGGACCACCCCGAGGCCCTCAGGTGGCTCCCCATCCAGACGGCCAGGGTCGGCGCCGCCGCAAAGCCGACGTAAAAGCCGGCCATGTTGGTGGCGAACCGGCCCGCCAGGTACTCCTCGGGGCAGCCGTCCGAGAGCGCCGCAAAGACCAGGGCCGTGTAGGAGAGGATCCCGGTCGAGGCGTTGGAACAATAGTACCAGGCCGGGTCCATCGCCGGGAGCAGCTGCATCGCCAGCAGGGCGGCCGGGACCAGGGCGTTGGCAAAGACGGCGGCCACCAGCACCAGCCTCCGGCCGTGGACGTCGGTGTAGCTCCCGACCACGGCGTTGAAGAAGAAGGTAAAGGTGTTCTGGAGAAAGGCCGCCCAGGCGGCACCGGTCTGGGCATCGTCGGCACCCCTCACGCAGGCCTCCGGCATGAAGCTCTTGTCGAACTCCCAGCAGGGGGCGGCCGGGGGGTTCCCTCCCCCCCCGGCCTCGCTGCTCCCGTATCCGTGGTAGAGGCGCGCGTAGCGATCCGTGAGAACCTCCGGAACGATCCCCACCGTCAGCGCGATCGAAAAGGACGAGAGGGTGGTCACCGCAAAGGCCGCCAGCACGGCTTTCGAGCCGATGGAATCGCGGGCAAACCGTCCGAGCCGGGAACAGAAGGCTTTCTTGGAGGCATCGCCCTGCGGGGGCGGGCCGTCGGCGGGGTCTGTGGAGGGTGCGGTGGTTGCGCTTTCCGCTGATGCGGGTGCTGCGACTGCCGGTTCGTCGTGCAAAGCGTGGTCCATCTTTTTACTACTTGGGTATTCGAAGTGTCCGGTGAATGAGAAACCCGTCGTCGTGAACGTATCGCAAACCTGTCGGAGTCCAGTAGAATAAAACGGATGCGTGCGTACCGGTACGTTCGGACTGCAGACGGTATTTGTGTGTATTAAGTTTGAAACGTGGAATGGTTTGTCTCTGTTCTTCTAGTGATAATGTGTTACGAGCATATCGGCATCTTTCAGTGATCGTTCTCTTCTGAGATCTTCGGACTGTCGTATCGGTTTTGATGCAATCAGAACTGCCAATTTCCGTCGAAATGCGTTCATCGTCGTCGCGCCCGTTGACCATGACATGCCTCCCAATTCTGCACCACGAAGAACGGAGTTCGGTTGGGGCCTTGCATCCGTAATTCACCGAGGCTATTTCTTTTTGTCCTTGGTTCGTATCAAGGACATCGGATTTCAACTATTATAGTATTCATTATATCTATTATAGAAAGATATGAATACAACTAGTGAATCAACTTAAACAACGTGATGTGTTTGTTTTGGCGGTATGGTACGAGGTTTTTGGGGCTCGCCTCGATCGATCATTTGTACTACGTATCGTACCGTAGTGTATTAGTAGTAGTATTCTACAAAGTATTTTTCGGTACCACGCTTTTCGTACGCTTACTATGATGGACTCTGGAGCCATTCTCTTTTCCGCATGCGCTTCCATTTGCATCGTCGTCCGAATCGAACCCACCCCGTTGATCGTTCTGCGCCATCGCTCTCCTTTTCTGCACAGCAACAGCAACAGCAACAGCAACAGCAACAGCAACAGCACGCATCCACATCCACACACACACACACACGACACCCATGTCCAAGACGACGGAGGCCCTCGTCCGGCAGTCCTACCGGTCCCTGCTCCGGCTCGTCCACCGCCTGCCCGAGGCCTCCTCCCCGGCCTCGCTCTCCCCCGAGGAAAGCCTCCGCTCGCTCCGGTCCGCCTTTCGAACGCCCCTGGCGCCCGGCGAATCTGTCGGGGACCGCCTGGAGGAAGCCGAGTCGAAGCGCTCCTTTCTCAAAATGGTCACGCCCAGGGAACGGCCAAGCAGCAGCAGAAGGACCGAGGAAGGGGCCTCGCCCAGCCGCGTGTGGGTCTACCGGAACGGCGAGCGCCTCGAGCGGGACGGGGCCTCGCGGGTCCGCGACAAGAACGGCAGGGTCGTCTCCAACTGGGACGGGAAGAACCTCGACCCCGACAGCGTCAAGCAGCACAACTACCAGCTCAAGCGGATGGGCTTTCGGAACAACGCCCACGCCAAGGGGATCTTCTAGGTCGGCTGTTTTTGGATGTGCGTGTGCGTGTGCGTGTGCGCAAGCACGCGGAAGGGTCGCACGCACCGGGTGACGGCAGTTTCGGCTGGGCAGCTAGAAGGATCCCAGCACACAGCTTGCGCGCATTTGCATCGTGAAGTTTCTGGAACAAAGGCGATAGGTGACCCACGTTCCTGGCTCCAGGCAGAATCGATCCGAACGAACAAAGGAAAGAAACTCCGTAGGCGCCTAGCGTTGTGGTAATAACTACTGTTAACTAAGGATATATATACACAATCGTGAACTCTTCGTAGACGGGTAGCTGGTTTGGGGGAACGGACGGACCACGGCGGGGACTCGTGTGCTCCGTTTCCCGATGGTTTCCGACCCGTGGACCCGCGCGCTTGCTCAGTCTCCCGAGCAGGCGGCGGCCGGTTTGGTCCCCGCGAACCAGTCCGCGATTCCGCCGCGGATGCCGAGCATCTCCCGGGCGCGCTCCCCCACCCGCCCGTGGCGGCGCTCCCCCTCCAGGATGATCGGAATGGCGATCCTCCAGATCTCGATGGAGGGGTCCAGGGCCAGGGCGATGCCCTCCTGGACCTTGACTGCCAGGGCCGACGAGATGAAGGCCTGGTTGAGCATCACGTGGTGGGCCGACGCGCTGTTGCAGATGTAGGTGATGTAGGTCCCGAGGTGCTCCATGAAGTAGTCCTTCCCGGAGGCGGCGATCGTGACTTGCTCGATCTTGTCGCAGAACCGCTCCTCGTCGACTGCCCGGTCACCGGCCCGCTCGAGCCTCGCGTTGCTGTTTTCGATCATGTACCGTCCGGCCTTTCGGCCCTGCTTGCGGATAAAGGCCGCCAGGACGTCGGAGAGCAGCTTGTGGTCTTTCTCCGAGTGGACCGTCGTGATCCCCACGTCCAAGAGCCTGCCAGAGGATGGCATGTTGGGCAAGATCCCGTCCGAAACGAAAATGGTGAGACAGGCGAGCCGGATGGTTTGACACTGTCAAAGCGTGGCAATTCGATAACGCACTTACACAAATTTGTAGTCGTCGGTGACCAGAACGTTTCCCGGATGCAGATCGCCGTGGGTGAAATTATCTAAAGACAAGCGACGAGCAGAACAAAAAGATGAGGGCAGGGCCAAGCTTGCAGTTTTTTTGGTTTTCAAAACAACAACACAACCCATAACTCGGGGTTCGCGCCGAATCGTCCACCGGCCGATTCGCGTTTGTTATCCCATTGGCGCTCTACCACACTTCTCGTACGAACGCACAAACGCACACACGCAGGCAGGAACGCACCCAGGAAGATCATCTGGCAGACCGCCTTGACGGCCTCGGTGCACATCTTGGTGAGGAGCTTCTGGTCGGCCTTGTTCTGTCCGACAAAGGCCATGAGGGGCTGGCCCTCGTGGAAGGTCTCGCACAGGACGCCCTTGGTCGGCGCGTAGCCCTTTACCAGCCTGGGAAAGACGACCGTCTCGTTCCCTTCAAAGTTCTCGTTGAACCGGACCAGGTGCTCCCCCTCCCTGCGCAGGTCCAGCTGGACCTTGAGCATGAGGGCCATCTCCTCGATGAATCCCGGGAGGTTGAGCCAGCGCAGGTTCTTGACGGGGCCGCGGTCGATCTTGTCCAGGAGCCCGACCACCAGCCGGAGGATGTCCAGGTCGGCGTCGATGTCCTTTTCCACGCCGGGGTGCCGGACCTTGACGGCCACCGGTCGCTCCACCTTTTGGCCGGGGTTTTCCGGGTCGTCGACGAGGACCACCCCCTTGTAGACCTGCGCGATGCAGCCGCTGCCCAGGAGGGAGTCGAGCCGCATGGTCTCCCCCCATTCCTCGCCAAAGGCCTCGGCCATGGCCCGCTCGGTGTGGTTCCGGGAGTGCGGCCGGGTCGAGTCCTGGAGCCTCGAAAAGACGGCGCAAAAGTCGCTGCCGAACATGTCGGGCCGGCTCCCGGCCCACTGCATGGTCTTGATGCAGGCCGCCCCGCTCCACTCGACACAGAACAGGCAGAGCCGGTAGTACCAGCTGGCGGCGAGCGGCGAGGAAGAGCCGCTGCTCTGCCCCGCGTGCTTGAGGGAGAGCTCGTGGGCATCGGCGGAAGCGGTCTCGCCGTCTCCGCTTCCCCGCAGCACCCCCCGGCCCCGGCTGGTGATCCAGTGCAGCGGATAGAGGGCCAGGACCGGCGAGAAGACCATTGTGAGCTTGAAGAGGCGGGCGATCACCCGCAGGGCCCTCGCGATGCGGGACCAAAGGTCGCCGTCCCAACCGGTCTGGGTGCCGGCGCGGAGGCCCGGGCGGTCTCTCTCGCTCTGGCGGTCCCGCTCGTCCACATCTACTGCTACTGCTACCGCCCCGTCGCACTCCGTGGTTGCCGGCACCCGGGCCCACCCAACACCGACCGACAGGGCCGTCGCCGTCGTCGCCACCAGGCAGCAGCCCCCCAGGACCAAGCCCCTCTTGGAAGACGCAAAGAGCACGCTTGCGCTTGCGCCTTTCGGGCGGGGGTTGGCCACCGAGAGCCGAGCGGTTCCGTGGAAGCGAAGGCCCGCCCGGTGCGCCGGAACTCCCGGGCGCTTTCGGGGGTGGGGGTTCCGCCTCGGTGCCCGGAGGAAGAGGGAGCGCTCTTGGCCCTTGGGTGTGGCTGGGGCCGGTCGTCCGCTAGGGGTGTTGGGAACCCATTGGCGTTTCGGGACAAGGGACGCCCGGAGGATCGTGCCACCGGCTCGCAGCATGTTGCGGATCGGATCGGATCGGCTCGGATCGGATCAAACCGTGGCCGTGTCAAGGCAAGTCAGCGGGAATTTGTTGGTTTCGTCGTCGGTGCGATCGAGAAAGGACCGCCATACAAGGCTTTGCTCGGTTTCGGACCCCGCAAAACCCTCTCGTTGTCGTTCGTTCGGGGTGTGTTTGTTTTGTTTGTGTGGTGGTTGCTGTGTTGCGAACGTTTGTCTTGTCTTGTCTTGTCTTGTGTTGCGTTTCGGAGCGGGGGCGGCTCGTCTCGATCCTCGCAGACCTCCCCTCGGTGTTGTCTTTTGCAATATCGAAGTGCAATGGGTTGGAACTTTGTGCCGTACCGTACCCGAATGCGACAACCGTACGAATGTTTGTACGCATTCGACTGGACGATGGTACAGTACGAATGGCATGCCTACAGCACGGTACAGTCGTACGTACGGAAGGTTGCGAGAAAGCGAGAAAGAACAAACGGAACGGCTGGTACGAGTAACTGGTACGGGCAGAATCTTGAATTGTCGGTGAAAAGGTTTCAAGTTCAAAAACACTGAGGATGAAAGGAAGGAACGAATCGAATCATCGAATCATCGAAAATTCTTGTTTCATAGGGATAGTTTCTTGAGAGAGCACGTCTGTAATACGACGAAGGCCAGACGTTGTTGTCAACAGCGAACAGACGACACGAGACGATCAACGCGTTTTTCGTTTTTCAAAAAGTTTTTGAAAACTGTGTTAGCGCTTTGAGATGATGCGCACGGTACTCGTACTGGATAGGGTCCGTGAAGTACGAACTGTACCTAGTAGGTACCTGTACCTGTACATTTTGTACGGATTTGGTTGTAGTTGCCGTGACTGACAGGACCATCGCGATCGCCGAGGCACCGGATCGCTTCGTTTCGCAGCCCCGCTTCCATCCTTCGTATTTCGCATCGCACCCACGAGAACCACTGCAAAGCTACCAAGCAGTGGACAGACACAACAAGAGCCGACAAAAACCGGAACAGACTCGACAAAGACCGAGACAAGCACAGAGACTCCCCATGGCGATCGCGAGCAACCACGGCCACGGGGCCTCCCTCCCGGGCCTGGGCGGGGATCCCCTCTCCCACCCGACCTGGAAGCGGTCCCTCCAGGAGCTCGCCGCCAGCAACCTGGCCCTGGTGGGGGGCAGCGGGAGCAGCGCAAGGGGCGCCGCTCCCCCCACGGCGGCGGCGCAGATCCTGCTGGGGAGCCGGACGGACTTTGGGTCCCTCCTGGCCGGGAAGCGGGCGGTCCGCCAGCCGAATCAGACCCACGCGCCGAAACACAAACACAAACCGAAGCCCCCTTCCACCCGCGGCTTTTCCGGAGACGGGGGAATCGAGGCGGTGGTCCGGCGCCACCGGGACGGGATGCTCGAGCGGATCCTGCGGGAGGAGCGGGAGCAGACCCAGAGGCTTCTCGAAAAGGCCGTCGAGCGGCAGATCGGGGACGACTGGAGGGAGGAGCGCAAATGGTGGAGGAACGAGCTGGTGGGCGACCGGAACCTGGTGGACGCGACGCTCGAAACGACGGCCGGGGCGGTTGTGCCGTCTTCTGCTCCGTCGGCATCGGGTTCTTCCGCCCTTGCCCTCCTCGGGCCTTCCGCAGCGGGCCCATCGTCGGGGGGGCTCCTGGCGTCCGATCCCGGAAGGCCCGGACGGGGCCGCACCGGCTGCGATCCGGCCGCCATGAAGGAGCACCTGGGCGTGGTCCGGAACGCCGCGAAGGGGTCGGACCCCCTGGGCACGATCGCCGCCTTTGGGCAGCTCGCCTCCACGGAGGCCTACGGCGGGGGCTACAAGAACGCCTGGACGCTCCTCCGCTGCGTCCTGCCGAACCTCGGCAGCCCCATTGGGGGGGCCCGGGGGGCCCAGTCCTTCATCTGCAAGCAGTACCAGGCCCTCATCCACGGCCACGTCAAGTCGGCCGGCCTCTCGGGCCAGGACGTGGCGGTCCCCATCGCCTACGGGGCGCCGGGGGGCACGGCGGAAACGATCGCGGCCTACGTCAAGCTGGTGTCCGGGAGCCACGCGAGCGTCTGGGAGCTTCTCTACTACTGTACGTTGCGTGCCGATGTCCCAGCCAGGTCGGGAAGACCCTTTCGCAGGATGGACTGTAGCCGGTTTCCTCACACTCGCCATGATTGTTTCTCGTTCGTGCGTTTTCTCTTTTGCAACTTGCAACAGGCCTTCGGTGTGGCGATGCCCATGCGGCCAAGGATGTGCTGGACGCTACGCCCGCTGGCCGGGAAGACTTCCCGGAGCAACCCTTTCTGGGTGCCGTCATTGGTCCCCTCCGCCAACGGCAGGGGGCGGCATCCTGTATGTTCGAAGTAGGTTCTCCAATGATTTCCTCCGAACACCGGTCCACGATTCTCAACATGCACGAAAAGACAAAGAACCTGGAACCCAACAACACGCACAAGCTTTCCGTGCTGGCCCTTCTGTGTGGAGAACACCTCGAGTCCTATCCTTCCATCGAAGATTATTTGTTCGGGCGTCTGTGGTTTGCCCTGATGGACCGAGAAAACCCGGTGGCCCGGATCGAGGAGATCGGGGCCAGCGTCCGCAAGTACGGGCCATCCTACTTTACGGCGGACGGCTGCGGGGAGTGGAACTACGTCCTACCCCTCATGGTTTCGCAGCAGTTCGAAACCGCTCTGTCCTACCTAGGCCAGGCGGGGGGACCCACCGGTTTGCTGCAGGCCGTCCACCTGGGCATCGTCTTTGCACAGGCAGGGGTCCCCGTGGCAGATCTCGGGGACGCTTCCTCGTCCTCCAGGGGGTCGTCGCCGAGAGACGTGGTCACCGCCCTGCTCGTCAACTACGCGGGCCTCGCGGAACGGGAACCCTCGGCGCGGGTCCTGGCGTCCCTGGATTACCTGCTCAACATCCCGAGCAAGGAAGAATCGCACCACCAGGTCGCGAGCCTGATCCTCCGGGCCCCACCGGACGAGAAGGAAGTCCTGATCGGGGTCCTCGATTCCGTCGGAAACCGAAAAGACAGCGAGCTCGACAAGCGAATGGGCGAGGGCGAAGTTTCGGGGATCCTCGAGGCCGCGGCGGAGCTCTGCAAGAAGCAGGCTTCCGATCGCTCCAGGGCCGAGATGAGCGCCAAGCTCTTCATGCTGGGATACAAGCACTCGAAGCTCGTCCAACTCCTGAACGAGCAGCTCGCTCCCGTCGACGCCTTTGACGACGACAAGCGGTACTGGACCGAGCAGTCGGAACTCTTCTACGGCGCCTATCTCTCCAAGCGGACCAAGGTCCTGGACTCCATCGAGCGAGAGGGCAAGCTCGCCCTCATCGAGACCAACCGCAGCCTGCTCGAGCTCCGGTCCTTCCTCGCCGCCTACCAGCAGCGAAACTTCCAGGAGGCCTTTGGAATCGTCTCCCGGACGGGCCTCCTGCCCATGGCCCAGGACGACCTCAACGAGACGTCCAGCTTGTTCCGCGACCTGGACCCCATCCTCAAGGGGGAGCTCCCGACGGTCCTGACCGCGGCGGTGGGCTGCGTCTGCGAGCTCTTCCACGGCCTCCGGGCAAAGTCCAAGGGCCTCCCCCCGGCGGTGACGGACCGCCTCCGGGAGCTCCAGTTCCAGGCCCGCCTCCTCTTCATCTACGGGGGACTCGTCAACATGCCGAGCACCTGCAAGAACGACATTGCCCGGATGCGGGCCAACATGATCCTGTAGGTAGCGCTCTGTGTAATGCGCGTCGCAAGCAGGGGGACCCATCGAGAGTAGACTAGGCTGCTATTGCCAGTACTAGTACTTCACTAGTACTACGAACTACTACTATTATTAGTACTACTACGAACTACTTTTGGACGCAACGTTTCGCTTAGGTTTGATTCTAGCCCGGTGTGTGCTCCCGAGCTTGTTGTGTCGTTGCTCCTATAGCCGTTTCCTGGATTCGTCACTACCCGATCTGTCCGAAATACGAGAGGATGCTGTTTTTGCTGCTCGTTTTCTCGCTCCGCTCGTTCGTCGCGTCGCGGCTGGTTTTCTTCCGGGGCGATTGTGCCCCGGAAACCTCCCCATAGCTCCTCTTTCGAGCAATCGGAGACGGTCCCGGCCGGTCGACTCCTACCGAATCGACGACGCCGCTTCCGCCGCAGAGGAGCGCCTCCCTGGCCCTCCGAAAGCCGGACGGGCCCGTCCGGTACCGGTGGGCCCACTTCTCGCTCACCTTCTGGTTCCCGCCGGCCGGCTTGTCCTGCCACCCAAAACACCACAGGATCCCCCCGTACGAGGGGGGGGAGAGGCCGTCCAGGGCGAACCGGTCGTTGAGGCAGCACAGCTGCCAGACAACCTCGCCGGGMGCGAAGCCCTCCTTTTGCCAGTGGACCACCGTCTTGCCCCTGCGGAGGTCGGTGGCGTGGGTGTGGGGCAGAGGAGCACAGCCACACGAACGCAGAGCAGAGCAAAGCAAACACAAGTACAAAACCAAAACAAGGTGCGTGAGCGAGCAAAGCGAAGCAAAGGGGGCACGGTACGGACGCAGTGGTTCCGTGCTCTCCCCTTGGATCAAACGCGAAAGCGCACGCACCAGGTCATCCGGGCGTTGTTGTGCAGCTCCCCCGTTTCGATCAGGTACTCCTGCATGGCGTTCCAGGTTTCGTCCCGGGACGCCGCCGATTCCAGCTGCTCGTAGCCGTACCAGGAACCGGAGGGCTTCCCGCTCGCGTTCGCCCCCGCCCCCGACAGGTCCTTCAGGGCCCAGGCCGGCAGGACCTCCTCCGAGTGGTAGTTTGGATGCGCAAAGGCGTGCACGTAGCTTCCCTCCCGCCACTTGACGACCTCCTCCAGGAACTTGTTGCAGCCGGTGGCGAACCCCCGGGTGGCCCTCGCCTCCCAGACGTCGTGCAGGACGTCAAAGATGGACAGGATGCCCAGGTTCAGGTAGCAGCTCACCCGGGACACGGCGTGGGGGTTGGCGATGCCGTTGCGCTTCTTGGCGTAGTCCTTCAGCCCCGACACCAGAAAGGACCGCCACCGCTTCCTAGCGGCTGCCCCCGATCCGTGGGTCTGCTTGCAGGGCGGGACGGAGGCGTCGGCGCCCCCCCACTCCAGGGCCCACGCCTTGCAATCCGTGATCTCCCGAAGCTCCGAGACGGTCCACGGCCGCTGCCCCGGGGCCGGGGTCTGCCGGTCTGTCCACTTGGGGGGGATGGCTCGCCGGAGGCGGTGCCAGCAGCTTTCGCCGTCGCTGTGCTCGGTGTGCAGGGCGTGGGTCTGTGAATCGGCGGCGGGTTCCTCCGCCGTGTTTTCCGCCGGTTTGTCCAGGAAAAAGTCGGGAGGCAGCCTGCACTCCAGATCGGGTGCCTCGAGGGCCTTGTCTCTGTGCGCCCCGGTGACGTGGTACAGCCGCACCGAGTCCGTCGCCTTTTCCCACCGCCACGCCTTGCTTGGGGCCCCGGAAAACGCAACGTCCCCGTCCATCACGGCGGATGCCGCCGCGGGAGGCGGCGGTTTCCTCGCGAGCCTCGGGTTCGGGGGCACGCTCGTGCTCCCGTCCACCGTCCAGAACGGGACCGACGCGGCACGGCAGGTCTTCGCGACCCGCCTCACGTAGGTCCGGTAGGGTTCCACAAAGGGCTCGTCGCCGACGACCGCCGCCGCAACGTGGGCCAGGCTCAGGTGGTGGGGGGTCCGGCATCCCTCGCCGTGGACCCGGACGGCCACGCCGGCCCCGTGCGACTCCCAGTCGGGGCAGCACGATTCCCGCAGTGCCTCCAGGGTGAACGCCAGGCGGCGGGAGGTCATCGCCACCGGGGACAGCGGGGTCCGGCCGAGGTGCTTGTCGTCGAGGACCGTCGCGAGCACGAGCAGCGGAACCCCGTAGTGGTTAGAGAGGCGGCACGCCAGCGCAAATCCCGGGTTGTGCCGCTTTCGCAGGACCACCGTCGGGAGGTACAGAACGAAGGATCCCGCACGGCGCTCGCTCCCGCCTCCGGGGTCACCCGAAGCATTCGTTCCCATGGCACCCGCGTTCCGAGGCACCGGGGGAGGCGAGACCCGGCACAAAATTCTATCCCGGAGGCATCCGGGCAGGTTCAGCGAGTCGAGGAGCAACTTGTCTTCCATCGCTCTCTGGTATCGATAGCGGTAGACGCATCGAGACAGTTCCACAAGTGGCAACGCAGGCTACATTTGTTCGATGCAATCAAGCTGCTCGCATGGATGCTTCCGACGCGGTGTGTGTGAGGCGCATCGAGAAAATGTTCTGAGTCACAACAGACTGGGATCGGAATCGAGTACGAAGTACGATTACTTCGTGTACAAATACTGGTACGTATCGTACGTATCAGAATCGGTACAACTACTAGTAATAAAATAAACCTTGCTTTTGGCGCGCTAATTTCAAATTTTTATTTACAGGTACGGTAAGGCATCATCCGACTAGTACTGCGCGTACCTGGTACCGTACGGTAACCAAGTATGCCGTTCTCTTTCAATACATCGAACGCTAGCGTTTAGAAATTAGACATGCCACCTTCGTGCGGGACATAGGTTTGTTGCCGGGCTAGCTTGGTTTCCTTTAAATTATTCCTGGTCCAAATAGCAAAGTGGGGATATTTCGAGATTGCCATCTTCCATCACGTCCTTATCCTCCGTCTCTGGTTACGGATTCGGTGGCTATGAGACTCTCTTGATACACGTTCCATTCTCCAAGTGAGGATTAGGGACAAAAAGTTTTTGAGAGAACGGTTCCGTTTCCGAGGCCCGTTTTATCATTCTCTGGCCATGGCTGTATTGTTTCAAGCAAGTAGCCATTCCAAATGCAGTACCATATGCTAATCTATGTCTTCTTTGTGCTCAGAAATCCGACGGGTGTCTTCGTTCCCAAAAGCAGGCGAAGACGCGCTCAAAAGAAGGGACATGTCCGTAAATGTGTTGGTCTCCTTCGTTACCGTCACTTTTTGGCTGACCAACTTGGTGGTAGTAGCTGAACTGGTTGCCGAGCCGCCCGCGGTTGAATCGGCCTTCCCATCGTTACCCTTGTGCTCCTTGTAGAGGGCGATCCCATTCATCACTTCGTTCAAATCTATTTCTTCCACGTCTCCGTCGTCGTATTGAATGAAATACCATTCCAGGTGGGGATCACTGACGTGCTTCACCGTGCCAAAAAATATGGTGTCGGCCGGATCCTGTCCGTCCGCGCTCTCGATTGGAAACATTTTTGCTATGCGTTTTCCTATCGGCTTTTGGAGTTTCCGGACGTCCCGTTTCACCCTTTTGTTCGAACGAGACTGCTTCCATCCGATGGACCGCTTCCGGAACAATTTGTGGACCTCGCCCCTTTCGATGTGTGGCTTTAGCTCCCGCGTGCGGCTTCGGATGGGTCTGCTAACATTGCAGAGTTCCTCTTGCACTTTGCTCGACCATGTCTTCTTTTCGGTGACCCAATCTTCGTCGACGCTCCCCACCGATCCCGACCACATTCCTTCTTCCCCTATTTCGTTGTACAATACAAGGTAGTCTTGCATTGGCGAGGAACACAGAAAGTTTGTGAGCGGAGTCCCAAAGCATTTGAAGCTTCGCCATACCAACCAAAAAAATCTTACCATAAAGTTCTGTCAGCGTCAGATCTTTCTGCATTCCATTGTCGAATCGGGCGTGGAACGCATATCCTTCGATTATTGAAGCCGGCGTTATATTGAAAACACAGCCTCTKGTGAAAACATCGTCCGGGTCTATCGCAGGGGCTGCTATTCTCAGCCCTTGGATCTTCAGTTTGAGTTTCTCCTGGGGAGTCATCGGCTTTTGCAAAAACTTTTCGTGGACGATGTTACCAATTGCATACGTAACGAGGTTCCGAACGATTTTCGTATAAATATTTGTTGGAGTTGGGGCCTCACTTGGTTCCATGGAAACAATCCCCGACGCATCCGTCTTCAGGAGATCATACAGGAACTTTGCATCTCCTCCCGTGAAAATGATTGGAAGTTTCTTCTGTTCCGGTGACTCTTTCTCTTTAACTTCTCCCTCCTTACAATTATTTTGTTCCGTTGGCTCTTTCTCTGTAACTTCTCCCTCGTTACTACTCGTTAAGGATGTTGGCTGGTTGGACTGGCATCTGGAAACGAATTGTCTTACAATACTTCGTAGCTGACAGGCTAGTTCTCCGCATATTGGTGAAATCTTTGCGAAATAACAACCGTTGGAAACAAACATGCTCTGATTAGCACTTTATCGGCGCAGGTTCAAACGGTCTTGACTCTTTCTCTCTCTCTCTCTCTCTCTCTCTACAAGCATCGTACTTACCATTGCGGTTTCTGTGTCTTTCGCAAAAAGTGGAAATGGCGTCTTTGCCGCAATGTTACCCTCCACCAGAGCTTTGAACTTCTTGTGATCGATATTTGGCAGAGCGCCAGTATAGTCTGCCAAGGATTGCAATCGAACCTTCACACCCGGACTTATCCCTCCTCCAATAATACGCCCATCGTAGTCTACTGCACTATACGTCATAGCAGTGCCGCCGTCGATCACCAGGGCCGGACAACCATAGTGCAGCTTGGCTCCGTACAGTGCAGCAACGCGATCTACCCCCATGGTCGGATACACACCCTGTTCTTCAGTGAAGAAATCGGTGTTCCGGAGCTTGAAAATCTTCGCTGGTACGTCGCGGAACATGTAGCATATTTTTTCCTCCATCGCCGGGTTCGAGGAAACAACAAACACGCTGATTCCGGGGGCATCCCGCTTGGCAGCGGTCTCGCTAACATTGTGGATAAATCCCCGGTTTTCGCTGTCGCCGAAGATCAGTGCGTGGGCCTGGCTTGCAATGTGTGCTTCCAACAAGTCACAGGGCTCCTCAGCTTCGTACGCCCCTTCGATCTCGTCCACGTGAGCAGTGCTGCGGTTGGTTCGGACGGCGTCCCCGTGCACACGTGCAGACGGCGAGATACGGAGAGCAGTAGCAGCATTAGTGTGTGAGCGCCAAGGCAGATGCAGCGTACACACAATCGAACACCTCGGTCTTTGAAACTTACTGCCAGAACAATATGGGTATGAATTTGTTGACGCTACCCTCGTGCAACGCCCAATGCAGCCGTGAATTGCCACATATAATACTTAATACTTTCCGCTCGAGGGCCGACGGAGCATCCCTCGGCCACTCTGCGTATTCGATGGTGGTCTTGGGCTTTTTGGTATCCTCCATCGCCAATTACTAATGCTTTGAGCAACCGTTTGTTAGAAAGCACTCCCGCTCCAACAATCGGAGAGGTAACTCGTACCGTACTTCACGAAAAATGGATCCTTCCCTCCGATGTCAGGTGGGTGTCGTGCCACATGCCGTGGATATCGTAGGGCAGGCACAACACGAAAATCACCATTCCCAGCGCAATCCTTTCCGAATTCGCACTTGTAGATAGGATGAGGATTCGACTCGTGAATCGATATCATGTGGGAATCAATGGATGTAGGCTGAGCAACTTCTGTACGTAGTCGTACGTACCAGTACTGTAGAAACTAAGCAACCAAAATCTACCATCGATCGAGAGATACTAGGACGAACATGCCAGTAGCAAAAAAGTCTCGCTTTCACGTTCTCTTATTGTTTATCTATCCCTGCTTTTGCAACCTCATCGAGGCGTCTTCTTTACAGACGCGACGCGGTTCCCGCATAGACGCCCGCGCCACCCGCAATGAGGCGCTTCAGTTCCGGATTGTAGCCCGGTCCGGGATCGACGGCGTTCAGCGGATCTTTCTCGGCCGCCTTGAGGATGTGGGGGTAGACGTTTCCGTCGTACCGGCCCAGTGCACTCTTGAGGCGGAAATCCGAAAAGTCCTGGGCGTCGACCAGGGCAACGGCGTTCTTTCGGATCGCGGCGAGGTATTTGAGAACGTTGGGGGACACCCATTTCGCCTGGTTCGGTCGGATGTACCCGTCCTCCAAAAAGTCGCCCAGGTCCTTTTCCATCCAGTAGAGCGCAAAGAGGCGCGCCAGATCGCCGAGAACCTCCGCTTCGGCACGGCCAATGACGCCCGTGCGCTGCTCGTCGAGGATTCCCTCCATGGTGTTTCGCAGGAGCAAGTAGAGCGAATACGCCTTGGAGGCCTTCGACATTGCCACCAGCGCATTGTTCCAGGCCTGCTGCGGCTCGGTACCGTTCTCCGCAATGTCCTTGTTCATCTGCGACGCCACGACCACCAGCAGGCGGGCGGCTCGGTGGCGGAAGGCGACCAGGAGCTTGGGCAGGTCGCACAGGTCCTTTGCGTTAATGGCGGAACACTGCTCTTTTCTGCCGCTCAGGATGGCCCTGAGGGAGGGCACCAAATCGTACGAGTTGCAGTTTTTGAAGTTCTCGACGCCCTTGTTCGTTTTCACGGCCTGCACCACCTTCAGCAACACCCGGACCACCTGTTGGGGGAGCATGTGGTTGTCTCCCTCGACCGTGGGGCTCTGCAGATACGTCGTGAACAGTTCGGGGAGACCGGACGACTGCAAAAAGCCGTGCCCACCGCACGCCTTTCGGCACTCCTCGATTCCGTCGGCGGTGATCATGGTGGTGAACGATTTCAGGGCCGAGGAGGATGCGTGGACGTCCGAGACGTCTTCCTTGCGGACCGGTTTCGAGGCAATGAGCTTGTCCTCCATGGCCTTTAGCTCCTTGGCCAGCCTTCGCCCCGAGAAAAAGGTGCAGTAGGAAAATGCGAGGAGCGGGAAGATCCGGTGTTGTTGTTGCGTGTAGTCCAGGACCTGATTTTCCGTCTTGCCGTCCGCGGCAAAGCCTTGCTTGCGGACCGCCGAGTAGCGAATGTTGATCACGCAGGCCATGCCGAGGCACTTGGCGGCCCCCACGACGATAATGGAACGAACCTGCATCATCGTGATGTACGAGATCTTGGACGCGGCGTCGGACATGGTTTTTTTCCGGTACTTGCCGTTCTCGTCGACGCTCGCGAATCGCATGGCCATGTTTCGGCGGGGGATGACAACGTTTTTGAAATAGGCAAACCMGTTGTCCATGTTGTTGTATCCGATCTTGGGACCAATGTCGCCCGTTTTGACCCCTGGCATCAGCGTGTGGTCCTCCATGGATCGAAGCTGCACCAAGAAATTATGGATCCCGCGGTGTTTCCCGTCGCCATCGATCAGCTGCGCAATCACCATGGCATGCTGTTGTTTGTCCCACGGCCGAGCGGAGGGAAGGAAGAAACGAAAGAAAACAAATATATGCCAAGGCACCGAACAAAGTTCCCATCCCAACATTTGAGAACCGGTGAGTCAGATGCATCGAGGCAACGAGTTTGTTGTGCTTCTGAAGCAGCCAGCCAGCAAACAACGAACGAAACTGCAATCCGTGCGGTTTTCCACTCACGTTCGCGGTCCGGCCCAGCGTCCCGGGCCAGAACTTCCCGCTGGTCAGGGTGGGGCTGTTGATCACCCAGGAGCCTCCCTTCTGGCCCCCCTTCGATTCCGGCAAAAAGGTGGCGGTGGTTTCCAGGGCCCGGATGTTCGATCCGTGCCCCAGCTCCGTTTGCGCGTAGCAGCCGATCATCTTCCAGTCGCGGCACAGGGGGAGCCAACGGGACTGCTGTTCCTCGTCGCACAGGCTGACGATGTTGGGCTGGAACATCACCCAGTGGAGTGCTTCGTCACGCATCATGGATGTCGGTACAATCGTGGTTGCGGGTTAGATTCGAGTTCGTCCGGAGCGACCGGTGCGGAAGGACACGCAAGGTGAGAAACAAGCCTGTTGACAGAAGCAGAAAAAGAATTCCGAAAAAGACAGCGCTACACCATAGATGCGGGGATGCGCTGCGCGAATGCACCTCTGGTGTCGCAGAGAGACAGGCAGGCACACCCCGGCAAGCCCCGGCACACTCACCCAGCGGGATATCGTCCGCCACCGCCTCGAGGATCACCTGGAAATCCCTGCTCTCGGTGATCCGCCCGTGGCACTCGTCGCCGATCCCCAGCTTGCGGCAGACCTCGATGAGCCGGACGCCCTTGGCCACCGCCCGCTGGTGTCTCTGGGTCCGGTGCAGGTAGTGGTTGTCCTCGTTGGAAAAGACCCCCGTCGGGTCCCTCGCGATGACGGCCTCCAGGTACCGGCGGCGCTCCGTCCGGGCGCGGCCGCCGTCGAGGACGTTGGTGATCTTTTCCACGTCGAAGGTGGCGTTGGCGCGCTCCCGCTTCAGGTCCGGGTTCATGGTGGGAAGGTTCTGCTGTTGCTTTTGGTTTCGTTCGCTTTGGTGGAAAGCCCGGATTGTCTTCTGGTTTGGACTTGGATGCGAATGGTCCAAACGAACGAAACGAGACAGATGAGAGTGTTGATGCTCGAGTTGCTACCGTACCGTGTATCTCCTCCGAGAGAACTCGTTGTGAACGCTACGGTATCGTACGGTTTGGTTTCCGTACCAGCAGTCGTCTTTCTTCATTTTCTGTAGAAGCTCTTTGGTACGCACGATACCTTATGGCCGTACAAACCATCGACTGGTACACGAGGTCACGGCATGTTGAACGTGAAGAAAAACACTCCCGATGCGATGATGAACGACCTGTTACACGTAAATGTTAACGTACGGTACCTACATACGGTGAGTACAACAAGCACGAATGAGACTACAAAGCGGGGCGGGGGCAGTACGAGTACCGGTTACGTGCCTCTGAAACCTCGGTTTCTTTGACCTTGTTCCGAAGTACTACTAAATTTTAAAATTGACTGTTTCGACTGAATCATTTTTGCCTGTAGGCAGGGTATGCTCGGAGTTAAAAGTGCACGTTCCGTGTAGTGTGCCTACCGAAAGGCCAATACTCATTGGTACGTATTCGTAGTGCTCGTTCGTACTCATACTCGTAAGATAAGATACGAGGCAAACAATTGTATTGTACAAGTATTTTGTAGTTGTCACACAGGCCGGAATTCCAACGAAACCGTACCGCTAGCACCATTGCCACACAGCTGCAAGCGACCGAGCAGCAACGCACAACCAAGGATCGGGCCACTCTTTCACACCTGATCACGGCACCGCACAGCATGGCAGGGGCGACACTCCTCCTGGATCGACTGGAAGAGAACGAGGGAAGGGACCCGTCCAAGAAGGCCTTTTCCTTCCTCGCGTCCGGAAGCAATGGCGGCCGCATCGCGGCCTCGTGTTCGTACCGGGAACTCCAGGAACAAACGACGTCGCTGGCGAAGTACCTGCTCACGTGCACGGGCCTGCAGAGGGGGGATCGGTGCGTCTTTTTCTCGTAACCTTACAATGTACCATCGACGATTCGTTTCGTTCGTTTTGCCGCGTGCGGACCGGCGGTTCGGCACCCGCCTTGCTCGATTGATTCTGACGCTGCCTTGGTTTTTTCTCCTTTGTTCCCAAAACGCATCGCGCAACGCAACACACAGAGCCCTGCTGGTCTACCCACCGTCCATCGACTTCTCGATCGCCTTTCTGGCGTGCCTCAAGGCCGGCGTCGTTGCGGTCCCCGTCTTTCCCCCCAATCCGGCCCGCAGGGACACCCTGCACATGTTTTCCAAGATCACCGAGAGCAGCGGGGCGAGCTACGCCCTGACCAACCTCGAGTACAACCACCTCAAAAAACTGGCGGGGGCCCGGGACGCCATCCACCGGCTCAAGCGGCCCCTCGGCGGCAAGTGGCCCGAATCCCTCGAATGGATCACCACGGACACGAAAAAGACCAAAACGGCCACCACGACCACCAAGGGCGGCGGCCTCCCGCCGCCGCCGAAGGCGTCGGACCTGGCCTTTCTCCAGTACACCTCCGGGTCGACGAGCGATCCCAAGGGCGTCATGATCACCCACGGAAACCTGGCGCACAACCTCACCATCATCACCAGGGAACTCAAAGCGGGAACCGACACGGTCGTCGTGTCGTGGCTCCCGCAGTACCACGACATGGGGCTGATCGGTTCCTACCTGGGCGTCCTCTACTGTGGCGGATCGGGCTGCTACATGTCGCCGCTCTCCTTCTTGCAGCGGCCGATGCTGTGGATCGAGGCGATCTCGAGGCACGGGGGGACCCACCTGCAGGCTCCCAACTTTGCCTTTAAGCTGACGGCCCGCAAGTTCCGGGCGTCGGACTACGTCAACAAGCCCCTCGACCTCGGATCGGTCCGCCACGTCATCAACGCCGCGGAACCCGTCGACCGGGAGAGCATGGACGTCTTCTACGAGGCCTTTCGGCCCTTTGGGCTGCCCGGGAACGTCATCTTCCCCACCTACGGGCTGGCGGAGCACACCGTCTTTGTCTGCTCGGGCGGGAAGCAGCGCCTTTCCGTGCGCAAGCAGGCGCTGGAGGCCGAGGGGGTCGTGGAGGTGGTGAAACAGGGTGAAACCCCCGCAACGGAAGACGTCTCGCACCTGGTCGGCTGCGGGTATCCCTCCCGGCAAAAGGTGGACGTCCGCATCGTGGACCGCGAGGCCTGCTTGGAGCTGCCGGAGGGAAGGGTGGGCGAGATCTGGGTGAGCTCCCCCAGCAAGGCGGCCGGGTACTTTCGAAACGAGGCCGCGACGGCCGAGGACTTTAGGGCGGCCCTGGCCGGCGGCGAAGGCGCCGCCGCCTACCTGCGCACGGGGGACCTCGGCTTTCTGTACAAGAAGGAGTTGTTCATCTGCGGCCGCCTCAAGGACCTGATCATCGTGGCGGGGAGGAACTACTACCCCCAGGACATCGAGGCGACGGCCGAGGCGGCCTCGGACCTGCTGCGGCCGGGCTGCTCGGCGGCCTTTTCGATCGACGTGTCCAGCGGGGGCCGGGAGGAGGTCGCACTGGTGGCGGAGCTGAGGGAGGTCCCGGGCAGCAGCGCCGGGATCCGGCAGCTCTGCGATCCGCTGGCCGACCGGATCAAGGCGGCCGTCAACCAGGAACACTCGCTCGGGCTGGCAAGGATCGTCTTTCTCGAGACCAAGACCGTCCCCAAGACGTCGAGCGGAAAGATTGCCCGGGCCTGGTGCCGGAAGGGCTTTCTGGCGGGCACCCTCAAGGCCGTGTACCAAAAGTCCTTTTCGAAGGCCGGGGCCTCGTCGGCCTTGGAGATCGAGTCGGCCCCCGGGGGGGGGCCTTCCGCCGTCCCGGCGCCGGCTGCCCCCCTGACAAAGGAAGCGATACGAGAGCTGAGGGCGATGGGCAAGAAGGAGCTCATGGACAAGCTGCGAACGGACGTTGCCAGGACGGGGCAGATCCCACCCGATTGCATCGACAACGACACGGCCCTCATCACCATCCTCGACAGCCTCAGCATATCCCAGTTCAAGGGCCGGCTGGAATCTGCCTACGCGGTGCAGATCTCCGACGAGTACCTCTTTCGCGAGAGCGTCACGCTCCAGAAGCTGGCCGAGGTCGTCCGGCTCGGGTACGCACCGGACGACAACAACGATGGTGGAGACGCCGCAGCGGCCGCTCCCCCGTCCGCCCCGGGTGGAACCGCGGATGGGATCGCGGGGGCACTCGGTTGCCCCCCCGGGGTGAGGGTGTGCTGCGTGATCCAATAGCAGCACCGAACGGGAACTCTCTTTCCGTTTGCCGAAAAGAATCACTCGCTGGCCAGTGTCGAGATTGTCACAGATCTTCGGCAGGTCGACCGCAACGCACAAACCTGATGGTGCTGGCATCTATGGGTGAAATCTTTCATCCTACTAATCCACTGTCTGGAATCAACCGTATTTCTCGCAACAAACTGTAACGTGAACAGCTCATGTTAAATTGATCAAAGTATTTCCTTGACAACAACCGCCGAAAATTGCCATTGCTGCTTCAATGGCATTTTCTGTTCGTACCATATCTCTATCTCTGAGGGAGTGATGTTGCCGATGTTATGATGAGCGACATTGCTTCTTGAGCATCACGATGTAAATACATTATCGTAGTAGGACAAGAAGAAAATTGTTCTTGATCTTGAAAACAATTGAATGCTTGGTATCAAAACACAAATGTTTTTGTGACAGATTGAAGAACATTACTTTCCACTCAGAGTGTTTGTTATTAGTCTTCTTACTTGCACCTGCTACATCTGTATTGTAGACTTGAATAAAATGTGTTTTGTGTATCCTACTGCTAGTACTAGCTATTAGCAGTATGCATATGAATTGGAGTGTTGATACGGTAGATGTAGGAGTATGATGCTATTGTAATGAAGGCATTCAAATTATTTCAAATGATCTTGTAGTGTTTGAGAGGAGTAGTGCAAGATTGGTAGTACCCTGGATCTATGATCATGAGTCACTTTGGGAATGCCTGATATTTTCCAAGATTCCTTGCCTTGACACAACTAAAACATTGTCTACCTTATAAAAAAAGAGTTCTTATCTGCTTTTTTCTTAGATTAAAGATGGATACTTTAACTGGAAAAATAATGATTCAGCATTCAATTCCTTAAACACTAATTGTGGGACAAACCCCAATCATTTTGTTTGTCTTGTTTTTATTTAGGCATCCTCCTGTAACAGTTTTCTTCTTCTCACAATTTTTTTCCATTCCACCTCATAATTTAATGTTCTGCATGTTTTCAAAGTTCCTATTAACAGTGGTGTTGATACTAAGCTAGTGGTGGTAGTAGCAGTAGTAAGAACACTTCTTGTTATCAATATTGTGAGCAATTTGATGGATTTATGAAAGTTACAGATGAGACATTTGCTTCGATACATTTCTCAAAAAAGTATATCTTTGGAAGAATGAATAGCTGAGAGAGAGAGAGAGAGAGAGAGAGAGCAATTCTACGATACCATAACAAAAGAAAATGCACTTTGATGCTTAAAATGCCAATGTACTAGGTAGCTGGATGGAAGTCAAGAAGGACCAAAGGATGAATTCAATGTGTTGTGTAAAGGAATTGTCATGGTGGAGGCACTACACCAGTTTGAAGTAATGGTGAGATCATGACTAACTAAAAAAAGCAAGAGTGGACCAAATGAATGTCTGAGTGCTCTGGTAATGGCCAATGGAGATCATGTAGTAGACAAGAAGTTAAGTGAGTGAGAACTTGGATCAGAACAAAATTAGTAGTAGGACTAGGAATCAATTAGATCCTGCTTTCTGCTTTGAATGTACCTTCATAATTAGTACTAGTAGTACTAAAAGCAAAAATTGTAGAAATTTTAAAACTGAGTTCTGATTTTGGATGGTAAGAAATGTTGATATGTGAGACCAGAATTTTCGTTGGGAAAAAATAGTGTTCTGGCTGAACATTTTGGTCAAACTTATTTTGCCAAAGCCCCTCCTCTGTTCTACCAATGGGTGTTTCCTGTTAATCTAGATGGACGAAAAGTCTAAACAGTCTAGTTTACACTTTTTAGTTTAATGGGAATAATTAAAAACAGGATCCAAAAGACATTTTTAGGCGCTCTTCGTCTAGTCACAGCAAGGAAATTTTAAATCTCATCTGAAATGACTTCAGATTTTCAAATTCTGAAAAAGCAATCCTGCTCTTCTTTGGTACAAAATAGCTAAAACATGATATTTGAACTAAAAGAAACAAATTCTGATACTGCTCCTCATAAATTCCTCAGTTCCCTCAATAATAGACCATAGCTCCCTTCCAGCAAACAAAAGGGACACAACAATGGGTGTCGTTGAGACCCTTTGCAAAAACTGGGCAACCAAGCATATGGATTGCTTGGTAGAGGAATGGGAAGGAAAACAGAAGATCCCAAAAGAGAGGCACACTAGAAGGGACTGAAGAACACCCAGGATTGCAATTAGGCAGAGATACAAAGACTCGCCCTTTGTTTTCCTCTTCCAGTCAGGGGATGACCAAGCACTTCTAAGTACCAAGCACTTTGAAATTACTGTGGAATAGACCACAGTATATTCAGAGATCTCCTTGAGCCTTTTAGTCCAGCTTTCAACAGATACACAGTTGACAAGAACAACAAGATTGTTCGTCTTCCTACTAGTAGAAGTGGTGAAAAGAAGGGGAAGAAGCCAAGGGCAGCAGACACAACAGGCAAGCAATCTCAGGTAGAAGGAGGAAAAGTAGTTGCATACTAGGGACCAGTTGTCATGAATATTGTGAGAGAAATCTTCCCCCCCTCCTGACGCTTCTTGAGACTAGACCTCCAGTCATTGCACCTCTCTTTGTTGTTTCTTTATCAATATAACAAGATATATACTAGTAGCTGTGACTAAGACACAGACATTGTTTCTGTTGTCTTTTTATGATGGCACCAGTGCCATCCCCCTGTCTTTAAGAGACAAGGCACATTGTTCTACTATTAGCTAATAAAAATGTATTCAGTATTAAATTTGGCTGGCCATTTCAGTTCTTGAGTCCTAGTACAACAGCTTTTTATTCTTGTTGGATGTATTCCAGTCTAGTGCTACTACTACTACCTAGCTAGTACTAGTAGTAGCTAGTACTAGTAGATTTAGACTTTCTGTCATGGGTGAATTAGTACTACTAAGCATTGACAGAAAGTCTAAAAATCCAGACTAGATGGTCTATTTTTGGTCTGTCTGTCAGAAAGTAGACCATCTAGATTAACAGGAACCACCCAATGTCTGTCTGTCTAACAGGTCAATTTTTTTGATTTTTTACAGACTTAACATAACAGGTAAAGGTAGTGTTGCCGTTGGGAGCTGTCTTGTGTACGGTACTGTCCAGTAGGATTTCTAACTGGAGAGGAATAAGTTTCGTTTATGACTCAGAGAATTTTTGGTCATTATTTTTTCTTTTCTTCAAAAAACGATTTATGGATGGTTTTTGTCAAACAAAATTCATTCGTCATCCAATCAAAATCGAGGAATTATTGTGCGGTTCGGTTGTTGATTTTTCTCTTTTGGGTCCGTTCGACTGCTCCAGGATTCCCAAGCAATGATCAAAATGACCCCCACAAATCCTTTCTCACATCCAACGTTCGACGTTTGGCACACCACAAGGCAGAACCAGGTTTCTCCATTACCGCATTTGATCAAAAGTTGAACATACAATATCAAAGACACCAAAATGACAACTGAATACAGTGAGAAAGAAATGAAGAAGGTCCTCGTTTTCGGAGGAAAGACCGGATGGATTGGAGGTCTCATGGTGGATATGCTCAAGAAGGAAGGTGAGTCTCGATTCGGTTTCTCGGTCACGACGGGATATTGGTTGATGGCATCGAAACACAAAACTGGATGCGATCCTTTTCGGTTTCCCTGTGAATTAAAAAAATAAGTACTAGTACTCCAGAAAAGACCAATTCTCAACAAGTTTTGTTGGTCTCCTGTTTCAATCAATGTTTCACTCGTAACACGTGACCCGTCCTAAAACGAACACCATCCAATTTATTGATGTATCGGCAAACGCATCGTATCCCATGGTTCTAAATTCTAATCAAAGGAATCGAGGTGCTCCCTGCCGAGAGCCGAATGCAAAACCGCGAAGCGGTCGCCAAGGAGTTGGACGAAGTTAAGCCCACCCACGTCTTCAACTCCGCCGGAATCACCGGACGTCCCAACATTGATTGGTGTGAAACCCACAAGCCCGAAACAATCCGCACCAACGTGATCGGAACACTCAACCTTGCCGACCTTTGTTTGGAGCGAGGCATCCATTGTACCGTCTATGCCACCGGCTGCATCTTTGTCTACGACGAGGCTCACCCCTTGGGATCCGGAATCGGTTTCAAGGAAGAAGACACACCCAACTTCGATGGATCGTTCTACAGTGAGACCAAGGGATACATGGAACCAATGCTTAGAAATTACCCGAACTGTATGATCCTCCGTGTTCGCATGCCAATCTCCGACGATCTCATCCACCGCAGTTTTGTTACCAAAATCGTCAAGTACGAACGTGTTGTTAACATCCCTAACTCGATGACCATTCTCACAGAAATGCTTCCCGCATCGTTGGCCATGGCCAAGAAGGGCTTGACCGGAGTCTACAACTTCACCAACCCCGGTGTTATTTCTCACAACGAAGTATTGGACTTGTACACCAAATACATTGATCCTACTTACACCTACAAGAACTTCACCGTCGAGGAACAAGCCAAGGTTATTGCTGCACCCCGTTCCAACAACGAGCTCGACACCACGAAGCTCCTACGCGACATGCCCGAAGGAGTCGTGATCAACGACATCAAAACTGCATACGAACTCTGCTTCCAGCGCATGGCCAAAAATCTCGAAGCTCAATATGGACCTCTTCCAGATAGCTTGCCAAAGGAATTCCGACGTGTTTAAATCAATATTTTGAGCATTTATTCCTCATGAATAGAAACTCTGTTCGTAGTGGAGCAGGTAACCAATGCAGGAATGTCTTCAAATTGGTCGTCTATCGTGGAACGACAGAGAGGTTGAATTCACACAATCCTGTGTGTTCAAAAGAGACTATGGTTATGATTCGAAAGCCGTAAAGAATAGACTCATATTTTTGCCGCTCTTGCTTTTTATACGAGCTTTTATTGTATTCGATGTGTATTCCAGTCCAACGCATGTTTTGCTCATAGATTGAATAAATTGGCATTGAGCAAATCGGAATGAGCACAGTTCTTCCTACGCGTTGATGTTTGTGTGGGCTTCAAAAGTTATGTTATGAATGTGGTCTGATTGTTTCTAGTTTACATATAATGTAACATGCTATATCGGCGCCAAAAAAAAACGCTTAGCCGTGCCCATGTGTTGGCATTCATACAACATGAATAGAGATCGTTGTAATCTCTCTGGGCGAATCGAAATCGATTTCGGTTGCTTGGGTCGAAGGACTTAAAGCTTCAATTCTATATCCACCAACAGAATTAGACGATGCTTTCGATTGCAGATACGAACCACAACACAGAGAGGTATTGATCTCATCGTCGCAATCGTAGCTGCTGTCGATCGATTCATCCATTTCGGCTTCTGTAGGGGTTCGCACCGTGTCCAATGGGGGTTCCAGCAAGTAGTTGAGTGCTGCGAGTGGAGCACTGGCTAAAAACTGTAGAACGGCGGTCACAAAAAAATTGACGACTAATCCATAACGGTCAACAATGCAGCCCCCAAGAAGGCCCGCACACGACCACAGCAACATCTGAGCATTTTCCACCACCATCCACTTGTGCTGGTCTTCGGCGGGGACGTGCTGCAGGACCATAGCTTTGCTAAGGGACGAGGTCGAGTTCATCAACGACCCATGGAATACGTACAGAGTGCATACCATCCATACCGGGTACCCATTCCATTGACAAGCAATCATAGACAGTAAGCTCAGAATATAGACCCATTGCAGCGATACGCAAGCACGGCAAGGCCCGATGGCCTTCGACAAAGCTTTGGCCAGCAACGGGGTCATCCATTGGCCTAGCGGAATAATCAGATACATAAATTGGATCGAAACAGGCTCGAGTTTTGAGCGCTGCATAAGATACACCGGAAAGTACCCAATCGACATGCCGCCAGCAATTGAAGAAAACATATCTGATATATGGATCAGTATTGGGACACGTATTTTGTCGGTGCGCCACACTGCTGTCCAGGTCTTCTCGGAGGAATCTTCAGTTGCTTCGCCTACCTCAGCACCGAAAAATATGTTTTCAATACTAGTTCCTTCGACAATAAAGTTATCATCGGTTTCATCTTCGTTCCATGAGGGCGATTGTGATTCATGTTCAGTGATATCGTTGTAGTATTGCTCTTCGTCTGTTTGTGCTAACACATTGTAATCCTCTGGTTCCAATGACTCACTGCTCAAGTCTTCGCCCCATGCGAACGTGATCGATTTTAACGTTACCATCAAGAACAAAACAGGCAGATTGCACCCCAATCCGACCATCATCACTGTATAACAGTTTTCAATAGTCCAGGTATTTCCCAGTGCTGCAAATAGAGCAAGGGTCAGCAGCGTTCCCGCGATATTGCCCAGTCGTACCAGATTGTGGCACATTCTATACTTCAATGTTGTTGTTTTAGGATCTGTACCGGTCCATTCGGAAAACACAATGGGCAAGGCTGAATCCATTACTCCCAGCAACGTGCCCCAAAGAGCATTGGCAAGAAGAAAGAATGGAAAGCCTTGGGCTTTGACGGCAAAGAAAAATATAGCCGGAATGAAAAATCCGATTATGGATGCCAGTTGCAAGAGGGTTTCGATGCGGTTTGCTATGTAATCGGAACACCTTGTAGCATAACGTGTTGCGATCGACGATATAATTTGAAACATACCGGTGGTTGCCAATGCATAACCGACATATGCAGGGGAATCCTTCCAAACAAGAACAACAAAGGTCGATAAGACACCTTGGCTCCATATGGAACGACTTAAGAAAGAGAAAAAAGTCAGGGAGAGTGTCTTCCGAACATTTCTTTTAGCCAGACGCAGAATATCGGGAGGAAAGTATATGGATGACCCCGAACCGGATGAATGCGAATCAAGATCTTCGGTACAGCTGTGACTTTCGTGTTCTACCTCCTCGTTGCTCAAATAAAAAAAATGTTGATAGCGTTGATTTTCTTCGTCGTCACGGGTGTCAATGGGAGAAAGGAAGGGCTCCCGTAGGGTAGATTGGGTTTCAGCCATACTGGATTGTGAGGCTTGAGGAATGCTTGAAAGGTGCCCTGACAACACCTCCTTCCGGGTTGATTGACAGAAGAATTTGAAGCGCAACTCATATCAAAGAGAATAGACAGATCGTGTTGTGTCGCCGTAGCCAATTTCGAATGTTGCAGTTGAAACTCATCATTTGTACTCGTATCTTCTGTAACGTCGTGGACGGGCGCAGCACAACAGATACCTTTTGGTCTTTCTCCTCAGTTTTCGCCAGAATAGCGAGCCGGTCGAACTTGAGAACGTCACTAAACGGACGCATGAAGGACGCTCCTATTTTACTCTACAGCCAATACATACGTACGAATACGAGTTTTCGTACCGCAAATAAGTACCGGCAGTAAAAATCACTTTTGCTAGAGCAATAAACCTCATGAGGAGGTACCAGGTACGACGTACAGTATTGATGTATGCTGTATCCGAAAACTCATGAATAACAATACGTCCTGATACTACCGGTCCGATACCGGTAGGGTGTACCATTGAATTGCAAGAAACGAATGAAAATCCTAATTCGAACGAATAGACCTAAATACCAAGAAAATATGGGAAACCAAAACTTCCCAAATGGAATTGCGAAATCGATCTCCAGTTTGGCAACTTCTCAACCAAATCGACGTCGATGTCGTCGTCGGGGCCAAAGATGCTCCTTGGTTTTCGTCGTGGCCGTTCGCCTATGCTTATTTAAGAACGATGTGTCTCAGGCGTTGCTCTATCCACATCGTACATCCTGGCCATCTTGGACCGACAATCATCACAAACAATTTCCGTTCAGAAAAATATATTGCCCCAACAACATTATCATTCCGCCATACAAACCATTATTTCCTTCGACAAGAAAGGCATCCCCCATTACAATGGTCGCCGAAAGGGAAGGAGGCGATGAAGACCGTTCTAGAGAAGAGGCAGAAAGGAAGAAATGGGGCCAAGACGGCAAATCAAATGTCTACGAAGATTTGGAAATACTGGAACGAGCCATCCGACTGGAAAATGCGGAATTCAAGCTAAAAAAAGAAATCCTGCAAGAAAAGGTCGATTTCATCGATCAAAGTAAGCGCGATGTCATTCCAGACGTCGTCAGGTTCGTGTTTGTACCACTTGCTTACGCCTTTGGCTTGTTCAAAATGGCTTCCAGCAGTAGGCAAGTACTGCGAACAATTTCACGATCGGCGACGAAAGTGATGGATATCCACTTTTGGACTTTCGTAGTCTGGGCACCCATATTGTTGAACATCTCCAAACGAATATTGAAATCTCCCCCGGATCCAATTTCGGAAGAGGTTTCTGGAATTGATATCGCTTCTTTGCGGACATGGGGATCGAGCGCGTTTGAATGGGACGATCCAAACAAAAACTGCGACGACAACGTCTTGTTTCTGACGGAGTACTGGACCTCTGCGGTCAACGGCATGTTCTACCTACAACTTTTTAGAATTGCCGCGGTTGCGATAGCAAGAAAAGCAACTGGAAAAGGTCTCGACTCTGTTCTCCAATCCAACCCCGTCATGTTGTGGTTGTCCTTCGCGCAGGCACTGACACGAATCGGAGCAGTGGTTTCGGTGTATCAGTACCCAGAGAAGATGTATGACTTTGAACGAGCAGACCTAGACCGCCCCGTTGGATTCTTTCCATACCTTATGTGGAAGCTCCTCCGTGTGATGATGGTTCTGGCCCCACTTGGCTTGATATCTGACTGTTCCAAGGTTCTTTTGTACCTACCAAAAGGTTCGATATATCCATTGTACGGTTCAATTGCTGTCACTCTGTATGGAACGTGGGCTAGAATGAAAGAATCAATCTCGAACAAGAAGGATCCACTCAGCCCTACACGATTGAGACCCCCAAAACCCCTCGCAAAAATAGTGTATGGCCTCAGCTATTTTGCCATTTGGCGAAAACAATTGCGTCTGCTCGGTGTGGGAAATAGGTTTAAGATCTTGATGGGAAAGCTGTTTGACTCTTTCTATAGCGTGTTCTGGAAGAGTCTCGGGTACAGCTTTTTGTTGCCTCTTCCTCTCCTGGGACCTTTAGTTCACCTCAAGGCATTCAAAAAGATATTTGAGGTGGAATATGCCAGTGACCTGCCCTCGCTGTCCTCTGCTGAAACCTACAAAAAGACGGTGGACGAAAACCCCGAGCGTGCGTACAACATGGCGTGGAGGTACAACCTCCGGTGGCGACCACCCCAGAGGCTTGCGGCGTCGAAAGCATACGTGTACAACGAAATAATATACAGGTGCTTTGTCAAGGGAACCCAGGTGGACATCTTGGAGCAACTGAGTGCACCGGAGTTTGACGACCAAGCCTTCGAACGAAGCCTCAAGCGGAAACCAAGCAAGGACCGCGAGAACTGGAAGGCCCGTGCCATGGAGTTCCAGGCCGAGAAGCACAAAGCCAACTTCGAAAGCGGAAAGATGGACGACCCGTTGGGCGTCGCCGTGTGGCGGTGCTTCGGAATCGGTCTCGGATTCAACTTCGAACACTTGAGGGAGCTGAAGGAAGGGGAAGAGCCCTCGCCGAGGCGATTGCAGGCCCGGGCCGCCAAGAGCGCCGTGCGCCGGTACAGCGAATTGCGCAAGGAAGAAGAAGACCTGATAAAACACAACGAGTCGCTGGACCCGGAGGAACGAAACGACGAAGCGGTAAAAGAGATGAAGCAAAAAATCGACAAGGAACTCGCTTACATAGCTTGCAGGCTGACGGAATTGATCCCGACCACCTCAAACCTTGACGAGTTCGGAGTGATGGAAGTGGCAAAATTCAAAATGAAACAGGAACCTCAATACCGCAAGGTTTCCGAGAACGAAATTCAGATTCTGGAAGAAGATCCCATGGAATACGACAAGGGACTCGTGAACAGCGAAATGCTACTGAACAACATCCAGAGCCGTCGCTACGACAGCTCCAAGAGCTACAAAAAGCTCCTGGACAACGAAGAGGGGGGAAAGAAGGGAGAAAAGGATTCTGGAGCCAATGATGCTAGGAAGGACGGAGACGACAGCAGTAGCGATGGTGAAGAAGACGACGATTCTACCGATGGACTCATAGATATACAATACGTCTAGAGCAAGGGTTTGCCGAACCCCTGCAAAATCATTCTTCTAGCACGCGCTCTACTCTACTTGTATCATAGACACACGCAAACACACAAAATAATAGGCAGGGGCCCAGTGGATAGAAAAGCGAAAACGCTGCTGCTAGAGTGTTGGAATCGCGTTGCAGAGCAAAAGGGGTTCGCAACCGGTTGTTATTCGCTGCTAGTTGTCCTGCCGCTCCGCCACCCGCAGGACGGCGCTCCTGGCCCTGGGGTTCCGCGCCGTTTCCTCTTCCGTCGCCCTGCGCTGCTTCTGCACCGGCGCAAAGGGCTTGGGCGGACCGACGTAGTTCCCGTACAGGTCCTTTTCGTCGGTCGCCCGCCGCCGGCCCGGATCGAGCGTCCCGTCGCGCATGATCCGCTTCGTCGCCCGGTCCTCCATGCTGTGGTAGCTCATGACCACGAGCCGGCCACCCGGCCGCAGCAGGGCCGGGCAGGCCTCCGAGAGGACCCTGCCCAGGACACCGTCCTCGTTGTTCACGACGATCCTTAGGCTCTGGAAGACCCGGGCGCAGGTCGCGGTTTTCCCGTGCCGCTTGTTCCGGGCAAAGGCAGGCGTGACCGAGGCGATGGCCTCCGCGAGCTCCCCCGTGGTCGAGAGCGGCCGGTGCCGGACGATGGCCCCCGCCACGGTCTTGGCCCGGGGCTCGTCCCCGTAGACGCTAAAGATCCTCTGGAGCTCCCCTTCGTCGAACTCGTTGCAAACGTCCGCGGCGGTGAGGCCTCCGGAAGCCGCCGGGCCCTCGGTGCTTCCGCTGCCCCGGCCCATGCGCATGTCCAGGGGGCCGTCCCGCATGAAGGAAAAGCCCCGGTCGGCCTCGTCGATCTGGTGCGACGAGACGCCGAGGTCGAGGAGGATGCCGTCGACGGCCCCGCCCCTCCCGTCGGGCTGCAGGATCGGCTCGCTGGTGACCGGGTGCAGCACGGTGGGAAGGGTCTCGGCGAGGTCCCCAAAGTTGGTGGACACCGGGACAAAGAGCGGCCGGTCGGTGCCGGGGTGGTTGGTGTATTCCGACAGCCGTTCCGACGCCGTCTCCAGGGCGTTGGGATCGACGTCGCAGCCGAGCAGCACGTCTCCCGGCCGCAGCCGCTGCAGCAGCGCGTTGGAGTGCCCCCCGCCGCCGAGGGTTCCGTCGACAAAGACCAGGGGAGGGGCGTCGGGGGCCGCCGCATCGGTGGTGGCACCGTCGTCGACCTGGACGGGACCATCCGGCTCGCCGGGTTCGTCTCCTCGGGGATCGCGCCGCGGGTGCTTGCGGCTCTTTCGCTTGCGATTCTTTTTCTTGTAAGATTTCGGGGCCGGATTCCGTATCCTGCCCCGCTCGCAATCCAGGAGGGCGTCGAGGCACTCGTTGACCATTACCGGTGCGTGATAGGTGGTGGCAAAGTCGTCGCCACCGGCCGTGTCGGAAGAACCGGCACCAGTTTCCTCGACGCCGGTAGAAAACAGCCGCATCTGCGCCGCGCGGGGTGTCCCAGCGATCCAGGCCCCGTTGGCGTGTCCCGATGGGAGGCGCCGCCGAACATGTCGAGTGACATGGATGTTGTTGCTGTTGGTGTTGGTGTTGATCCACGGAACGAATCCCTCGACCCCGCGCGTCGTAGTGGCACAACAGTAATACGGAACGGAAGCGACCAAGAATCGTTTCAGGTTGGTATGTATCCTCGGTGTGCGTCCCTTCTCCGCTGTGCCCACACGGATGTTGTTGCCGCTGTTGTTTCTCATTGTAGTGGTGGAATAGAACGAGTCGTTCCAAGATTTCGTGCCGATGCTGTCGGCAGTGATGCAAAAAATGCTCGGACTGTTGCAAAACAAAGAAGTTCTGCGACCCAAAGAAACGCTCGGCAGTGGACTCGACGAAGGTGGTATGCGAAAACCGATGAGGTGGGAAAGCTTTCTACGGGGATGGAACAAAAACGATTTTCGAACAACAAGGTGTGTAGCCATCGGCCTTTTGACACACCAAACCAATCTGTTTTTCTGTTTTTCTTCTTCTTCTCGCTCTCTGGGCTTGAAGCTGTAGAAACCAAAGTCTTTGGTTGCGTGCAGCTGAGAAAAGGATGGCTTCGTTTGGACCGATTGCTCGTGGTTCTGAAGTAATAATTGTAATGATTCAGGAGAGATCGTCGATTCGCAATGATTGTGGTTGTTGTGCTGATGGGTTGTGTGTTTGTTGGTCCGTTCTGCTCTCCCGGTTGACGATTCGAAAAAATCAAGGATCGACGATCCGTACGACGGCCAGGTTTCGTGTGATCCGTGTTTGAAAATCTTTTTTGTTGACGTCTCCTTTCCTGCCATTCATTTCATTTCGGCGCAGGCATCCTAAATTCAGTTTTTAGTTTTTACTACTCGCACCCTACGCAGCCCTGGTACAATATTCTGCCCGTGTCACATCATACTCAGTACATGCATGAATGCCATCAGCCATCGATATCTTTCTACGGCAGCGAGGGACTGTTGTCGACGATGAACCATCCAATTTCTTCCTCCGAGTGGCCACCAAGGTCCCATAATCCCGTGGCTCTGCCGAAAGCACCACCCCAGGATCATGAACGCCCGAGCCACATAGCCCAGGAATCTCCATTATCATTTCCAAGAGCGACGAGACCAGACCAGACCAGAAGTCCAGGTAGCTGTTGCTAGCTGGTTCTATCCCCCAGCCTCCCACACCACCGCAACGATGGGGTCTTCGATCCGCCGGACGGACCTCCTGGCCCTCTCGAACCTGCGGAACGACGGCCGCAAGCCGGGGGAGATCCGGCGCATGCGGGTCCAGCTGGGCCCCGCCTCCAACACCGCGAGCGGGGACGCCGTCGGCGGGAGCGCCCTGGTGGAGATGGGCCTGACCGTGGCCATGGCCACCGTCCGCGGCCCCGTGGCCTGCCTCCGGAGGTCCGACGAGCTCCCGGACCGGGCCGTTGTGGACGTCTCGGTCCGGGCGGTGCCCTTTGCCCCGACCGACCGGCGGGTCACCAACCCCAACACGGACCGCCGGCTCATCGAGGCGGGCCACCTCCTCAAGCGGGCGCTGGAGGCGACCATCCTGCTCCGGCTCTACCCCAAGTCGCGGATCGAGGTCCGGGTCGTGGTCCTGGCCGACGACGGGGGACGCCTCTGCGCGGCCATCAACGCGGCGAGCGCCGCCCTCATCGACGCGGGGATCCCCATGCGGGACGTCCTGTCGGCCTGCTCGGCCGGGTACGCCGGCGGGACGACCGACACGACCCTGGTCGACCTCAACCGCCGGGAGGAGTCTCCCCAGCAGGGCAAGAACGCGGTCTGCCTGCCCTGCGCGATGCTCCCCCAGCGGGGGACCCTCGTCCTCTCCCAGTGCGAGGCCCGGCTTCCCGACGTTCGGACGCTCGACCGGGTCCTGGAGGCCGCCATGGCCGGCTGCCGGGCCGTCTTTGACGTCCTGCAGGCGGCCGTGCGGGAGCGGGCGGCGGCGCTCATGGGCCTCCGGGAGGGGACCGGGACGATCGTCGATTCCTTTGCCGGGGCCAAGCTGGCGGCGTAGCCGCTTCGGGGGCGGGCAAGCGAGTTCCATTCATTCATTCATTCACTTCCTTCCATCCATTCATCCATCAATCCACGGCAAGCGGTTTCGGTGCCGATCGCTGGATCCGACCGACCGTCGCACCATGCACAAAAGGTAAGTTCCCGATCTAGTTAGTCTGATTGCACAACGGAACTAGTATGGGTGGGCAGCGAGAGGAAAGCGGGGATGCGCGACACAAACGAGACAATCAAGGGAGGAAGACAAACATTAACTTTTCTATATACTTTCCTACGGGCGTCGATGCACACCCGGTGGGGATACCATCTCTGTGGTTCTGATGATTGGTTTCGTCGCGCACACCGCTCCCTTGCCGCACCGCCCGCCCAGATGCGGTTCCATTTTCCCGGCTGACAGCAACGGAAACAAGAGGCCCTTGCGCGCGCCGCTGTGATTGTTTTTGACCGGAAAACGAAGAAGAGAGAGGTTCGGCCGTGACGACAAACATGCGTATTTCTTGACGTGATAGGACTAACTATCTCTTCACTATGGAAGCTTAATCTTTGAGAACGTAGCCGTCATCCAATCGAATCGAATCGAATCGAATCGAAAACAATCGCAATGGCCTGGGCGGGACTGTGGTGTGAACCGTGGCTTTTGTCCTTTTTCGACGCTGTTCCCACTCACGCTTCTTGTGATTCACTACATTTCATAGGTGATGAATCAACCAAATCGAGTGATCGGTTATTTGAATTGGCAATCACGAATGAAACGAGGACTGAACCCCAGGGCAAGAGAAAGGGATTCACGAATAGGTGAAGACACGATTCATACACTGATAGTGAACGTATAAAGCACACACCCCGCATCTTATGTCCCATGGAAAAGAATCCAAGCACACGGAACAGCAGATCAACCCACAGGGCTCCGGTGTGAAGCGGACAAACATGCGCAGAGTGTCCGATGCTTGAGAGAAGCACACACCCCGCATCTTATGTCCCATGGAAACGAATCATAGCACATGGAACAGCAGATCAACCCACATGGAACAGCAGATCAACCCACATGGCTCCGGTGTCAAGCGGACAAGCATGCGCAGAGTGTACGGTGCTTGAGAGAAGCACACACACCCCGCATCTTGTGACCCGTGGAAACGAATCCAAGCACACGGAGAAGGGTCGCTTTCGATGGGGGAGACGAGTCGGGACCGAACCCAAATGCTTTGCCGATGGGGGAGTGAGCAGGAGTGCCTCGGCTCGATTGGTAAAAAATCCAAAGGCTCCGGGGAAAACCACCATCCGCGGTACGCAAATCACCCAAACAGGTGTGTGTGTGTGTGTGTGTGTGTGTGCCGAAGCGAGGCAGTCCAGCGACGCACTGATGCGGAAAAGGATCCGAGGCAAGACAAAGTGCAAGACACAGCGTCCGCACACTATAACTGGTAACTCCCCGAGCCCACAAACACCAACAATCTCAAACACAATAACAACTAAACCAAAGTTACGACACCAATACACCGTTTCACTCTGTCTTTTCATGTGCCCTTGTGGAAAGATCGGTTCTCGATCCGCCATCCCGAACTATCGCACAGTGCCGTCCACTAGCGTCGGCACGAGAATCGCAACATTACAAACTAGAAATACCCATCCCTTAGATCGGAGAAGCAGCGCTGTTCGTATTCACTTGCTCGCTAGGCACGATGATCTGGTGGTACAACAAGTCGTTCTCTACACTGGGTTATGGTTTTTGCTACGCTGCTGCGGTGCGGTTGCCACCGCGGCCCCCGGCCGTTCGCACACATCACATCACATCACATCACATCACATCATACCGCACTTCACCGCACCGGTCACTCACCTTGCAAACAGGCAAAGATAGGTGACGACCCCGGACCCGCGGCCCGGGACCTGCCGGAGGCGCTTGAGGGAGCACAGGAGCTGGAGCGTGGCCCGGGCCGTGGATTCCCCGTGCCGGAAAAAGGCGCAGTTTTCCCGGAGCTCCTGCTCCGAGACCCAGTCGTGGCCTCTGTGGGCGTCGGTTTCGCATTCCTCCAGCGAGGAGCCGGCGTTCTGGCGCTGCCTCTGCCGGAGGTACTCGAAGCGGCGCTGGAGGCTGTTGGTGGTGCGGCCGTGTTGGTGGCCGGCACCGAGGCTGCGGTCCAGCGCCGTCTTTTTCCGGACCACTTCCCGGATCTCCTCCAGGGCTTCGTTGATGTCGTAGCGACACAGGTGCGGCCCGAATCGCAGCTGGAGCCGAAGCTCCTCTTCCGTGACCGGAAGGAAGGACGGATGGTCTCCGCCGTCTTCGCTTTCGCAGCTGCCGGTTTCGGTGGGATTTACGTTTTCTCCGTCTCGGGAGGAATTCTTCGTCTCAATCGAACTGTTGGGCTTCTTCCGCGCATGGTTCCGGATTCTTTGCGAGGGGTGTCGGGAGGAATTGGAGTTCGGTGCAGCGTTCGCCACCCCGGGGGATCGTGCGTGCAGGGCCCTCCGGCCGCTGCGGGGCTGAGGCGCTCCCGAATACGAATGGTGCTCGCCGCTGTTGCTGCCGATTAGGGAACCGTCCGCACCATTGAAATGCCTCGCCCCATGGTTCTGGTCCGATCCGACCTCTTTCCCGGGTGTTTTGGCATCGCTGTCCCGATGCTGCCCGTGCCCATCTTGCTGCTCTTCTTCCCGCCGCTTCCGGTCCATGGTGGCCAGCAGGGCCCCTATCAGCTCGGCCTGCGAAGAGGCCTCCTCCGCTAGGATCGTTTCGAACCTTGCCACCGCGGCCTTTTCCTCGTTCAGGATCTGCCGGAGGGCGCCGACCCTGGTTTCCACCGCCGCAATGGCGCGGTCCAGCCCGGTGAGGCGCTCCCTCTGCTCCCCCGCGTCCGCCCCGCCGGCAGCGAGGAGGCTCGCGACGTCCGAGAGCTGCCGGACGGCCGCCGCGTCCTCCGCCAGGGAGGAGAGGGCGGCCGCGAAGAGCTCTTCCGCCTCCCTCGTTCCCCGGTTTGCGCTGCGGTTGGGGCGTCCCGGGACCGGCGGTTCCGGTGGCCGTGGCATCGGGGGGATGTTGGGCTGCATCGGAACGATCCAATCACGATGCGATCGCTCCGCGGAGTGTTTCGATGCGAAATGGGCGTGTCTGTTGCTGCGTTGCTGTGTTGCTGTGTTCCTTTGTTGCTAGCCGTTGGTCTCGATCGAATCTACAGCTGTGTCCAAGAGTGAATCACCACCATTCTTTCGGTTCTTGTTGTTTCGGCAATGAACAGTCCGACATGGGGTGTGGATGATGGAAAGAAAAGCCCGAAGAAAACAATCGCGACACTCCTATGGATCGTACCCTACCTGGTACTGTATATAATCTACGCTACGAACGCAGCTCGTAATCCATACTGTAGGAGAAAATCACGCGGTCCGGCATTCGCTTTGGCTGGGATCCGAGAACGAAAACTATTCAAAAATGCGAAACCGTCGAACCCGGCGCGAGCCGGGATCACTGTCTTCGACTCCAGCGACTCAATCGGGCAGTCCCGTAAATGATTCACGGATGCAAGCAAACCCGTGACCACGGAAACCGGTTCGATAGATAGATTCTGTTCGACACTACCGTACGGTACAGTACAGTAGATTAGAAACGATCCCGGAAACGGAATTCGTGTCACAAGAAGCAGGTATTTTGTGCTGTGATTTGTCGACACAAAACACATCATGCTTCGAGCAATCCGCGAAACGCCGTAACGGTCGATCTGAGAACAGCCATGGCAAAGGCAAGGAAAAAGAAGAAAGCCGCGAACTTCCACCAAAGCAACGGCAACAACGCCAACCACAACCGCAGCAATGGCCCGCCGGAAGCCACACCCCCGTCGGTTCCCCCTTGCCGCCAAACGAAGGACGCCGGCACTGGCACTGGGAAAAGCGGAAGCGGCGGAAACACACCCCGGTGCTCGCTCTGCGGTCGGAGCACGAGCGACCGGGGCTTCTTTTCCAAGCGCCAGCTCAAGCGGGCGGCGGCGGGGGAAGCCGGCGTCCGGTGCACCGGGTGCATAGAAAAAGGCGGCAACGGTTGCGCTGGCAAAAGGGCCGGGCGGATGGAAACCCGGCCGGAAACCCACCCTCCGGCCGCGCTCCAACCAGCGGCGGCCCCCACGACCCACGCAAGACCCGCAGCGGGGGGGACGGGAGACGATCCCCCCGAGCGAGTCCCAGAGAAATCGCGACCAAACGAAGAAACCATTCTCCCACCAAACGATGACGACATTTCGGTGTCGTCGTCGTCGTCGTCGTCTTCCTCGAGCAGCAGCAGCAGCAGCTCGTCGTCTTCGTCGGCGTCGTCATCCTCGTCGTCAAAAGCCACGTCTTTGCCACCTACTTTTTCTTCTAATACCAAATCCATCTCTATTCCGAGGCAAGTGGTTGAGACAAACGCAACCCGACCAGTAGCCTCTCCCGCCAACGGGCTAGGAGATTCGCGAGGACAGCGTTCCGATTCCTCTTCGTCGTCGTCTTCGAGCTCATCCTCGTCGAGCTCATCCAGCTCGTCGAGCTCATCCAGCTCGTCGAGCTCATCCTCGTCGAAATCATCCAGCTCGTCGAGCTCATCCAGCTCGTCGTCATCCAGCTCATCCCCAAACGGGCCCAACACCACAAGCAGCGATTCAAGGAAACACCCAACAAAACCGCCTTTGCACATCGAGGTGCCTGCGAACACTGCGGAACGAAAACAACACCCGGGGAACAATGCGGCGCCACCAAATCCAGAAATCGAGGATGGGGCCGCACCGATCGACGACCGCCCCGCCTCGAATGCTCCTGCGGCTGCGGCTGCAACAACCGTTGCCACCCCAGAAAATGCTTCCACGACAAACCAGCAAAGGAAAAAACGATCGGCGAGAACCACCCTTTACGACGACGACGATAGTGATGTGTACGAGGAGGGCAAAAGCAGCGACGACCAACACCACCAAAAGAAAAGAAACAGGGGGAAAAACATCGGCACCGAGCGCGATTCCGGTGTCAGCCTGAACGCCATGAAGCACTCGATCTTGGGGAGGAAACTCGAAACCGGACTCGAGGGATCCCTCGGAGACGAGCTCGACTACCTCGACCGCAACCCCGGCAGCGGCGCTGCCGCGGACGGCGAAACGCAAAAGGCTCTGCACGGCGACCTCTTGTGCCCGATCTGCCACGAGGTCCTGCTGGAGCCCCTGTCCCTCTCCTGCGGGCACAGCTTTTGCAGGGACTGCCTCTCGTGGTGGGCAACCTCGTCGACGACGTCGTCGTCGTCCCGAGCCGGGTCCCAGCATCCGACCCAGAACCCACACCCAAACGCACCCAAATGCCCCACCTGCCGGACCCCGATCACGAACCAGGGAGGGGTCTCGGCCCTCAGGGTCAACACCTGCCTGAGGGCCTGCACGTCGGCCCTCTTTGCAAGCGAGCTCGGGGCGCGGCTGGCCGTCCGGGCCAGGGCCGTGTCCGGGGAGCGCGGGGGGAGCCACTCCCGCGGCTACGAGGCCGTCGTTCCCCTCGCGGCGTCCCCGACCGAGGCCCTTTCGCCCGGGCCGGGCCACCGCAGGGACGCCAGCGAAATCTCGGTCCGGCGGTCCGTCGTGGTGGATGCCGACGACCGGCGCATGCGGCTGGCCCTGGCGCTGTACGGGCCGATCGAGGGGCTCGGCGAGACCGGGGAACAAGGTCCAAGCACCACCACCAACAACACTGCGAGAGGGGTGTCTCTCTCGCTCTGCCTCCTGCAGCTGGAGGAGGACGAGGCGGAGGAGGGGATTCCCTGCTCGGTGCACCCCGGCACCGACGCGGAGGGATTCGTCACCGAGGCGACCCGGTTCTCGTCCATGGTCGATCTCTCCCGGCCGGCCCCCGGCGACCCCTGCGGGAGCAGCGGGCCATCGGTTCCCCTCGGCCGGCGGCAGCTCCGGCAAGACGGCACCGTGGCCTTTTCGTTTCCGGTGGCAGAACGCGGTGCCCCCACGGTGGTGGCCTTCTGCCACGAGGAGACGGGCCTCCGCCTCGTCCTGTCCCTCACCCGCGAGGCCATCCGGAGGCTGCCGGGGGCGGCCGGTGCCTCTGCGGAGCGGGCCTCCACTCGCCTTCTCGGCACCGGTTCGGATGGGGAAGGCGACGACGAGCGCAGCAAGGACGGAGACGACTCGTCGGCCGACAACGAGCTGGTGTACGGCGTCAGGGCGAGCGATACGGGCGAGTACGAGGACGACGGCTTTGTCGTGCTGGACGGCGATTCCGACAACGATGCCGAAAACGATTCCGACGGCGATGCCGACGACTGCTGCCACGTGTGCAACGACGGGGGCGAGCTCCTGATCTGCGACGGCGGCCCCCACGCCGAGGGGTGCGGCAGGGCCTTTCACCTGGCCTGCGCCGGGCTCGCGGTGGTCCCCGGGGGGGACTGGGTCTGCTCGGACTGCGCGAGGCGCCTGGGCCACGCCCCGGCCGGCCGGAGGGGCCACGAATTCCCCGCTTGCCCGCCGGGTCCGGCTCCCGGGGCAGACCAATCCGGGGCCCGGAGCCGAAGCGGTGGCGAGCCAACCGGAACCGACCGCCGGGCAGCAAGGAAGCAAAAGCGCAAACGGCCAGGGGCTCCCCCGAAGCCAACCCGGGATCGTTCGAGAGACGGCGGCAGCAACAATGACAGCGACAGCGACAGCGAGTTCGAGATGGTCGGGGAAGACGACCGTGACCGCGGGGGAAAAGGTGGCCGAGCCTCCCCCGGTGGTGCCCGCCGCCTCCCCAAGCGGAGGATGGTCCTCGCCGACAGCAGCAGCGACGAGGAAGAAATGTGATCCGCGGTGCCTACCTCTTCGAACCCACCCCAAGCGGACGGAGCTGCGCGGTGGTGCCAGAACGGTCGCCATGGAAGGAGTTTTGCTAAACAATAGTTACAGAAATAGGAAGACCAGAGGGAGAGCGCCAAAAGATTTTATGAAAACTGTATCATTTCAATCGTTGAGTCGCACTAACTTTTTCCAGCCAGTCGTTACAGTATCACACCATGTTGTTCCATTGGATTGTTATCCCACGTTTCTTACGTGGTGTGCCTTGTCTGCTTGCGAGCGAAGAACTTTTGGAAATGGTTTGTGTTTGGGACTACATTTGTTTGGTTTGGTTTGGTTTGGTTTGGTTTAGTAGAATGCTTCCTTGCTTGCTACTCCTGCCTGCCATCTCACAAGTCGGCGGTTTGTACGGGCTGGTAGGCACCCTCCTCGATGGTCGGATAGTCGAAGCCCGGATCGGAATGCCCCGGAGCAAACCCGCTCCTGCCGTTCATCGGAAGCGTGGCAAACCGGGCGAAGACCAGGGACCACATGCCGACGTTGGAAGCAATGTAGGCGGCAAAGGTGTAGCCCCAGGCGGCGACCAGTGCCGAGGCGTCGCCGCTGTATCTCACCTTTTTGGCAAAGCCGGCCGGGCCCCCCGCACCAGCGATCATGGGGAGGACCGCCGCAAAATTGAGGACCACCAGCCCGCAGGAGGCCACCAGTGCGGCCCGGGCGGCCCCCGGGCTGCAGGAGGACGGAGAGTGGGCCGTCGCGAGGCAGGAGAGGACGAGCAGGCCCATGCTCACGTGACCGAGCTCCCTGGAGTTTCCCCCGAGCAACCGGTTGTAGAGGGCCCAGAGCGCGTAGAAGAGGGCGATCTTCCAGACCACGGAGCGGAGCAGATCGAGGCTGCGGAGGGACTTTGCCACCGCGTGCCACGAGACCGCGTTGGAGACGACCATTAGTGCCATTCCGGCGACGTTCACCATGATTGCGTGCGTTGCTTGGGTGTGCGTGCGTTGCCGTTCTGTTCTGTCCTGTCCTGTCCTATTCTCGGGGCATTGCTGGCCGGACTAGTGCGTCTGTTTTGGGTTTGGTTCTTTTGCGTGGTGCGAGTACGTACGGTACGGTACCATACGGGGCAGTCGTGATGATGCTTGCAACGAAAAAGGGTTCCGGTGACGCCGGGTTCGGATTGGCAGGATTCCTTCGTTCCGCACGCTGTTCCTCGTTCAAGCTGAAAGCAGTACCAAGGTACGTACAAACTCGTACTACTGTTCCGAAGTCTGCGAAAATCGAAGAGTCGCAGAAAACTAAACTCGATTCCTGAAATGGGGCTTAGATCATTTTAATTTCATACGATTCGTACGGTATTAGGAAACCAATTTACATAGGTACGTAACTACGTATCAGGGGGAATAATTTCGAGTTTTCAGTGGAATCAGTTGCTTAATCGGTTGACTTGAAGTTAATCAAAATAGTTTTTGTGAGGCCATTAGAACTGCTCTAGAACCGGCTCTAATGTCGTCCCCTTTGGTGATATGCTCAGTCATAGTGTTGGGGAGATATGCGTTTGCATTTGTCTGAATGAACTGCTCTAGAATGGCTGCGGTTCCAGTCTTACGGTACAGCAGCAGTACATGACAAAAATAGTAGGTTGTGCTCCAGACCGGCTGCATAAAATACTTAGTACGAAGTACTGAAGTAGAAGTATAAAATATAAAATATGCCAGCAAGTGAGCCAAAAACTCTGATCCCGTTCACCAGCTGATATGTCTTTAATGATACTACTATTACTTAAAGATCCATGTCATCCGGAACCAATAGGTGATATGACGGCTTAAACTGGCTCACAAAGTTACAGTACCGGTAGGTGGTGGCCAAATTTTGATGTAAGAAACGGGGGACGACAGAACCTACGTTATTCGTACTAGCGAATATGTACTACACGAATGCAACAAAAAGGATAGTAGTACGGTACTAAAAACGGTACTAAAGTAGAAGTTGAAACATTGGGTCATTCCCGTATTAAACCGAAGATTTATCACTAGTATATAGAGTACCGGCAATAATATGGATATTTAGGAGGGTTTCACGAGGAGTAGCTACCGTGCTCTTTACTGTAAAGACGTGTAGTACTTATCGAAGCTAAAGATTATGCATAAATCCAGGTTGCCATTTTTGAAATAAGCCCGAGATTCAGGTGTTTAAAGGACCCCATGCCAAAGATGCTAGTGCTCCTAATGTCAAGCGCACCAAATTTAGTTAGTAGTTGCAGTTTGATTGAGTTGCAGTTTCGTCGCTGCATTGTATTGTATTTGATAGCAATCTGTTAGGATTTTTGTTCCATTTTTCTACCTCATCTCGTTCGATTTCAAAGAATCGTACCAGTACATCCATTCACTTCGTTCAAAACCATGCTATCCAAGAGATCCATCATTTCTGCGTTGCTCACGGGAGCAGGAACGGCCACCTCCACATTCGCTTTGCCCATTGCGCACGAAGTTGACGTCGAGAGGATCGTCAACGGAGTCCAATCCGAACCCGGAGACTTTCCATATTTTGTGCATTACGGGAGGTGTGGGGGTGCACTCGTGGCGCCCGATATTGTACTCACCGCTGCTCATTGTGAAAACATGAGGGGAGAGATGGTAATTGTTGGTGCCTATGAATTCAATTCTACTGCCGAGGGAGCCCAGCTAAGGCATTGCGATCAATATATTGCTGATCCAATGTATAACATTGATACAAATAACAACGATTTTGCCCTTTGCAAGCTCGACGAACCTGTAACTATAGACCAATCGTTTGTTACGCTTGAACTCAACGAGGATGATGCTTTTCCTGCTGAGGGGATGGACCTGCTTGTCATGGGTCTTGGCGCAACCTCCGGCATGCTCTCCGGCCCTGATGACAATTTTCCACTTCCCGATTATCTCCAAAATGTCACCATTCCTGCAATCAGTGATGAGTCCTGCGTGGAATTTTTTCTTAGCGGTATACAACTTTTGTATCCTCATGACCTAACAGAAGATACACTGTGTGCTGGAGATATAGAGAACGGAAGGGATAGCTGCTTTGGCGACTCGGGTGGCCCACTCGTGAAACGAACCTACCGCGGAGATGGGACATTTGTTGATACCCTTGTTGGCATCGTTTCCGGTGGTCCAGCATTCCTAACAGAAACAGGAGGACTCTTTGCTTGCTTTGGACCTGGAATTTATTCCCGGACCAGCAGGAGAGCAAAATGGATCAAGTCAACCAGCTGCTTGGTATTGAATAGTGTTGCCTCATTTTGCGACGACATCAAGAGGAAACCGCTTCCTTCTTCCGGCGCCGGAAAGCACCTCAGCATCGACGTCAGCGGTAATGACGCTTCCGCTATTCAATGGAGTCTCCAGGATTCCAATGGCCAATTCGTCATGATCCGCAAGTACAGCACCTGGCAGGAACAAATGTACCTCAACCCAGACGAATGCTACACTTGGCGCATCTATAATACCGCAAGCTATGATGCTAGTATCGAAGTTAGCTACAAGATTGCTCTAAATGGGGAAACGATTATCGGCCATGACGGTCAATTTGGATCGAGCAAGACCGAAACAATCTGTACCAGCGCATTGCCGGAAATGAAGAGCACCAAGGCTCCGAAAAAAATGAAAAAGGGAAAGCATTCGAAAGCCTAAGATGCCGATTTTAATATCAAAAATGGTTCACGTGAGAAAATTGGATTTAATCAAGAGGAGGGAACTTATCCTGTACCATTTTGATAATTTTGATCGGTCTAATCAGCTAATCATATTGCTTGATTCCTATAGAATATCCCTAACTCTAAATTAGCGCCCAAAACCAAATAAGATCCCCCTGTGTGCGTAAATCCCGAACACTTTTGGATAGTTGAAAGCGGAAATGTTGAGTGAAATTTGCTATTTTTTCCGTTTACGCGCGTTCTGTAAACATTTTGACAAAGATCTTTTTTGAGAAACGAAATTTGTTACCGAAAATAATTACAAAATCAATCAACAATCAACGACCTTTGACGAAAAAGCCATCAGCCAATACCACTCAATGCTACCAGTACCGTATCAGAATCACAATTGATCGCTGGCAATTGAACCAATCATCCGGATAGAACCAACGCTATAGTGTGATCGCTACCGAATAGTACGGAAAGTTAGCCCAGCAAGAAACAGAATGCCTTCGACCGTCAAGGTCCGCATTCGGCAGGCCCGGAACCTGCCCGTGATGGACAATGCCAACAACCGCCACCACGCGTCCTCCGGGGTCGGTCGGGCGGTCGGCGCCATCAATAACCTGCGGAACATGAACATTCCCAGCACCTCGTCGTCCGGAGGAAACCACGGCAACAACAACGGCATCCACGGCGTGAGCAGCACGGACGCGTACGTGGTGGTAACACTGGGGGGGCACGTCAACCTGACGGACCAGGAAGAAGAATCGGGGAAGCAAAAAAGGTACACGCAGAAGACCAGGGTTTGTAAGCGGACCCTCAACCCGGTCTGGGATGAAGGTAGGCATTGACATTGGTGTGGTAAATGGCTTCGTTTGTGTGTGTTTGGAAAGAGCGGGGAAGGGGTTCGATCGGAGAATCGGAGGCCAATCCAATCCAATCCAATGCAATGCAATCCAAAAACCCCGATCGCGTCACTCATCGAGATTCTTCGTTCGATGCATCAAATTGTCCGTTTGCTTCTTTCTTGCTTTTTCACCTCCTCTCGCGTCCGATCCGTGGGCCAGAATTCCGATTCGACGTCTCGAACGACGCTCTGCTGCAAGACGAGCCCCTCATATTCAAGGTCTGCGACTCGGACGCCCTGTCCAGCGACGAATCCATTGGTCTCGTCTACATCGATCTCAACCCCTTGCTGACCCAGACCGCCTCGAGCGATGATCTGTACGGCGAGGACGACGAGCTCCTGAAACCCCCCCACGGTTCCGACAGCCAGATCTCTGGGTGGTTTCCACTCTACGACACCCTGGGCGGGGTCCGGGGAGAGCTGGAGCTCAGCGTCAAGCTCAACTTTATCGGGGACGTCAATCCCTTCCGGGACTCCTCGGCTGGCGTGCAGCTATTTCCCTTCTCGACCCTGGACCCCGCCTCGGGCTTTAGCGTGTCGCACATTTTCGGCTTTGTCGAGGAGCTGGTGGTGGCAGACGATCCCGAATTCCTTGACAACAACAACAACAACAGCTTTGGCGTCTCGGGCGGCAGCCGCAAGTCCAAGCTCTCGCACGAAACTCGGCAGACGCTCCTCTACCTGCTGGACGCGGCCGTCCGGCGGAAAATGTGCCGGACGGTTCTGGACAAGGGAGGGAACGCGGTCCTCGGTTACCACCAGAATTTCGACGTGGAGGGGGACTCGGGGATCGTGGCCCGGACCTATGGCACCTGCGTCCGGCTGGAGCGGAGGCAGCAGCATCAGCACCAGCCACCGGCCCATTCTGTTCGGCCCTCCCAGCACAACCTCCTCCAGCGCAAGCGCCACGGAAGGGTCGTGGCCAAGGGGCCCGGCGAGGGGATCCAGACCGACAGTGAGCGTGACGACGACGACGACGTCGAGGGCCGCTCCGCCCGGAGGTCGGCCTTTGGGACCATGGGGCTCGTCGTCCCCGAGACCCACCACCACGCGGACGACGACGAGGTGAAGCTGCTGACCCTCCGGGACTTTGACCCCCGCGTCCGGGTTCGGATCGGCGGGCTGGTGACGGCCCGGAGCGTCAAGTACCTGGGGAACCTCGCGTCCAAGCTGTCGGATCAGGAGCAGAGGGACTCGTGGTGGACGGAGCTCCGCGACGAGATCCGGTCCCACGCCAAGATCCTGTGCTGCTCCCACGTGATCGGATACCTGGAGGCCTCGACCATCCACGAGGACGTTGCGGTCCTGTCCATCACCGGGACCGCCTGTACGGTCCGCGGGCTCCCGGACATGCACCTCAGCCGCAGGCTGTGGGAGAGCTACCCGGAACCCTCCCTGCTGGAAATGACGGAGGACGAGGCCGTGCTCTCCAAGGCTTCCAAGCGCGAGTCGTCAAAGCGGCGGTCGGGGAGGTCCGAGCGGATAGACGGCAGGCTGAGACGGGCTGCGGGGGGGAGGGCCCGTATGTCGAGCAAGAACGCCTCCGACTTTCACGGGGAGCACTCAATGGTGGGCACCGATCGCCAGGAGGGCCCGGGCTTTCCGGCTGCGGTTATGGTGGGTGGGAAGGGAAAGCGCCTCCCAAAGAACCGCCGCATCACGACGAGGGTGAGGGACGCGAAGCCCTGTTCCTACTGCCACGTGCCGTACCACCACCGGCTGGCCCCCTTTACGAACATGAAGCTCGTTCCCTGCATGCTCTGTGGGAAGAAATGGGTCCCGGAGGTCGTCCTGGCAACCTGCGAGCCCCCCTCCCGCCTGCCGATCCGCGGCCCGGGGGTCTTCATCCAGGCGAGGGTGTGCCGTTCCCGCCCGGCGGAGCGAAACAGCGAGAGCGATGCGCTGGCAGTCAGCGAGGCCCTCCCGTTCCTGGAATACGAGCTCGCCCGGCAACTCATGCTCAAGTGCGTGTTGGTCTTCGTTGTGTGCGATGGCGGTTGTAGTTGCGCTTGCGGTTGTGCCACTGAGTGGCGGAACAAGTGGTTTCGCACGCTTTGGTCTCACGCAGTTTTTTTTTTTTTCGTTTTACTTTGTTGTCGTCTTCTGTGCGAAAGGCTCAAGGTCTTGGGAAGAAACGCGGCGTTCTCCTTGAAAAACGAAGTGGACGTCGGCAAGTCCCTCATAATATCCACGGTCACTGCTACCGCGGTTTATTGTACGGCAATGCCGAGCCCACGGATCCTAGAGATATCCCGGACGATTGCCGTACAGGACGAAGAGGACCAAAAGCTTGTCAATCTCCAGCGCCAAATCGAAAAGATTTCGGCAAAGAACCGCCAGCGGCTTTCGACGGCAGCCCAGCGCCATTTAGAACGCGTACGAAAGCGGTTGATCAAGTTCAAGCAGGCCCAGCTACGGCGGTCCCAGGCTCGGGCCGAAAACCGGCGGCAGCGAGAAGAACGCAGAAAGAACAAGATCCGCCACAAGGGATCGGGTACAAAATCTCGCGCTGCCGATATCCATGCCACTGCTGCGGGTGGGTCAGGAAACCAAGATCTCAACGACGAAGACGGAGCGTCGTCGTCGTCGTCCGAAAGCTCTTCCTCGTCGAGCTCGTCTTCGAGCAGTTCATCCAGTAGCTCTAGCGATGAATCCGAAAGCGAGAAGGAAACAGGTGGTTCTCAAAATTCCAAGGGCAAACGCGACAAATTTGGTGCAGCCACCAGTGGTTCTTCCCGTGGTGGTGTCGATGTAGAAGATAGTGGCAGCGTCATACAAGATATGGACTTTGAGGATGCTTTTGTGTCGGGCACGGATGGCGCATCTGTTGTAAGTGAGCTCGACGACGACATCCGAGACGAGAAAGGACACCACGTGCCCGATATGGAATTCTTTGACGAACTCGAGGCAGATGCAGAAGCGGGTCGCCACGCTTCTGACAAAGGAAAGGGGCTTCAGCGAAGGCGGAGGCGCAGAATGTACCGAGACGATAAGGCACCATTCGTACTGGAGATTGACGATGAAACCGACGAGGATATTTTATCGGTCCTTATAGACAAACAACTTCCACCCGGCATCCGAATCACAACTTGCCAATACATGCCGTAAGTGACTCGGCAGATGTCATCGTAAGAACGCCAGAAAACAGCTCACCCTTTTTTCATCCTTCACAGAGATTTCGGTTGTGGAGACGGCGGTAGGGATCACGAAAGTTCGGCGGGTCAGATGCTGATGTCAATGCTCCGCTTCAAGTGGAACCAAAATGCACTCCGCGGTACTCGTAATAATTTGCTGTTTTCCAGTCTTTTCCAAGAATTGTTTGCAAGGCTTTGCGATCGGTTAAAGGATATCGCACCGGCTGTTGTCTGTGGAGTCCGTACACAGGTGAATCTAACGCCAGACGATATGATCGAGCTTATCTGCACCGGAAAAGTTGTCTTGGAACGCCGGGAAATAGAAAACCAGAAAATCGATGAAGACGATGGCGATATGTCTGACAGTACCTATTTGGACGAACTAGAGATACGCAAAAGAGAGGACGCGGACTTTCGTGAACTAGCCAAGGTTGTCGAAACAGGTGTATCGTCCATGTTTCGACCCATGATTGGTCAGAACAAGTCCACGGTTATTGTGGACCAGCTCAGTGCGGATATGAAACGCGCTCATTCAGGAATCGATACGGTTTTGGAGTTCTCAGATTCGTCGGTGGGTTCGAAAAGCCCGTTGCTGCGTGAAAAATCGCCAATGGCACTATCTTTGCCCAAAAGTCCACGCTTATCGGAGAAATTGGCGTTGCCCGCTCAAGATCCCCATCGAGCATCGGGAAGCTCTTACAAAAGCCGGTCTTCCGCTTTGGTCAACATGCTGTCTCCGAAACCAATTTTCTCGCGCTCCAAGACCGAAAATGAATCATCAACGTCACCTACCCATGGCTCTCCTGGTACTCCGAGATCTTCTGCACTTAATATATTGAAGAATGTTCCTGTGGGGCATTTAGTACCGAACCTAAAACAGCCCTCGCCTCCTCCTGGTATGTCTCTACGGGGTATTAATTCGAGTTTCCATCATGCGATCGATGTCACAGAAATCCCCGTGGAAATTACGCCCCTGCATCACGTCACGGGGGGCAGAATCGTCGAGTACCTCGGCACGGTGTCCATGCATTTTATTCGTGAGTCGAGTGGTTTGGAGGCAGCCGAATTCAACCGTTTCGTCACGGAATGCAATGCGATTGCCCGTGCCCATGTCCATTCATTGGGTGGAAATGCCATGCTAGGTAAGCAAAACTGAAGCCACAAAAGACTTTTTTGAGGACGCTTTCCTCTCTCGGATGGAATTACGTGTGCCTCACATTCGTTACTGTCCTGTTTCATCGTGGGCCGGGATCTGTCTCTTTTTCTCTCTACTAGCATATCGCGCTGTGCCTGCTGAATCCGGTGGTCGAGTGTACAAATCTCAGGTGTACAACGTGATTTCGCTTAGGTATGAATGATTGCAATGATACGAAATACTCGCTAAAGTCAAGTTGTTCGTCCGCTAGCAATATCGATTCAATCCACTTTCTTTTCGCCGCCTCAACTCTTGTTTCTTCTCCAATCCGATAATGGATAAATATATAGTGGGTCTGCTGTGAAGGTCGAATACCGAAAAGAAGACAATGCAGCAAGTCCAAAAGACAGCAGTTTTATTCGGACGAGAAGACTTGGCAGTATCGATAGAACGAGATCAATTTCGTTTTAGGTATGTTGATCTCTCACAGTCGTCATGGTCAATCCGGGCATCTTCCTCCTGCTACTAGCCGTTGTATTCTCAAGCACGGTACTTCTAGTTGATGAAAGGACGTCAGCCTGCGGCTGCATTGAATTTTTTTGTACTTGAAGAGAAAAATAACAAAAGGGTTTAACCGCCTAGCTAAATCTATTCTTTCCTTTTACGGTCCAACGCGAAGCTTGTGCCTCAAGCACGCATTGCAGCTTGTCTAAAGGGCTATGGTCGTCGCCGGTCATGATACAATGGACTGGGCCTGTTTGAGAAAGTCCACGTACTGTAATTCCTCCCTATAGTCAGCAAACATTGCGATAAAGGCGGCCATGTCGGAATCCACGCCACACTCCTCGTCCAGGTATTCGGCCAGGCCTTCCTGTAGGTCCTCGGCAAGTTCCGTGAAATCCGGGCCCTGATATTCGTGCTTGGGGAGCGTGCCCTGGTTCTCGTGGACGTATTCAGCCGTGGAATAGCTCGTCGTGGAAACACCCTCCACCTTGACCTGGCCGTACTCCGAAAAGCAGGCAAAGTTCAGAGATTTTCCGGCCTTTGTCACGGTCACCGTGAACCGAACGGGAGCTGAGGCCTCGTCTTCCTCCTCGTCGCTGTCCTCCTCCATGCTGTCGTCGTATTCGGGTTCCTCGACCTCTAGCGTGTCCTGGCAATGAAAGGATACCTGGATTTTGTTGCTGGAAGAGCTTTCGATTCGGAAAAAGTTCGTGGTAGCGCCGTCTTCGACAATTTTCCAAGACTTTTCGATCGTTGCCTTTAGGTCAGACAGCTCTGGGGGCATTTCCGTGTTCCCGGTTTCAATTTCCTCTTGTTCTTCTCGTGACAGGATTTCCAGCAGGTTAGACTTCGAGGAAAACGACCGTGAACCGGCGCTTGGATGGTTGGAAATAGCCGAGAGGGGCATATCGACCGGTGTTCCAGAACAGAAGAAAGCACTCGCTGCACTGCTAGCGGCCGATCCCATCGCCCCCCGGAAGGGTGAGAGAGTCGTTTGGACCGCAGCGGCCGGACGGGAAGATGCCGCCAGTCGGCGAAACAAGGAATGAGCTATCTTCATTTCAGATGGAAGCAAAAATGTCACGTTTGTGATGGTTGGATCGAAGCAATTTGGATTTCTGACGGGAGCTACAAACAATACTAATGATTGAAAGTTAAGGGGAAGCCAGTAACCCGTTAGTAACCAGGGATCAGGAAAACATGAATGAGTTGGTCAAAACTTCGGATCTCATGATGTACGGTATCGGCCGGTAAGGCAACGTACACGTAGACTATCTGGTACAGTACGTACCGTAGTAGAAGCACATACCCCCGCTGAAACTGAAATTCGAAATCGAAATCATTCTTCTTGTTGGTGGTATGTGGTGAGGGTGAATGGGATTGGTCTGCTTCGGTGGCAGTGGAAGTCGAAGGCACTGTAATAGGAACAATAACCTGACCCCTAATATATTATATACATATATTTTGTACTAATTYGTGCGTAGAGGTTATCAGATCCTTTTCAGATCTGATAACATCATGATACCAGTAATTTGTGTACATTCTTGCGTAGCCTCAAAATCCTCAAAATAATTGTTGTTCGTACGAGAAAAAAAAAATGTTCCTCTCCGTGTGCAAATAAGGACTCGTCACACCACAAAAGCATTTTCTTTGTCGTCGCAGCAACACTGAACAGCAACACCAACAGTCCTCTCCTCCCCTTGCTCTTAATTGCAAGCACAAAAAGAAAACAATAGCTGCAAAGCTAGCTGTAAAGGTCCTAAATGTAAAGCTCCTACTAGCTGTAAAGCTCCTACCTGTAAAGCTTGTTGCTCAAGCTTTGGCTCTA